TTGCTAGTCTGTCTTTTCCCATATGTGGCAGTTTGTAGTTGTTGCCTCCTTCATGTTCCATGATTTTAGTTAAAACCTGCTGGTAACTCAACCACACCTTGTTTAGGGTTTCTGGACTTAGAGCATTATATGCTCCTTCCACTGCATCTAACAAATCAGCTACTGTACTTGGAGCACACTGGTCTTTTAAAGATTGAATTGCTCTGAAAAATCCAAGGTCTAGGACATTTAAGTCTGGGGAGTTGGGGGGTTGGTTACATAGGGTGATCTGAAATCCATTGTTGTTACCTGCTGCCACAAAGTCTGTGTCTATTCCTTGAATGTGTGGCCTTGCATTGTCTTGTTGAATCCATATGATTTTGGATAACTGTGATGGCCACTTTTCTTGGATAGCTGGAATTACTGTATTGATGAGCATTTCCTTTGTGATTTGTTTGGTAACACTGGTGATTGCTTTCACCTCTCCCACCCCCCTTTCCCTGTTCTTGCTCTTCCTTTTTGCCTGCATTTTTTCTGTGAAATGAAATATTCCTACTTTTCCATCCCACAACAGTTCTTTATTCTCCCCAAAAAGTGGTCTCCCAACCACACATAAGAACATAACTTTTGCTATGAATCTTTTTGATTTACATGCTCTGTATGGATCTTCCTCTTCTGGAAGGAGATAAAATTTTTGGGAAGTTTTTGACATAAAGAACCATTTCTCATCAATGTGCAACACATTGTGAAAACTCTTAAACGTAGGGCTGCTGGGAATGGTATGAGGTTCTATCTGATCTAAACAGAACCTTAACCTAGAAATCTTATTAGCTTCTGTAAGGTACGGTTTGATAGCATTAGAATGGCTCCTAAGCATACCTCTCTTTACCCACTCATGAACTGTGGACTTAGGCTTCCCAATGGCTACTGCTAATGCTCTTAGATTGGTCCTCTTTCTTAGAGGAGTGTCTGCAACTACTTGTAAATCCATGAAAGCCCTCTTCCTGCCACTGTTTCCTGCAGTCCTGCTGCTCACATCGATGGCAACCCCATCCTCTAACTGTTTTTTTGCAATAGCCCATATCCTACCGACTGTTTTTCGACAGACATTAAACTCTGAAGCGAGTTTGTTGATTTGCCCATACTGAGCTGAAAATGTACCAACAGGATTCTCTTTGCAATGACGTAGTACTGCTTCACCAATCAACTGCCTCGTTGTGTTCTCCAAATTCTTGGAGTTTTTGTCTAAACTCATTTACGTGTTTACGTGCAGGCCACCGGGAAGACGAGAGGAAAACAGCAAAAAGAACAAGAAACTGAAAAAGGGCATGAAGAAGAAGAATGGCAGATTTGGGTGCTGTGACTGTTTCTAAAAGGGGAATATGCTTGAAGAATGTGGCTGCTAAAAATGGAAAGTGCTGAAGTGGGGATTTTAAAGTGATGTAATATCCCATTTTGAATGGGTTTTTGGGGTAGTTTTGGGCGGGTAGTTAAAAAAAGGGGGGAATATGAATTTTTTTTGGTGTTTTGGATTGTAAAGTACACTTTTTCCACTTTTTCCTAATGATTGCAAATAATGACTTTTACTTTATGTTCCATCCCCCACTTTCTCTTCTTTCTTATCCTCATCCCTTATTTTTAAAGCAAGAGTAAATTGGACATTTCAAAGCCTTTTTCCACTCCTCTTAAAAGTAAGGAAAAGTCAAAGTGGGACTATCATTCCCGGACGGAGGGAGTACTTTTTATTGAAGTTAAAAAACAGCAAGTTTATGAGAATTGTGACTATTTTGTTTGTAAACCAAGCATTTCTCTTCTTTTAAATAATTTTTAATCACTACTCTGTATTATTTTGGTGTTTCGTTAAACTACGTGAAGTCAAACTATAGAATGATGTTGCCAAATGTTATAGTAAATCTTAAGTCTACACCATTTTAAGTGAAGTGTTATGCCGACAGCCGACTAAGATAGTGATAAACAAATTTGGAGTACTTATTATCCTGAATTTTTAAAAGAAAAAGATCTTTTTTATGTGAGGAAATGCACAAAGGGAAAAAAACGATGTGTAAAATATTAAAAAAGTATCAAGATAAGAACTTCAATTTTTTTCCAAATCAAAAGTTATAATGTCAATATGTAGTATTTAAAAACATTATAGAGCACCAATATACAGTGTGACATTGTCACATTGCAAACTTTTATTTTAAGAATAAATATATATGCCACTCATAATTTGGGGACAAGAACTACATATTGAGTACCAAATTAGATTGCATAATTCGAAGAACATGCAAAATCTTATGTTTTTAAAATTTACTCCGTAATTTATTTATACTGATATAGAAATAATAATGTAACTTATATATTTAACAGTTATATTAAAAATTTTAAAAAATAAATAATTTTAAAAATATTTTATTTTATTAAACGACTATTAAAAAATAAATATAAATAAAATTTATCGAGAGATTAGATATTTTAAATGAATTGTTTTTGTACAATAGGGTATGTGCGGACTTTGGTAATGAGTCTTGGATCTTACTCAAGCGTAAAGTGTATTGCACGAATTTCAACTACTGGTATGTATATGATGACTAGTGGCTATCTCTTTCGAAGTGGCGTGGCGGCATCCCAAGAATTCCATTATGGGTATAATATAAACGTCACAGTCCGCCATTGTTAGCCGGCTTACCTGAAAGGGATCTCCTTTCCATTCGCTTTCGATTGCTCTCGTTCTTTACAATCGGGTCGGGTCAAGCGTATATATCCTCTTCCCAGGCCAGATTCCGAACAAGTTTCCGCCTTTCTGTACAATACCCGCCGGAAATGGCCGGTCCCGGCGGCGCGGGGTTCGGATTCTTGATTATGAGGCCGGAGAATGGAGGGGTTTGGGACCTTTTCAGATTTGGGGTGCTGGGTCACCAACCAAGCGGGGCGAAATTTCTTGAAAGTTCCCATTACTGGGGCAGCCTCAGTGAAAAGCTGGACGGGGTTGGCGGCGGCAGCGGCGGCGGCGGAGAAGACCATGCTCGTAGATGGGTGATTGTCGTCTCCGTCGTGGTGAGGAAATTGCTGGCTTTGTTCAAGAAACCATTGGAGTGGACTGGCTATCTTTTGGAGTTCCTACTGAACCTCTTCTCCCTTAATGGCAGCAATTTCTTCACTTTCCTCTGCAAATTCATTTCTGGTATATAAAAAATGATCTTCCTCTCTGCTTTATATGCGAAATTAAAGTCCTTTCATTTACAGTGTGAGGTTTAAGTGAATTCGATCACGAGGTTTTTTGCTTATAGCTTATGAGGTTTAAGTGAATTCAATTTAGTCCATGTTTTCCATAACCAAACATCAAAAGTCCAAAATTGTAAAAAGAAGCTGAAAATAAGCAACAAGCAAAAAGTTAAGGTTTTTTTTCTTTTGAACACTCCATATAAATATATTTGTAGCTTAAAGATGCCTCATTTGATGGAATCAGGACAACTAGTGATACCAAGGAGAGGATCCGAAACTTACACTTGTGTGGTCGGGTATTTGGATGGGCGTATAGACCTATACAAGAGTGAAATGGTGCTTGATGAACTTAGAGGACATGATGCAATGAAGGTAAGTGTGCCGTTGAAACCTGGAAACCGAGCTCTTATGGACCTGTGTATGATGGCTTCAAAGTTGGCCTACGAGAACGAAAATGTCGTTAAGAAAGTTGTAAATCTGCATTGGAAGGTATAATTCTTTTAGACCCCCAAACACTTGATTTTCATTTGCACGGATTCAATTGATGATCTTGACTATATCATCTCAAACATAAACTAACGATAATTTCACCTTTTTTTTACAAATTAGATGCATTTTGTGGAGTTCTATAATTGTTGGAACGGTAAGAGAATTCATCCTACGACACACACAGTTGCATTTTTGTAAAGCGGATGCATTTTCTTTTGGTTTCTTTTACTGGTTACCATATTCTGATCACTTGGTTTATTTGTCTTTTGTTTCTTGGAGGGCAGAGTATCAACAAGAAATGTCCACCCAAGTTTTTATATTGTGCGACAAGCCAAAAGACGCAAACTTTATATTGGTTGGCTTTAGGGGAACCGAACTCTTTGATGCCGATGACTGGAGCACTGATTTTGACTATTCTTGGTATGAAATTCCAGAAATGGGAAAGGTGCACATGGGGTTCTTGGAAGCCTTGGGGTTAGGGAACAGGGAGAACCTTTCGACATTCCAAGAACGACTTTTCAAACAAAACACAGAAAGTTCAGACTCATCCGAATCCTCCAACTCAGAAGGACCCTTTGAAGATTTGTCTGCATACTACACCGTTAGAAAGAAACTCAAGAGTTTACTCGAAGAGAACGAAAACGCAAGATTTATTGTGACGGGGCATAGCTTGGGAGGGGCCCTTGCAGTTCTGTTCCCAACCGTTTTAGTAATGCACGAAGAGGAGGCAATGATGAAACAGCTGTTGGGAGTTTACACATTCGGACAGCCCAGAGTTGGGAACAGGAGGCTAGGTACGTACATGGAAGAACACCTGAACCATCCAGTTCCCAAGTATTTTCGCGCAGTTTACTGCAACGACCTTGTTCCAAGGTTGCCCTATGATGATAAAACATTTTTATACAAGCACTTTGGGGTGTGCTTCTACTACAACAGCATGTATATTGAACAAGTAAGGTTCCCCATATTTATGTTTTACTCCATCTTGACATTTAAATGCCCTCCATTGTTGGGTCAATGTCTTCAATGAGGCATGACTTGTTTTCATGTGTGTTTCCAGAGAGTTGATGAAGAACCAGACCCCAACTATTTTGGGATACGCTTTGTGATACCGATGTATCTGAATGCTGTTTGGGAGCTGATCAGAGGGTTGACGATGCGTTATGTGTACGGGGAAGGGTACAAGGAAGGTTGGGTGTCCATCGTTTGGAGGACAGTCGGACTCTTCGTCCCAGGCATGGCTGCTCACAGTCCTGTAGATTATGTCACTTCCATAAGGCTTGCAAGGGAAAAAATGTAGAAAGAGCTATCAGGACACAGGACTCCCTTACCTTAAAGGGAGGGACACCTCTCCTTTTGAAAGGGCACAGAAAAATGGTAATCAATAAATGTTGCTTGCTTGTACCTCTTCTCTGGTACTACCTTTCAGTTGCCTGTCTAGTGATAAAATAAAGCTGATGGCTTTCATTATTTACATGTTCTTCGGCTCCGTTTGGCATCAGCGTTAGAGGTAAGCTTTAGCGTTTTGAAAAGACTATTTGACGGTAGCTTTTAGCTTTAGCGTTTTCAGAGTTAGTCTGCACTGTTAAATTTTTTTTTATCCAAAACGCTAACGCTAATAGAAAACGCTCTTTCCAAACAAGGCCTTCATTGTTTAGAGTGGCTTAGCATTTGTTGTCCATGATATAATAATGTGCAGAGTGGTTTTCTTTAAGATCTGGTAATTGCTAATACAAACTACTACCTCATATAAATTGATATTTACTCTCTATGAATTGTTCTATGAATTGCTTTTAAATATATAATTTGTACTTTTTTATTTCTATACCAATTTATAGATAAAATAATTTTTTTAAAAATAAAAGTTTGCACGTTGTTTGAATAGCGTAAATGAATTTGGGACGGAGGGGTACATTTTGAGGCGGAAAAAAAAAGCAAAGAGTAAGAGACAATTGTATATCATCAATCCACGATTCCAACTGTCCAAATAAAAGAAGAGTTTGGGGTGGCTGATGAATAAAGGAGGGGACAAAAGGGACTTGATTGGCCATGATTTTCATATTCCTCTAGTTTTTTTTTAAAAAAAAAAGAAGAAAGAAGAATCTAATTTTTTTCATATTCTTTTTAGAATTTTTTCAGAACCCGTTAGACGACGATAAAGTAAATTTGATTCAAATATTAGATTTGCCAACTATGCCTCACCTACCAGACATATTTTTACTTCAGTTAATTATATAGATTGATATACTCCGTATTTCATTAAACAAACAATTTTTTTTGTTTTTTTCTCATACGAGTTTCTAATTATTTGTTTTTTAAAAAAGTTTCTTAGAGATAGTCTTCTATTTTTAAATACGAATACAATCTACGTATACACATCCTACCTGCTATGATCTTATTGGATTGTTGTTATTGTATCGCTTTAGAAAAGGATATATATATATATATATATATATATATAGAAAAAGTATTAGAAAAGGATGTGTAAATTTTATTTTTTATTTTTATACCAATATGCAAATAAAATGAATTGAAAAAGCTTGATATTTAACCTCGATAATACAAGTGTGACAAATATTTAGGAACGGAGGAATAATAGAATACTAAATTTAGAAAACTCTCTAGTATTTGGGAACAATTACGAAATTTACTCTTTTATTTTCAATAGTTTTCTTAAACTATGTGAAATTCAATTAGGATGAGTAATTCGGGATAGGTCCATATCTCATTCATTTTTTTCTTTAATCCCCCCCCCAAATGACCCTATATGTAATTTACTCCATTGTTCATAGGAAATTTAAATTACTTCGTTATTTAATTTTTACGAATTCTATGGCTTAAATTTTTTTTGATTGTATAATAAAAAAATTCCATTTTTATTCATCCTAAATACTTTTCTCAATTCCTTTTTGAAAAAAAAACGTACTCCTCCATCCCTAATTATTCAGATCTCTTTGACTTTAGAGAGGTTAAGGAAGTGTTGAAAAAATACTGACAAATTAATTATTCAATAGCAAAAATGAGTAGTTGGAATTTGTTTATAAAAAAATATTTTATATTTTGTAACGCTAATAATTGTGGCTCCTCCCGAAATTCCAATCCTACAACGGAAAAACAAGAAATATTTTATCCTAATTCTCTTCTAAAAATTAAAAAAAAAATTCTAGAACGGATAAAATAAGTGAGAGATTTTTTTGTTAGATATCTGAACTTCTTAAATAATTCTCTTCTCTAAACAAATTGTGAATTGCTCACATTTCATTTGTAAACAATTTTTTTTCTTAATAATGGCCAAATGTAAAACAAAGAGTATTAAAAAAAGGACCTTAATAATTGTGTGAGGTAACTTGATTGTCTAAAAATGAACCAATACGTTGAACCAACCAAAGGTGTGAAATGAATAAAGTATGGCATAATGATCATGTGACTAAAAGTATGGGTACTACTACTACATCAACTTTGTTTAACAATGATTTTGCCCTTAACCCCAAATGATGAAAAATTATATTCTATCACTCTCCCACTTGACAAGACAATGCATATATATATATATATATATATATATATATATATATATATATATATATATATATATATATATGTATGTATGTATGTATGTATGTATGTGTATGTATATATATATGTACGGACTATGGAGTACCTTTCTATCATGTCCATACCCTTGCTCCTCTTGTGTTTTGTGTGGCCGTGTGGGGTTATAAGTTTGGATAATATTGTCCATGGGCTTTTTTTGTAAGATTTAGAGGAAAAAAGATAGAGAAATTTACCCAAATAGGACTAAAACATAACGACTTTCCCAATATAGGACCATATGTTTTTATTTCCCAATGTAAGACTTTTGGTCATTAACAAGTAGTCATTATTCAAGTAAATGTCTAGCATTATTGGACATTATTCCTCCTACGAGATCATTATTAAGCACTATTTAGGGAATAAAAAAGTTTAAGTTTTACATTAGGAAAGTCATTATGTTTTAGTCCTATTTAGTGCAAATTTCACAAAAAGATACTCATGTAAAATTTATTTAGAGTGGAGAGTACTGTTATAGGGAGTAGTTTTTTTAATAAAATAAAATGAATGAAAAATTTATTTAAGAACGAAACAAAAAATGAAAGTGTTAAAAAAGTTAAATGGAAGATAAGGTGCCTAATAACAACCACCATTAGGAATGATAGAACAACCATGCTAGTGATACCCTATTAAGGGGCTGTTTGACAACTTCTGAATCGGTAAGTGCTGAACCAGTAAGAGGTCTGAACCATTAAGTGCTGAACCAGTAAGAGGTCTGAAACATTAAGAGCTAGTATATTGCTTAACTATTCAGAGGCAAATGTCTAATCAATTCAGATAAGAGGTCTGAACCATTCAGACTCTGTATAATACTTAACCATTCAAAGGCAAATCTCTTAACCATTCAGACATCTGAACCATTAAGAGGCTGAAACAAACAGTCTGAACCATTAAGTGCTGAACCATTCAGACATCTGAACCATTAAGAGGCTGAAACAAACAGCCCCTAAATGTATCTCAAAATGGTTTATACTCGGTGCAATAAAAAAAATTAAACTACATTTGTGTCTATATAAATTACTACCTCCGTCCCATTTTATAACGCCTGTTTCGATTTATGATGTTTGACTGAAATTATTTTCAAACCATTTTATATGACAAATGGTATAAAATTAAAAAATAAAAATTACTTCATCAAAAGATTTACAAAACTTTTGTAAAAAAACTAAATCAAAAAGATTTACAAAACTAGTAGTGACAATAATATTTTATTTTATCAAATTGCTAACGAAAATAAAGAAAGAAAGTGAATGAAGTTTGACCATGTGAATAATAAACATGCATTATAATTTGGGACGGAGGGATTATCATAGCATTAGCATCACACTGATACAACAAAATGAAAATGTATAAGTGCTGCGTACACTTAGGAATACCCCTTTTGGGTATAATAGTTTAGTTCATTACAAAAATATGCAAACATGCCTCAAATCTATCTCATGTGCATACTTTTACCGTTTTACCCCTTGATATTCAACTTATCACAAGGCTATCAAACACTTTAGACCCCCCCCCACACAAAACCTGAGCTGGGCATGCCCCATGTGGACAAACAATGCTAATTATACAAATAATACAACAAACAGAAGCAAAAAAACAGCCAATTGAACAAAAAGATGAGAAAATGTGAAAATTTTCATCTCTCTTCCTCTCTGTGTGAGCTTTTTTTTCTACTATGAATTGACAAGATACAGGAAAAGAACAGTTCATAAATGGTAAAGATTCAATTTTTAAAACAGAAATTTACCCTAAAGAAGATGGGGGTAAGCTTGAAGCACTGATTTCCCCAGTTTCCTTCTTTGGGTCATATGATGATGACAACAATGGAGAAATGTCGATTGAATGATTGATTGGGAATGGAAATTTCGATCTTAACATAAATCTGTGATTACCCAATTCTCCAATAACCATTAAATGGCCTAATAATCATTTAATTTCCGGAAAAAGAAGAAAGAAATATGGTACAGAAATGGAACCAAGAATTCTTGAAGAGACAGAAGTGGAAAATTTCTTGAGATCAGGAAGAGAAATGGGGGCGGGGAGGAGGCAGCAACTGGTAGGTCTGATGAACCTGGCTGGGAATGCTGAGATTGTTGTTCCCTGTCCCGGAACAGTGCTGCAGGATGAATGGGTGGCGGAGCAGCTTCGCCGCCGTCCACCGCCGCGAAGGGTCCCTCTGCAAGCAGCAGTCGATGAAGTTCTTGAACTCCTGTGAAGCAGTCGGCGGCGCCTCCGGCGGGTCCGACATACAAATGGCGCACATCAAGGTGGCCCAGTCCCCCTGCCTCCCGCCGTTGAACGGGAATCTGCCCAGGTAAAATTCCAAGATGCTGACGCCCAGGCTCCAGATGTCTCCGGCGAACCCGTTGTATTGCCCATGGTTCAGATCGGAGTTGATCCTCTCCGGGCTCATGTAGGCGATGGTGCCGACGGAGGAGTTGCAGTCCATGGTGGCCGCTAGGATTCTGGAGACGCCGAAATCGGCTATCTTCACCACGCGCTGGGAATTGGTGAGCAGATTGGATGGCTTGATGTCCCGGTGAACGATTTTCCGGCGGTGGAGGTAATCGAGGCCGGAGAGAATCTGACGGGTGAGATGGGCGAGCATGGGTTCGTTGGAGATGTGGGTCCCCTCGAGGGAGCCCTTGTCCATGAACTCGAGGAGGACCTGGATTTCGCCGTCGTGATCGGACATGTCGTGACACTTGACGATGTTGGGGTCGTTGACGTCCCGGAGGATCTCGATCTCCCGGCACATCTGGAGGCGGACGGCGTCCTCGTGGTGGCCGTGGATCACCTTCAGAGCATAAATCCTGCCGCTGGGCCGGTGGAGGACCTTGTACACCGTCCCGCCGATCCCACTCCCCACCCGGTTGATCCGCTCCAGCTCGGAGAAATTGAGGGGCGTCGTCGCCGGGAGAGAAGAACGGGACTGAGCTGAAGATGCGGAGGAAGGTGCGGAGGTGGGTGGGAGCGGCAGAGGGACGGCCAATCTCGGGTCGCGCTGGGGTAGAGGGAGGGTCAAGTCGGGTCTGCGCCGCTGACGGGTCCTGTCCGCCGCCGGCGCTTGCGGCTGATTCGGGTTCATCGGCAGCTTATTCTCTCCGTCCTGTCTCCCGGCGGCGACGAGTGCAAATCCGGTGGGTATCTTGAAATTCGAAACCAGAATTTAGCTAAGTGTCTTATACACGAGAAGACGAAAATGGAAAGAACGGTTGATTGAGAAAAAGAAAAGTCAAAAACCAGTCGCCGGAGAGAAGGTTCTGAGAATGAAGGAGGAAAGCGCCGGCGACAGAGATGTGAGGAAGACAGGAGAAAATTTTCCAAGAAGGAAGAAGATAAAGAGAATAAGCTCTGGCCTTTGCCTTTGGTTGTGTGTAATTCCTACTCCGTATATAGAGGGACTTTCTTTTGGCCTTTGGTACTCCCAAAATGTGAAATTTTGTTATTAGAATTTTGAGTTATGAACTTAAATACTATTCCAAAATATTATAAAAAATTTAATAAATTAAAATTATATCCAGAATGAACTCAGTTATAGTAAATTTAATGTGATTGATAATGTGAAAATGAATCGTGATTGAACAGTAACAACGTGCATATAAATTAAAATTATATCCAGAATGAACTCAGTTATAGTAAATTTAATGTGATTGCCTCTCATTGCATATATAGTGCAAGAATAATGTGGGGTGACGCTAGTGAGACGTAGGTCAACGATTGATATAAGGATGATAAAAAGGGGAGATCTCGAGTTCGAAGGCTGGTGAATGCGATGAGAGGCAATCATAAAAAGTATGAGACTTCTGCAAGTATTAGACACAAACCTTCACTCCTCGCCAATTGACTAAAAATATAACACAATTTACCTCTTCTCGACTAACTGTTCGAGTGGGCATCCGGCAGGTGTTGAAGGCCCTCGGAGATTAGGGTTCATCATTTTTTCTTAATCAAATGGGGTGGTGTGAATTTGGGGGTGGGATGTTGGGTTGATGTAATATAAAGTGAAATGAAAAAAGTAAGTGTAAAAAGTCAAATTGGAAAAGAAAAAAAGAAATCAATAAAGAAACAAGTGAGATTGAGTGAGTATGTAGTATCAAGGCGTCAAAGTTTGATCAAAAAAATTAAATTGTGATTGGTGACATTTATTTTTGAACTAAAATTTTAAAACTCACAAATCTAAATAGATAAAATATAAAGTTAATAATAATAACTCCATTCATCCCATTAAATATTTGACACTATAATACAAAGTCTTTTGTGAAGCTTAGATCCATACTCATTTTTTGAATCTTGATATTTGGAACGATGAAATGTATTGGTCTTGTAAAATGAAAAAGTTTCAACTATGAGCTCATGAAAAATTTGTGAGAAGATCCATATTTCATGTATGAACTTTAGGATCACAATAGCAAAACTCACATGCTAACTCACGAAGTTTTAATAATTTCAGCTTTAGTTTTGTTAAGAGATCTGTGAATCATGATATCCACATTGTGGTTAGAAAAGCTAGTTCTATGTCTGATCTTATGAAATAATATGTCATTCCACCTCCTTTTCTCGTAAACTTTATTTATGCTAATTTAGTGGATTAATCTTTTGTTGTAAGAAAAACTCACGAAATTTAAGAAAGTTATTGAAAAGTAAAAATGGCATGATTAGAATTTATGTAGAGGTGAGAATTATTGAAAGCCACATATTCATTACAAAATTAAAGAATAAAGTAAGTGTAAGGTATTTTTTGTGGTAAAAAAAGAAAGAAAATGTAAAAACATTTTATGAAACGGAAGGAGTACTTTGTATATAGTGCATACTATTCTCCACATTCTAAGATAATATTCACATTGCAGTTTACGATATACAGAGTATAAACTTATTTATAGAGTACTTTAAAATTGCAGAGTATATAAAATGGAATACCCATAAAAGTTACAGTATTTTTGTTCTGTAATTTTGAAAATAAATTAATATTAAATTATTTCAATAAAAAATGGTACCTTTTCATCTCAGAGTATTTGTCTAGTTTTGACTTTTTATGATCAACCAAAACCTACCTTTGATTTATTTTTTAAATATAAAATACGAATTACACAGTAGAGTAGAAACCTAAAACAATATTTTGAAATTATTCTACAATATAAATCTGATAAAATTATTCGTTTATCAATGTGTAATATAAATTTTATTTAATTAACATTTATCAGCATTAACTATTAAAAATGAAAACTTGATAAAGAAAAAGGATGAAATATTTGTATACTCCTATAGTATAGACACGGGCGCTGACGGTATTGCCTTCGGTACTCCCACTTGCTGAAAAGACATAATCACACTCACATTTTTTGTCCTGACTATATTTTTATGAAAAATAATTTGATTTGTAGTAATATTGAACTAATATGAAAATGTTTTGTCTTCCAAATACTTGAAAGTCCTGTTTGGTACACGGAATTCAAACTATAGAATTGGAATTGATGATATCAATTTCAATTCTAGTGTTTGGTAGCACAAAAATTATGTGGATTTGGAATTGACAGTGCAAAAAATTGATTGGAATTGACAGACTTCAATTCTATGGAATTGAATCCCATGGAATTTTAATTCCAATTCAATTCCAATTACGTCAATTCCGTATACCAAACGGACCCGAAAATCTTTCATGAAATATTCATGCATTTAACTCACATGTGTAATATAATCACATAGGGAGTATTTTAAATTTACATAAAATAATTGCATTTTCTAAATTCTAATTTTGTTGCATATGTGATTATATATAATTACGGTCTCGTTTGGCATCAGCGTTAAAGGTTAGCGTTAATATTTTAAAAATGTTATCCAACGGAAGCTTTTAGCATTGACGTTTTCAGAATTAATCCATATCATTAAAATTTTATCCAAAACGATAATGCTAATCGAAAACGTTGTTTCCAAATAAGGCTTACATACCGTGTATTTTAAATATCCATAGGCCTAGATTAAGAACATAATTGACTAAGGGGCTGTTTGTTTCAACCTCTTAGTGGTTCAGATGTCTGAATAGTTCAGCACTTAATGGTTCAAATTGTTTGTTTCAGCCTCTTAATGATTCGGATGTCTAAATGGTTAAGAGATTTGCCTCTGAATGGTTAAGTTTTATACAGAATCTGAATGGTTAAGACCTCTTATCTGAATTGATCAGACATTTGCCTCTGAATAGTTAAGCAATATACTAGCACTTAATGGTTCAGATCTCTTACTGGTTCAGCACTTAATGGTTCAGACCTCTTACTGGTTCAGCACTTACCGATTCATAAGTTGCCAAACAGCCTCTAAAATAAATAATAAAATAATTTTACGGTCTTATTTGAAGCTAGTATTTTACATTAGTTTCTTCAAAATGAGGTATATTTTGTACAAAGTGAATAACAAAATTGGAACAAAGGAAATACGTACTCCTTCCATCCTAAAATGAATTACACTTTTTATTACGTATTTAAAAGTTTAGAAAACTTTTCCTTATCTGTGCGTTTTGATTGATTATTTTATAAAATAAAATATTTTTGTCACATTTTGATTAGTAAAACTTTTGATGTAATTTTTAAATATGTAAGTTTTTTTAAATTTCTATAACAATCTTTAAATAAAAAAATTGAAAAAACATAAAGTTTTACTTAACTTTTCAAGAAGACAAGAGTATTTTAGTGGAGTTTCAACTTTCAAGTATTTGCTCATTTTAAAAAAAAAGAATCTCATTTTGGCTTTTAAACCACAAGTCTCTTTCACCTTTTTTCCCTCTAAATCTTTAGAACACCTCAATCTTTTTTTTCTTAAATTAATACGAGTAACAATCATCATACAAACATTATCAAATAAAAGGAAAAAAGATGATAGAATGGTAGGAATTGGACAGCCCAAAATCTAATCCATTTATGGAAAGGTGAAAATGAATGATCAGTGGATAATTGTTCACGGCATGTTTTCCAGCATGGATTTATCTATCTATATTCACAATTCTATATTCTAGATTTACAATGTTTGTCTATACGATCTATATGTGTGTGTGTGTGTTTTGGAGGAATCTAATAGATTACACACATCTCTAGAATATTCTAGTGGATTCTACGTTCTTCCACACATATCTAGAGACTTACACATTTTCTAGAAAGTTAAGGAATATTCAAGAGAGTCCAGAGGGTTCCACACCTCTCTAGATAATTTCACATTATTCTATAAAAATTCTACAGATCTCCACCGACTTTTAGAATCTTCCTTCTCATAGCCTTTTGGAAATACCAAATTTTGGAAATAACACTACATTTCATATTTTCCACATTTTGGGCATGTGAAATGGAGAGAGAGACATAGAGAATCCATGCAAGCACAAAGGTCTTTGTTTCCACACACACACACAAAGTAATCCACACAACCTTGTCACAATACACATTAACTTGCTGCTATAATGTTGTAACAAAGCACCGAGCACTAGGTCGTGAGGTCGATGATTATAATTGTAGGGGAGATGCGGAGAGCTAGTTAGGGGTGGTTCTCTTTTCGTGTGTAGGGCCGGGTTATCAAGATTATTCATTTGATGTAGTTAAAGTTTTGTCTGGTTTGTATTTACATTTACCCGGTTTAGTTTAACGGTTCTCCTCTTTGTTTCTTTCTATTTGTTGGACTTTACTAACCTTTGTCTTCTGTGTTTATGTGTTTGAACCGAGGGTCTTTTGGAAATAGTGTCCCTAAGTAAGGGTATGGTCTGTGCATACCAATCCCATACACCAGACCCCATGTGTGGGATTTTACCGAGTAAATTCTTCTTGTTGTTGTGGCCAAAGTGAGATGTGTAATAACTTAACACACTAAGCCTAACGTAAAGCCCGAACAAGAAGAGATAGAGAATAACATGAATAAACAAATATCATTTCACATGGTCACAAGGAAAAGGCAAGACTATTTATTGAACAAAAAGGTTGAGCACCTTTTGTTCTTCACTGTGTTTTTATAATGTTGTGTTGTTATTTTAAACAACTTCATCGAGTCTTGCGTGATCCTATGTCACAACAAAAACCTAATTAGTAACAAGAACACTAACCTATTAATTAAGTTTCCCTATAATAATTCAGAGTACACAATCCTTACCACTATCATATGAAATTAGGAGGATTGTTTGTTCATGATTTAGTGGTCCATCACTCTATCACGTTCCAAGGTACGGTCCATGAGAAGAACTAGGGGGGCCGTACGAGTATCGCCACTCCCCACAAGCCATGCATCTCTCTGACTTCACACTGTTATCCAATGTACAAAACTTGCAAGCCCACACCTTTGATTTCTCACTCCCTTCCTTCTTATTCTTTAGTGTTCCACAAGCTTCACAGGAAAGAGCTAGATTCTGAAATGACAGAAATTGACAAATTTAACTCCAAAGCCATATTCACTAGTCTCGTGGGACTTATCGTCTCATGACCCCATGGGAGTATGGGACTCTATGCAGGATCATATTATACATTGCATGATAAGTACCAATTGAAAGACAATACTGTCAATTAAGACCTTGTTTGAGAACAAAGTTTTCAATTAGCACTAGCGATTTGCATAACTTTTTAATGCTGCGGATTACCTTCGAAAAAGCTAAAACTAAATGTTGCCATTAGTTAGCATTTCAAAACACCAAAAAGGTATGTAGTTAGGTGTGTGACTGTGCAAAGGTATGGTGCAACCCAGTGTTTCATCTGGTTCGGTTGAAACGTCTATAATGTGTATAAAAAAGTGTATATGCTTCAAAAGGGACTTACACTTACCGGATTCAATAAAGTACAAGCACTGCATTGCCATGTCGGAATAGAGTCTGTTGTATGAAGTGAGCTCTCAATGAACCCATCTTTCTGTACTCGGGAAACGTTAGAAGTTTCAGAATCAGAAGATGGTTTAGCCACCAGAGATTCGGATCCACACCACACATCATCAAGTAACCGCCTTTCAGCAGCCATTGCAGCAGCTTGAATGGGGCTCAGAGAAGCCTTGATGATATTATCACCACCAATGCGTTTTGGCCTGTTTGGCAACATTTGTCCTAGTTGTGCTCTGATTTCTGCAGCCGACAGCGTCTTCTGCCTCAATAAGGGTAATGGAAGCTGGCGGGAAAATCCTCCAAGTCACTTTCCAGGAAGATCAAACCCTTTCCCTGTGCCTGTAATTCCTTTAGCCATAAGTTCTTCACATTCCTGTAACACGAATGAATAGTAAGGATCCATATCCCTTTTTGGAACTCAGAAAATGCTAGGGAAGAAAAATATAGGGGAAAGTTGGAAGGGAAGTAAATGTGGGTAAGTGGGTTGAAGGCTAAAAACAATTATCCAAAATCAATAATGTGTTCAAACTCATTTTCTTTATCTATTTCTATCATACGAGGACTATAAAGTTTGAACTGTTTTTTAAAAAAACAGAAACCATACCAACGTAATAACAAACATAAGAAAGTAAGTTTTCTAGTATTTTCCCCTTTCCCTACCGTTTTCTGGGATCCAAACATACATCGAGTCTCTAAAACTCAACCTTTTACATCAAGAAGGACGAATGTAATGAGAACTGTATGAGGTTTCAGTAAATCCAATGATGACATGTTTAGAATATCAGCATATAGATAACTGCACTCCTTGTTGCATAAATGGGAGAGAAAGGGGAAAATGTTGAGGAAATAGTTTTATTAAATATTTGGCTTTACATAGGAAAAAATGAAGGGAAATCGAAATGCATCAAATCTTCGTAAAGCGTTACATAGATTTATATTTGTTTGTCTTTATGGAATAGAATACAAAATAAAATGAGTTTGAACAGATACAATTACGGACTTGGAGGGAATTCTTTTTTCTCACCTAATTTTCTTTCCTTCAAAATTTACCCTCTATACTCTTTCTCTAGCAATTTCCACATTAAAAATGACCCCAAAAAACATAAGAAACTTACAACCAGACCTTTCTTATTTCACCTAAAAGATTGTAGAAATCAGTATTATGAGGGCCATGTTCATTGTGACAAAGTTCATGAAGCATTGTATCAAGAATCTGATTAAAAGGGAAGAAATCCAACTCGTTATTATGTCTGCGCAATCTTAGCTTGACCTCTGTCCCTCCTCCTATGTTGAGCCCTAATAGAGATGGATTTGGAGGGCTGCAAATTGAAACTTACAAGTTAGCGTAATGATGGTGCTTCAAGACAGAAAAAACTAATATACATCAAAAAAAATGTAACACATTTTTTTGGGATAAAATCTACAATGTTCAATAGAAATTAGCTATTTTGTGGAACTAAGAATCTTTATTTGACAAAATAAGTTTTGGCATACGATTCTTTTGAGGGCGAATGGATCAAATGAACATTCAGGACAAAGTAACGACATTACCAAAATTCAGAAAGGAGTTCGACTTTCCAATTCCATTTGCGCATGATTGGTTGGACCTGTTTTGCTACTTTTTCTAAGATTTCCCTTGCCTCGTCTTCTCTTATCTTCTGAAGGGGTTTCACCTTCCATACCTTGTTGAGGTCATTTAGATCCATGGAAATCGAGTGCCAAGCTGAAACTATAAAAACACCCCTTTTTTTTATTAGACTGATCGAATCCAAATAGAGCTTCTCAATTCACATAAAAGTATCTTCTCAAGGGGTTCCCTGACTGAGCTTCGTTAAAAACAAAGAGGCTAATTCAATACATTTGACCCTTGATGGATGCATTGCAAAAATTACCACCCAAAACATCATAGAAAGTAAGAAGTTTGTTCAGTCCATTATTTCCCCGAAACTAAAGCATGATACTCTTTTATCATCATTAGAAATGGATGCCAAGCCACGCAACAGTATACACAAAATCTTTCTGGTCTGATTGTTTGAATGATCTTGCACAAAATCTCAAAACACTACAAATCACTTTCCATTTTCACACATTGTTATGAATCGGCAGTGGGACTGCAGAATCAATGGAAGGTATGGAAGAATCGGTAATGCTGAGGTGCCCCCAAATAGTTGCTACCATGGGTGCACCCAAGCTTCGCACAGATGATTATCATTTGTGTGATCTGTGCGAAGCTCGGGTGCACCCATGGTAATAACCATTTGGGGCACCCTAACATGGTCCATGGGTGAATATCCCAAAATCCAAAAAATGAATGAATAGTACTTTAGGATGTGAATACAAATCCAGAGCTGCAAAACACCATCATAAACTACAAACTAAAAGGCCAGAGTTCTAACCAGGTAACTAGAGTTTCTACGTAAGGTTATATTATACGAATTGAATTAAAAAACACATAAGGATTAACATTTATGCCAGAACCTTCTTCTTCAGAACCCTAATTAGGTCCAGAAATAAATTGAACATTTTTTCAGGTATAATTCATCTCTGTGATTATCCTCTTTAAACTCATAACCTCTAAAAAGGTCACTTCTTTCATAACTTCAAAGTACCTGAGAAAAACGAAGCCTTTGCCGGAAGGACGCCGCGAATTCTATCGCCGACAGTTAGATTTCAGAAAATATAGTGGAATTTTTTAGCGGGGAAGGTCAAGAGAACAAAAAATTATTTGCATTTAAAAAAAAAATTAATTTAAAATCGAGTACTTGCAATTTTTTTAAAAAAAAATCGTGCTATTTATATTTATACATACATGCTCTATAAAAATATGATAATTAGAAAAAATAAATTTTTAAAAAATAAATATTAATTTTATATATTTTTAAAAAATATATTTTCTTTAAAAACTTATGATCAACATTTATAAACTTCCACCAAGAAAAAATCAAATTGAAATAAGTTTTCGCATGATGGCGTAACAAAATGATTTACAATTCACTAGATTTGAAAACCAATATAATTAAATATTAAAAATTATATATTTAAAAGTGATTCAAAATTTTATAAAAACAATATTCGATATAGTTTTGTTACACGGTCAAACTTTATTCATTTTCTTTAACTATTTTCTGTTAGTTATTTGATAAAATAATGTAGTTTTGTCACTTTTTGTTTTGTAGAGCTTTTGTTGTAGTTTTTAAATATATACTCCAACAATCAAATAAATTGAATTGAAAATAAAGTCGGTCAAACCTCGTAAACAGAAACGAAAAGAATATTTTATAACGGAAGAAGTAACAAAAAGTTTATCAATTATGTAGTGACTAAAAACTTACTCTGTATAAATTACGGAGTATTAGGAAGTACTACGGGTATATGTTTTTCAGCATTTTATCTTTCCTTTTAGTCAAAAGTTAGTGCCCCCAACATTTGACTTTGTCATCAACACAAATTTTGATAGACCGAAGCAAGTATCGAGACATCTAAATTTGTATTTGTCTAATTTATTCGAATACAAATTCGAATATGAATATGAATCGAATTAAAAATAAGATTTGTATTTGTATTTGATTAATATTCAAATAGGTAATGAATCACAAACGAATATTCGAATAATCATAATCCGTAATTTATAAAATGAACCAATATCGATTTTGAATAATGTAAGTTACATAGTTAAATTACCGATAATGAACCTCCCTAATACTCGAATAATCATACTCTGTAACTTTCTAATAACTCACGAGGTTAATGAACTTGCTACCGTTCAAGTATTCTAAATTTATTACTTGGCAATAACAAAAGGTATTTTAGATTGATGCATGTTGGGATTGGGTGCATTAGCATTGAATTTGGGCCTTTTTTCACTTCATTATTGATGTAAATTTCTTATGACTAGTCTTGATACAACCATGTTCATCATCTCCCGTTTTTCTTTCACAATTGGCCCTTGGGAAGGGTTTTACTTCGGGTTCTCCATTTTTTTGTTGGATCTGCAGCCACACAGAAGCTCATAAATATCACGAATTCAACAAATTCCCAACGAAATTATTCATCATCAAAACACTCTATCAGAAAAACACTGAATCTTAATAACAATTGTTTTGACCAATTCTTAATGAAAAATAAGGAGAAAATCCATCCAAAATGTACATTCTATGATTTCATTAAAAAAACTAAAATGGGCATAAGGAGTGATGGCCGAGTGGTTAGGAGTGAATACGAATAGTAATGTCTTAATATAAAAGATTTGCCACAAAAAACTATAAAAAAACTTTTGAATCAGTACTTTAATTAAAAAGACTTGAGATATTGACCACGTTTTCTCACTCATTGGCTTTGCAATATACATTGAAATATATATAATGTGTTCTTTAATTTGAGTGCGTTGTACAGAAACATTGAGTCGCCATTGATATATGAAATTTACATATTCTAAAATAGAGAAATATTGAGCCGCTCATTGGCTTTGTAGTATATATGAAAAGATATAGAGTGTGTTCTTTAATTAGAGTTGCTTGACTTCAATGCTTAAATTAAGTACTATAAGAGTTTGTCGTGTCCCTACTTGTGTTAGAGATTCAGAATCTCTGCATGTAGTTTTTCATGATGAAGATGTTAGTTGTGATTTTTATATGATCTCTCAAGTTTAATATGACACATTCTGATCCAAGAATTATATTCAAGTTTCCAAGATGACAACTCACTGTGGTTACTTTATATGTAATGATGATTAATAAGAGTTAATAACACTCTCCAAAAGACGTAGGATTATTGTTAAAGGAACTCATATATAATAATGAGCAACTATATGTTACGGTTTCAAAAGTAGCAAATCGTAATAACTTGAAGATTCCAATATACAACACAGAAGATATTCTTACAAATTGTACCGTTCTGTAGTTATAAATAAGTTTTTCCAAAATTTTATAATTTATTTGATATTCGTTCTATAAATAATAAAAATATTTTTATTCCATTATCTGGCTTATTTCTATTTAATAATGATGCTAATATATTTGCATAACATAAATACGAGACGTGCAACACTGGGGTGTGATACTAAATTAATTTAAAAAGTGATGGATCATTTTTTACTACATTGGATTAAAATCAATTAGTAAAAATTAAACAATTAAAAAAATGCACTCCCCCTTAAAAAAAGAAAAAAAAATATTGGGCCGGTTAACACAAATTAACAAAAGAACTCTCCAAGCCCAACTATAATTCTCTATACAATTACTTCACCCTAAAACATCTCAGGTTCTTCCTGCAAGAGATTATATATATAAAGGCCTTCTGCGCAAGCTCCCTCTTCCACAATTCTCCCGTTTCTTCCATTCTATCCAATCCCAGGTATTCTTCGGTTTCTTCTCCGCTTCGACTTCACCCTGATCAAATCGTGTTCTAAAACAATAAGATTCATCTTCCTCTACTATTTCTGATACGAACCGCAATTCTGGATGTGTTTTTCGTTGATGATTTTTTAGATCCATGGTGAAAATTTCTGAAATCTGAAAGCTCATTGTTTAGATCTTATTTTCACAGGTTCCAGTTGAGATTTTTCTCTGTCGCTGTATATATGCTTCTATTTTAAATGGTTTTTTTTTAAAATAAATTTGGAATAAACTCCGTTTTTAGTTTTAGCAGACTGATCCGGATGTATGTATGCTTCTATTTTCAATGCGTTTTTTTCTCTTTTTGATGAATATTTTTAGCATCTGATGGATTAGAGTATCTTTTGTTTTAATAGTATGTTGTATTATTTAGTATCACACTAAGAAATCTGTTGTTTTTGTGGGATTTTTTAATCACTGCTCAGGCCAAAGAAGAGTTTATGCAGTATATGATTGATTTGCTGGTGTGAAAAGCGAACACTTTTAGCTGATTTTACCCACTCATTCATTGCGTGCGGTTAAATTCTAATTATTTGTTTAAATTTTGTTGGCGTAATGACAATAGCTATAAATCCTACACACTATTCGAATGTGTGGTAGATATGGTTTTCCACTAGAAAGTTCTATGCTCAACTTCCATTATACATTTTTTATTGTACTCTTTCCTTGTTAAGTGCAGTCTTTTTGTTTGTGTTCTATAAGTGGAAAATTCATTAATCAAATGTTTAACATGAACTGTATTTCTCTAAGATATGCACATAGGCTTGGGAAAAATAAATAGGAATTTTTTCTTGATGATTGGTTTATTGCAATCCAAGTTATGCATCAAGTTTGACATGAATTAATGACTATCTGTGTGAACATTCATATTGTTTGCACTATCATGGATTCTCTAATCTTCTGTGTTGTTTAAACATTGAATCTAACAATTTCAGGTGTTATGTTGTTAGGGATCAGCCTAATTTCCTAGTTTTGGGAAAAACCCTTTATGCTTATGTGTATAAAAGTTTTTGAGTTAGATCAACTCATTGGATTAAGTTTTATCTCAACTAAGGATAACCAAAACATATTAACAGTAACATGAGCTACAAAAAGAATTAAAAGGTTAAAGGACATTTTTGATGACTGCATTCGTGAAAAGTGTTATGTTTCGTGTGTAATAACCTTTCATTATTGCGGTGAAGTTTTGCAGGCTGTGTCTGTATTCAGTCAAATTTTCAAGTGTCACAGTGTGGAGCTTTTTATGTCCGAACAAGCCATTCTCTATTCTGGGACAATTGGTCTGCTTGGAAAATATTGTCCTAAGTCAAGGAAAAAGAATCCTCATTTCTCTCATAAAATTGAATGTATCCGTCTCATACCATTCCAGGAGCAACTAGCAACTCAGTATTTTCGTGCTGACGACCTCCTTGAAGGCTTCCCCCTAGCAGATCCTGATCACTTCCTCTGAGTACTACAGTCTCTGCAAACATGGCGCTGCAGAACATTGGTGCTGGCAACAGTGATGATGCCTTCTACAGGTACAAGATGCCGAGGATGATCACCAAGATTGAGGGTCGTGGAAATGGCATCAAGACTAATGTTGTCAACATGGTTGATATTGCAAAGGCTTTGGCTCGCCCAGCTTCCTACACTACAAAATACTTTGGTTGTGAACTTGGAGCACAGTCAAAATTTGATGAAAAAACTGGAATCTCGCTCGTTAATGGGGCCCATGACACGCCCAAACTTGCGGGCCTTCTTGAAAACTTCATCAAAAAGTATGTTCAGTGCTATGGGTGTCGAAACCCTGAAACAGAGGTCTTAATTACCAAAAGCCAAATGGTCCAACTGAAATGTGCTGCCTGTGGTTTCATATCTGATGTGGACATGAGAGACAAGCTCACTTCTTTTATCCTCAAGAACCCACCAGAAGCTAAAAAGAGTTCAAAGGATAAGAAGTCATTGAGGAGGGCTGAGAAGGAACGTCTGAAGGAAGGCGAGGCTGCTGATGAGGAGCTTAAGAAGGTGAAGAAAGATTCAAAGAAAAAGGTTTCTTCTTCCAAGGATGCCCCTGCAGCAAAAACTAGCTCTAAAAAGAAGCTCAGTGGGTCAGATGGTAATTCGCCACCTAGAAACCATGTTAACGAAGAGGATGAAGACGATGATGATGACGGTGATGATGTGATGTGGCAGACTGACACATCTATGGAGGCCGCACGCCTACGCATCCAAGAGCAGCTGAATGCCGTAACTGCTGACATGGTTATGCTTTCTACAGAAGGTGACACCACAGGGAAGAAGTCCAAGAAAGCCAACAAGGATCAAGAAAGCCCAAAAGCTGTTTCTCCACCTTCTGACGAGGGTGAGAAAATAGAAACATCCCTGCACGAGAGGCTTGTTGAGGAGCTGAAGGAGAAAATCAAGGAAGGCATCACTCCCAGCCAGTTTGTATCTGTTCTTGGATCTCTTTCTGGGACTCCCCAGGAGGTCATGACTGCGCTATATGAATCCCTCCTTGATGGGGTTGACAAGGGGTATGCAAAGGTGATTCTCAAGAAAAAGAACTATCTTGCAGCTGCCATGTCCCAGAATGAAGGGTCACAACTCATGTTGCTGAAAGCCATAGCTGAGTTCTGCTGGCAATCAAACTCTGCTGCTGTGAAGGAAGTTGCCCTGGTCTTGAAAGCTCTCTATGATGCCGACATTCTGGAGGAAGAATACATAGTGCAGTGGTACAATGAGGGTGTCAAGGAGGACAAGGACGCTCCGCTTTGGAAGAATGCCAAACCTTTCATTGAATGGCTTCAAAGCGCAGAGTCCGAATCCGAGGAGGAATGAAAGGTTGTGTGCTTTTATGCTTCTTTATATATAACGCTTGCTTGTGTTTCTTGATCCCTAAATATAGGGCAACTATTACTACTACCCCTTTATGTTCCTGTTTGAAGCGTCTTAGTCCCGGTCTGGACATGTCATTTGGTCGTGTGTGTTTTCCTACAAGTCGTGTCTTGTTTTTATGGTCACATTTGTGAACGTCACCCGTACAAGTGTGTGTTTGAACTCCCTCGACTATATATTCATAGCTGAGTTTTTCTCCCTATTCCCTGTTGGTTTGTGATCATTAACGTCCGAAGAAATTTACTTTTATTGCAATGGGTGTTACTTAGTACACAAAAATCTCCCTTTACCAATCTGTCTTTGACAAAAGACCAACTAAAAACATGGACCATATCTGTGTTCACTTTTTGCCTGGATACCATTTTATAGCTGTCAAGTATTCAAAACTTCTTCACTCTATTGACATGTTTGGTGTCACCTTTACCAAGAAAATTATAGGTTAATCATCAAATATGAAAAGAGAAACCTTAGCTCAATTATACTAAGGTCTGGCTATGTCAAGCTCAATGACCATACGCCCATCAAATTTCAAAATGACAATGAGTAGTTTGAAAAATCTCATTCAGTATGTTTGGTAGGCAAAAGAGATATGTGTTACTTTTGTGTGTTTGGTGAAAACAAGAGAGATATTGAGTTTGATATTCCAGATATCTTAAATTTCTAAATTCGGGATTTTAATATCAATATGAAAGTTTGATATCTCTCAATTGTTAGACTATTTTCCGTCATCGGCTATTATAGTTATCACCAACAGTCCATTTATCGGTCTCTACAGCTGATCATTAATATTTCTACAAACAATTTTCTTCCAGATTTTAAAATTTATATCATTTGTTTCAAATTTTAAAGTTCATATTTTCTTGTGCCTTCAAAATTTTTCAAATGGACCCTTAATCCGATTTTTCGAAGCAACTTTACACTTTGAAACAAATACTGTATTTTATTGCACTAATATTTGTGGTTTGCTAAATGTGTACTGTAATCTCTTGTGGTTTTAAAATTTATGTTTTGCTCTCATATATCTTTCAAGTTATAGATAATAACTCGGATGCCAACTGTAGTTTTTGAAATGGGCTCCGATGACTCCTTTCGTTTTTTCTTTATTATTTTTTTCGTCTTCTTTTTCATATATGTTTTTTAACTTCATTTTTAAAATTATTTTTACACTCCGTATTGTTTTAATAATCAAAATTATTTGTGTTTGAAATTAAAAATCAATTAAATAAAAAGAATTACTACGTAATGTACACTTCATTTGTCTCAAATTAAATATTTTCATGTTATTCAGAAGAGATCCTTATTATTTCTTTTTAATGATACAAAATTAATAAAACATTTTCTTTTTTTGTTGCACGGAAGCTTGTTTCACATTTTTTGTTTTATTTATTTATTTATTTTTCTCTTGTTTTTTTAAATCTATTTTTATAAAATTTATTTTATTTAAATCAAAATTAATATAAAGGAAAAAAGAATCGAAAATAAAAAAGAAAAGTATGAGGGAAAATAAAGGCATGAGGGAAATCTATTGTGCATCGGTCCAAAAATTATTATGGATATATAATTAACTAAATATTTAAAAGGCCTTATTCAGTATTCTTTTAGTCCCAACATATTAAAAAAAAACAAGAAATTTTTAGTAACATATGAAAATATTTAATTTGACACAAATGCAGTATATTTAATTTTTTTACTTCAAACACAAACGATTTTTATTTTTTAAAACACTTTTTAAAAAATAGATTTGAACAAACTTTTCAAATACAAACATTTTTCTTCTCCTTATAAAAATTGAAAAATAACAAAGGAAAAGGGAGAGAGGGTATTGGTGTTCATTTTCAAAATCATAAGGGGCAACGAAGCTATTTATTTAATATTTGAAGAATATTTAGTCTATAGGTTTTAAAAAAAAGTCTATAGGCATTGACGTTAATTAGAATTTTAAAACTATATGAGACAACAACGTAAATTTTAAAACCATGAGACGATAAGATACACATTTACCAAATCATAAGAGATATTTGTGCAACAAACTCGTGTTTTTAAGAGAAGAGTATCTTCACACTCAAAGCCACATCACGACGCTCCATATTTTGTAACGCTTAATGCGTCTATTAATTGATCATGTGCTATTGTTTATTTTTGAAAATCATTTGAGTATTTTACATACGAGAAAATTATTTGATTATTTTTCCTATTTGTGCATACTATGTGACCCAAAAGTACTTGTTTGTAAGTGAGATATACTCTAAAGTAGGGCTGTTCATCGGTCTAAGACCAGACCGGACCGAATCGGACCGGACCTATAAGCATTCGGTTTTAGATCGAACCGGACCGAAATGGAATAGGACCGAACCGACTAGACCTAAAAGACCGAAATTGCACCAGAAATCTAGGCTAATACTTCAATTCTGTAAAAAAAAAAAGGGTTAATAGCATGGGCACCCCCTGTGGTTTACAAAAAGTGCGTCAAAACCCCCCTTGTTTTCAAAAGTTATTTGTAAAGTCGCTGTGGTTTCTAAATAGAGCACACATGCCCTCCTTATCTATTTTTAGAGCAAAAATGACATTTATGCCCCTTGTTTTCCCCGATCTTGAATTTTTCTGATTTTAATTTGCTTTATTATACAAATATATAAAATAAAAAAATGTTTCCCATCTCAAATTAGAATTTTTCATAATGTACTTTTGAAAACAAAATATTTTTTGGAGAATGTTACAAAAAATTGAAAAATAAAATATTATGCACAAAGTAAAAAGTAATAACAGTTAAAAAAAGTAATGAAAAGAAATAAAAATTTAAAAAATAGTCTTTTTTTTAACTCCATATTTTATTTCATCTTTCTGTTCTTCATATTTCATTTTTAAATTAAGGAGTTAAAGAAAAAGACTATTTTTTATATTTTTATTTCTTTTCATTACTTTTTACTTTGTACATAATATTTTATTTTTCATTTTTTTGTAACATTCTCCAAAAAATATTTTGTTTTCAAAAGTACAGTATGAAAAATTCTAATTTGAGATGGGAAACATATATTTTATTTTATATATTTGTATAATAAAGGAAATTAAAATCGGAAAAATTCAAGATCGGGGAAAACAAAGATCATAAATGTCATTTTTGCTCTAAAAATAGGTAAGGGGGCATGTGTGCTCTATTTAGAAACCACAAGGACTTTACAAATAACTTTTAAAAACAGGAGGGGTTTTGACACTCTTTTTGTAAACCACAGGGGGTGCCGATGCTATTAACCCTTAAAAAAAATGCAATAGAACCCAACCAAGAAACAAACGCAGAGAACTTCAAATACAAAAGAAATAAGGAGTACGTCCTTGGAGAGGCAAGAACACATTTAAGCAACCAACCTTAACATTTAGCCGTCAAAATGCAAAATTGAAAAAAAAAATATAGCACCTGATGCAATGAAAGAACAAATTCTAAAATCAAAAGTAAGCTACGGATTGCTGATAGAGGAAGAGAGGGTGTGCCAATGTTTGTGTCATTGTAATGGGAATAGATTGAATCGCTAATTTGGGAAAGAAATTGATGTGAAAATACGACTTGTATAAGACAGAGCAAACGGTGCTGTGGACGGGATTCTCCTTGCTCATCCTCATGCGTGCGGTGCTGCAGCCTGCAGAGACGGGGATTTCCAGCGTTTCACTCAGACGGAGTGTGGATACCGGGAGAGACGGGAAAACCCTAGAAGATAAGCAGAGAAGAAAAATAGATTCTGGTAAATGAGAGGCTGAGGGGTGACCGAAAGTGTATAAGTGATCGGTCTTTCGGTCCAGACCTAAATGATATCGGGTTTGGACCCGACCGGACCGAGACCTAAATCCTTAAAAATCTTGGACTGAAGACCGACCCTAAATGCTTTCGGTCCGGGTTCGGTCTGGACCTATACGTCCGGTTCGGTCCATTTTTTTCGATCCGGACCTAATGATCAACACCCCTACTCTAAAGAGATGCATCATTTTCTCATTTGGCCTGTAACTTGTAAAATATAAAAAATGAAATAGATTATCAGTAGTACTTCTTTCGTCTCAAAAAGAATATCACGATTTACTATTAAAAAATCATGAAATTTTTTATTTCTTGGTACGTTTTCATTAATAATTTGATAAAATGAAATATTTTTATCACTTTTTGTTTAGCATGTAACATACTCCTATGGAATATTTAATCTTTTTATTTCTATGTCAATACTTAAACAAAATTAATTAATAAAATATTAAATTTCACTTTGTTTTACGTAATGTGAAATTCTTTTTTAAATTAGTGACATCAATTTGAGTGTTATCTTTACACTCAATTTTTAAATATCTGGTTTGTTTGATATACGGAATTGATAGAATTGAAATTGAATTGAGAATTCAAATCAAAATTAATTTAGAAGGAATTCAGTTTTCCAATTCTAATTCATTTTTGGCACTGGCAATTCTAAATCCACATATTTTTGTAACACCAAATATCAAAATTATAATTATTATTTCCAATTTAATTCTATAATTTAAATTTCGTGTATTAAAAAGGGAACCTTAAAATAACAATACTGTTAAAACATGGCAATAAATATGGCGCAGATTGCATTATTTTTCTGCTGAGCATTTGTGTATTTCTGCATTCTGACTTGCTCTAATTTTACCGGGAGGGATTATTTATTACTAGCAGTAATTTTCACTTTTCTCAGCAGTGTTGGAAATGTGTGCCCAATCAAGGGCCTCTCAGTAATAACAAGTCAAAGCCAAAATTGTTTTTCAGATTTTAATGAACCATTGTCATGGCATATCATCTATATTTTCACATTTTCAATGACAACATAATAATGTATTTTTTCTTATGTAGAATTTTTTACTTCTTCCGTTCCCAATTTGATTACAAATTGTAGGTTACGGAGTAAAAATTGTAATCTATTTAGGGACGGAGGGAGTATATGGAATACAAAGTATACAAATGCTAATTGTTATTTAAACGTTAATTTTAAAATAAATTAAAAATAAATTCAGTCACTAATTTAAATTGTAAAATGACTTTAACAATGTTTGACGATAGATTTAGTATTTTCGAAAGTGTTATATAACTATAACTCTTGTTGTTAATGTTTTTCAAAATTATTTCACACTGTTAACTACTTCAGACCCGATCAGAGCTTATAATAACCGAATCCTAACCAAAAAAATAAATAACTGAAACCGACTCGAAAAAATTTAAACCAAACCCTATTTTTGTGGGTTGGATTTGGGTTAGTATATTTGACCAACCCGACCTATATCCGACCCGACTTATAGCCAACTCTCAGTAAGTTTTTAAGAACCCAAAATTTCTATATTCTGTGTATTTTTTATGCACATGTTTTGAATGTTTTAAAACTTATTGCATTTCTGTGTTTTTTTTAAGTTTTAATTTTTAATGTAATTTAATCTTAAATTTTACCTGAATACTTTTATTAGTATTCAAATCCGAATTTGACCATAATTGATCCGACCGAATTTTAAACCAAATCCGAACCGAAAAAATAAATATCTAAAATCGAATGCCAAAATCAAACCCACAATCGATCAAAACCGGGTCAGATTTCAATATATTCAAGCCCGAACGAACCTGACCCGTTGTCATCCCCATCAATGCAAGAACATAATAGAACTTTTCTATTTAAAAAAAGGACTTTTCTATATTAAAAAAAGGGCAAGTTTAGGCCCCTCAAATGTTTGGGGTGTTATAAAGGAAACAAAATGAACAGATGCCTTAAAGAATTCACCCAATTTTTGTAGTGTAGTAAAGCTTTTTCTTCCATTTCTCCTTTCTTCCATAACTGAATTTCCCACCAAAAAGATACTGCTCCTCTCTCTACTTCTGCTTGCCTCCCCGACACCATTTCTCCTTTCTTCTGAACCAAGAACCTCCCCATCTTCTTCTTCCTTCTTCCTTCTTCCCCTCTCAAAAGATTCCCCCAAGAAACTCGTCAAAAGACCAGATTTCTCTCTCCCTGGGGGGTTTCTCCCCTGCTGCAACAATGGCGAAATCGATTCCTCTTCTTTTCTTGACGATCGCCGCCCTTCTCCTCTCCCTCCCCCATCAATCTGTCTCTCTACGGAGTGCGCAATCTCTCTCTCTCACTCGCATTTCAGTTGATTTCTCGATTCTTGATTCTTGATTCCTGATTCTTGATTTTTTGGTTTGCAGATCCGAGTTATCTAGGTTTTGTGGTGAACGCGACGCAGTTGCCGCCGGAGGAGTACTACGATTACATCGTCATCGGAGGCGGAACCGCCGGCTGCCCACTGGCGGCGACGCTGTCCGAGAAGTACAAAGTTCTGGTTCTTGAAAGGGGCGGCGTGCCCTATGGGAACCCCGATTTGATGACCCAAGAAGGGTATCTCACCGCCCTCACCGACGTCGACGCCTTCGACTCTCCCGTCCAGGCTTTCACCTCCGAGGAAGGCGTCCCCAACGCCCGCGGCCGCGTTCTTGGCGGCAGCAGCACCATCAACGCCGGATTCTACAGCCGGGCGGACGGGGAGTTCTATCTCCGGTCGGGAATCGATTGGGACATGCGATTGGTGAACCAGTCTTACGAATGGGTGGAGAGGCTCATCGTTTTCCGGCCGGAGCTCCGGAGCTGGCAAATGGCGGTCAGGGACGGGTTACTGGAAGCCGGAATCGACCCTTACCACGGCTTCAGCTTAGAGCACGTTCTTGGAACCAAGATTGGTGGGTCCACCTTCGACCCCACCGGCCGGCGACACATCTCCGCCGACCTCCTCTCATACGCTAACCCTTCCAACATCCGCGTGGCCCTCCACGCCACCGCCGAGAGGATTCTGGTGAAAAAACACACGGCGGCCGGAGTTGTCTTCCGGGACCGGACCGGCAGGTACCACCACGCCATGGTTAGGGGTAAAGGTGAAGTCTTGCTCGCCGCCGGAGCTCTGGGTACCCCTCAGATTCTTCTATTGAGTGGAATCGGCCCAAGACCCTACCTTTCTTCTCTGGGTATTCCGGTGACCCTTCACTCCCCTCACGTAGGGCAATTTCTGTTTGACAATCCCAGAAATGGAATCTCAATTGTCCCTCCATTGCCCTTAGGGCACTCTCTGGTTCAGGTTGTGGGGATAACAAGCTCAGGAGCTTACTTAGAAGCTGTATCCAATGTCATCCCACTGTCTTCCCCTTCCCCACACCCTTTCTTCGCCGGAAACCCATATTCTCCGCCTGTCTACTACCGCACCGTGGCCACCATCTTGGAAAAGGTCATCGGCCCGACCTCCGCCGGGTCCCTCAGATTGGCTTCGACAGACGCCAGGATGAACCCACTGGTCAATTTCAACTACTTCAACGACAGGGGAGATCTGGAGAGGTGCGTGAACGGGACCCGGAAGATCGGCGAGGTCCTGAGGACGAGTTCCATGGAGGCGTTCAAGTTCACGCAGTGGTTCGGGGGCAGGGACTTTGCTTACGTGGGCCCCGCGCTGCCGGAAGACCAGTCCAACGATGCCCTGATGGAGGAGTTCTGCCGCCAGACGGTGAGCACCATATGGCATTACCACGGCGGCTGTGTGGTGGGGAAGGTGGTGGATGGGGACTTCAGAGTGGTGGGGATCGAGTCGCTTCGCGCGGTGGACGGTTCCATTTTCACTGTCTCGCCGGGGACGAATCCCCAAGCCACCCTTCTCATGCTTGGGAGGTGAGTGAACAGACAGAGTTGAAAGACACACTCAAAGACCACAGAAGAACAATGTTTATTAGTCTTATGTTAACTTCCATGTTTGGTGTTTCTTTGTTTTTGCAGGTATGTGGGCATGAAGATGCTAAGGGAAAGGATGTGGTAGGAAGTGAAGAGAATGTAGTTTTGCTTCTGTGAGTTGGCACTTGAGTAGAGAAATTTAAGCACAAAAAAAGAAAGTGAATGGGTTAGGTTTAGTTGTTTTCTGCTATGGGAAAATAGTATGGTTGGTTGTGTACATAAATGAGGGGTATAAATGTGTGATTGTGTTCATGGTTTGGTTTTTACACTGAAGTTTTGTGATCATCATCTCTGGGAATTGCTTAAAACCACTTGAATTCAACAAACAGTTGGATCATTTGCATCATAAGTACAGTTTTTGATGGCCATCTGTTAGCATTTGAATTGAAGATTGCAAGCTTAACCATCTGTAGATGATAAACCACATTGTTATACACTGTATGAAGAAGCCAAAGCTATGAACTCTAGAATCCACTAAGAAAGTGTTAAGATTTTGTAGAATGATAGGGAGTATTTTACAGCCACTGAGATGTTAAAAGTCAAGATCCAAGCCTCCTCCTCCTTCTTCTTCCAAGATCCAAGCTTTCTTTCCAACCCAATTCTCTCCTCCAGAAGCTTTTGGAGACAGTCCTTAAGCTGAATTGGATCTGTGGTTGTAGCCTTTAGGGTTTATATATTTGTAATGTGTTTGTGTTTTCTGGGCTCATTAGGAGTTTGAATTTGAATGGTTTTAAATTTGTTCAAAAAACATGTTTGCACAAAGAGCCAATGTGAGACTCGAACCTGGGTAAACTTATTCATTGGGCTAAGAAAGTCTTTTAGTGAAAGGGCTTAAAAGGAAGAAGCAAAAGACCTTAGGTTTGATCCAAAAGAAAAGTGGGAGAAAAAAAAAGAGATTTTTGGCCCACCAAATAAGGTTTCATTATTGATTATTTTGATATGTGATTAGTTTGTGTTATTCATGGGTATAAACTACCACTTGAATTGCATAAGAGTATGGTCTAAGGAGGGTGTGTGTACGTAGATATTACTCATACTCGAAAGTAGGAATTGTTTCCAAAGACACTCCCAACTCAACATTGAAAATTGCATTGATTCACTAGTTGTTACTTCATTAATCATAGAAGCACAAACAATTTAAAGATCTATTTTGTTTTATTCCATTACACCCCAAAGCTAATAAACAGTGAATTTTTAATTCCATCGAAGTATCATAGTGATACTGCTAGACCATAGTGTCTTTGTCATCAATTTTAATTATTAACAAGATAGTATCCAAATATTTTTTAATGTTTGTAAATTCATGTACGTAAAATAAAACTCAAGTGCAATTCACAAATAATAAGAAGTGAAATAAATTTTATACATTTGGTTCGGTTCACTTTAATTTTTTGTGATTGTTTTTTCAATTCAATTTTTGGATTTAAAAAAAATCGGGAAGGACTTCCTTTTTTCCAATACTTTTAGGTTTTTATTTAGTGTGTGGATTCAGGAGCAAAAGTGATTAGTTTTTATCCGACACTCTATTCATTATTCTCAATCCGTACACTATTCATTGTTCTCATAGTATCAAAATTTTAACAAAAAGAAATGTAAAATATATTTGTGAGACTAAAAGAGTAGTGGGAAAACAAAATAAATCAAATGTCAGATAATCAATTAATCATGAACTATCATTTTTCTTTTCATTAGACATTTGCCAATAGTACCCCTCCCCTACATGTGCAATAATTTGGTTGGGAAGAGTCTCTGTCTCACCCACCCACCAAATTCGTGTTCAAACTCGATTCTCGTTCCGACGACGCCGCCCCCTCCTCCGATCTCTCTCCCCTTTTCCCCCCTTTTCCAGATTCCGCTCCAGCTCCAGATCATCATCATCATCATCCAACAATGGCGACCGTTCCCAGGAATTCCATCAACTTCCAATCCCTAGCTCCCCCTTGTTCCCATCTCCGGCGGAATCTCGCCCCAAATCGCCTCCCGTTCCTTCATCCCTCCCCGGATCCGACCCCTCTCCGGCTCTCCTCCCTCCGATCCCGCATCTCGCGCTCGTTCCAGGTCCGGAGCGTCCTCAGCCCGGTTCAGTCTGCCGACGCGTCCGTGTCCAGGGAATCAGATCTCGCGACCTCTGCGGCGGAGGTTAAGCCGAGAGTGCTGGTCTCCGAGAAGCTCGGCGACGCCGGGATTGAGCTGCTCCGGACATTCGGAGAGGTGGAGTGCTTGTACAACCTGTCGCCGGAGGAGCTCTGTGCTAAGATCCGGCAGTTCGACGCGCTCATCGTGCGGAGTGGGACGAAGGTCACGCGCCAGGTGTTCGAGGCGGCTCGCGGCCGGCTCAAGGTGGTTGGCAGAGCCGGCGTTGGGATCGACAACGTCGATCTGCAGGCGGCGACGGAGTACGGCTGCCTGGTTGTGAATGCTCCCACCGCCAACACCATTGCCGCCGCGGAGCACGGCATTGCTTTGCTCGCTTCCATGGCTCGGAATGTCGCCCAAGCTGATGCCTCCGTGAAAGCCGGTAAATACGCATTTGATTACGTCACTGAATAAAGTTTTAAATTTACCTAAATAGGACTAAAATATAATGACTTTCCTAATATAGGAGCATATGTTTTTATTTCCGAATGTAGGACTTTTGGTCATTATCAAGTAGTCATTATTCAGCTAAATATCCGACATTATTTCTTCCACTATGTCATTATTAAGACCTATTTAGGGAATAAAAAAGTTTAAGTCCTACATTAGGAAAGTCATTATGTTTTAGTCCTATTTAGTGCAAATTTTTTATTTTAAAATTTCGCCAAAGAAATAAAAATACATCAAGTGTTTATGCGGGGTATTATTTTTCTTTTTTAGTTCATGATAAAATTTAGCTTCGTAATTATAAAATCTTACTTTTCTAATTCTGGTGCGCATTTAATTTGAAGTAAACCGGACTAATGAAACGCAGAGATCATTAATATTTAAAACATATCCCAGACTGTATTGAAAAAGTGTCCCAAACAAGTTTGGCGTGCGTATTAAATTTAGTTAAACAAACATATAAATTTAAAGATAAAAGGAGTAATTATATTTAGTGATGATTAACCGAAATTATTTGTAATTTAATACTCCGTATATTCAAATAATGGTGTAAAATTTAATAATAACAACGATAGCAACTTAATTAGATTTCACGAGAGTAGGGTCTGGGAGGGTGTGTGTACGCAGATCGTGCCCTTAGTTAAGAGTCGAAAGACGTAAAATTTATTAGTAATATTTATATATTTAAAAATACACCAAAAGTTATTTTATTCTAACAAATGTCTAGAGTAAATTAGTAAAGAAAAAAAATATACTTCTACCCAATGAATAGTAGAAATAAAATTTATTTAGGGGGAAGAAGAGTAAAAAATAAACTGAGTACGTAAAAATTTAGTGCAACGAATAAAAAAGTAAAAAGATACAGGTTTCGTTTGACACTAGTTATAACATTTTGAAAATGTTATTCAATGGTAGCTTTTAACGTTACATTATTAAGTTAATGTAAATCAATAAAAATTAATCCAAAACGACAATGCTAAATGCTAATGGTTTCTAACAAAGAGATTATAATGGCACAACGCTTAAAGCTTGCAATTTATAGTTGTTACTAAAAATGGAAAATGACTTTTGATTACATGAATATATTTCACTGTTTATAATAATAACTTTTTTAAGATTTCGGTGATTCATAGTTTTCTTGTTATACTACCTCCGTCCCAGAGTATTTATCCACTTTTATTTTTACACACCATCTAATACAATTCTTTAATCCATTTTATATTGTAATTTGTATATTAAAAAATTATAGAAATTATATATTAATAATCTATATGTTAAGATAAATCAAATTATAGAAATTAGGCTTACACATTGAGAGAATTTGATGAGTCAAAGTGCTTAGATGAACAGTTCCAAAAGTCAAAAGTGGACGAATACTCCGGAACGGAGGGAGTTATATATATATATGTGTGTGTGTGTGTGTGTATATATATATATAATATGTGTGTGTGTGTATATGTATATGTATATACTCCGTATATCTTTTTATTGGTGGGTGGATTGCAACCTTGAACCTTCGTGATTTGGACTGCACTCTGATTATTCACTTGGTGGTTGGAAATTGGAATTATTGGATAATTTGGATTGTATTTTCTTGGTCAATGACAAAGGACAATTAGTATGATTTCCACAATCGTCGGTAGCCACGTCAAACAAGGAAAAAATATTGATTCAGTGTTACACATTTCCTTTACTGCGTAAAAGTCCAAAAGTTGTTCATTTTAAAAAAAAGTTTTCGAACTTTTTTTTAAAAACAGTGCATTATAACTTCTTTAAAAAATTACTGAATTTTCTATGATCTCTGAAGGATTAAGAATTTTATTTGGCCAGGTACACACTTGTACTGTTGGGCTTATCTGAATTTTAGCCCTCCAAATGTGATTCTAATTTTTTTTTTGAATTAGAATTTTTTGTTCTAAGTTTTAACACTCCAAATGTGTTTCTACTTTTAACCCTACATTATGTTTTTCTGAGATTTATGCTGTCAATGGGGATCTAATTAACACTGTTTAAATTCACAAGTCTTTACTTATTCCTGCAAAACGTGAAATTTACAGGCAAATGGCAGAGGAACAAGTATGTTGGTGTCTCTCTGGTTGGAAAGACATTAGCCGTTATGGGATTCGGTAAAGTTGGTTCAGAGGTTGCAAGGCGTGCGAAGGGCCTTGGTATGCATGTTATTGCACATGACCCTTATGCCCCTGCCGATAGGGCACGCGCCATTGGAGTTGAGCTGGTGTCCTTTGATGAGGCCATTTCCACTGCCCACTTCATTTCACTTCACATGCCCCTTACTCCTGATACAAAAAAGGTTTTCAATGACGAAACCTTTGCAAAGATGAGGAAGGGAGCGCGCCTCATAAATGTCGCTCGAGGTGGTGTGATCGATGAAGAGGCACTAGTGAGGGCACTTGACAGTGGAATTGTTGCACAGGCAAGATATGCTCGTCCCGTTCTATTTTCACTTTAATCTTCTTTAAGATTCTTACCTATTTTAACAACTTGTTTCTAACAGGCAGCCTTAGATGTTTTCACTGAAGAACCACCACCTAAAGACAGCAAATTAGTGCTTCACGAAAACGTGACAGTTACACCTCACCTTGGGGCTAGCACAAAGGAAGCACAGGTATTAAATCACTTCCTCTGTGTGTGTGTGTGTGTTTCATGAAATGCTTCAGTCACTGTATACTAACACTTTTTTACAATTTCAGGAAGGTGTTGCTGTTGAAATAGCAGAAGCCGTGGTTGGTGCTTTGAGAGGGGAGCTCTCTGCAACCGCTGTTAATGCTCCAATGGTTCCTCCTGAGGTAATCCAAACTAAAACTCTACTCCCACCTATGATCATAAAGATGGAAAAGAGTCATGTTTCATCGAAGTTCATTGTTATTAAACTCAAATTAGCATACTTCACTTACTCCGTATTTGAAACATGTTTTGAGACAAATAGCTCTTCTGTTGATATTATGCTTTCTTGGGATAAAAATGAGTTTTGCAGGCAAATCTTTTTCAAGAGAGGGAGTATTTTATTTACTCCATACATCCCAAAAAATTTTGTCATCATTGAAAACTTATTTATGTCCCAATGAAGAGTCTTATTTGAACAAAAGAATCTAAGATTCATTATGCAAGAAAATGGCTTCATGAACAATTTAAATATGTAAAACTTAGTTGAATGAAGTCATGAACAAGTAAATTTATAAATATAGCTACACATTGATCATTTCCAAAAATTGTACCTTATTGAAATTATAAAGCCATTACTTCATGAAACATGACTTTTTTTAAATAAAAAAGATGTGTTCTATCATCTATAAACCATCATTTTTTGCATTCATCAGGTTTTGTCGGAGTTAGCCCCTTATGTTGTGCTAGCTGAGAAACTGGGACGGCTGGCTGTTCAGCTAGTAGCTGGTGGTGGTGGTGGAATTCAGACCATTAAGATAGTATACAAAACCGCCAGGAACCCGGACAGCCTGGACACGAGACTTCTTCGCGCCATGGTGACGAAAGGCATCATCGAACCGATATCAGACACCATAATCAACCTGGTGAATGCAGATTTCACGGCCAAGCAGAAGGGTCTGCGGATCAGCGAGGAGCGAATAGTTGTCGACTCGTCTCCTGGGTCCCCAGTTGAGACCATCCAGGTCCAAATAAGCAGCGTCAAGTCGAAATTCGCGAGCGCCCTATTGGAGAACGGAAACATCTGCGTGGAGGGGAGGGTGAAGGACGATGGCATCCCTCACCTGACGTGCGTGGGGTCATTCAGCGTGGATGTGAGCTTGGAGGGGAACCTGATACTGTGTCGCCAAGTCGACCAGCCTGGAATGATCGGGCAAGTCGGGAACATTCTTGCCGAGAACAACGTGAACGTCAGTTTCATGAGTGTGGGAAGGACAAGCAAGAGGACAAAGGCAATCATGGCCATTGGAGTCGACGAAGAACCAAACAAGGATTCCCTCAAGCGGATCGGGGAAGTCCCTGCGATTGAAGAGTTTGTTTTCCTCAAACTATAGAGAGACCTTATACGACAATAAAGGGTGGCGCGCCGCCGCCACGAGAAGAGGAAAATCTATATCTNCCCCCCCCCCCCCCCCCTCTCCAAGCTTCTTTACTGTACTGTTGTCAAGGAAAGGTTTTTGCCATTATTATACAGCTTTGCTCTTTAGACCTGCCACTGCTGCATTTTTGCTTGATGGGGAATGACAAATGCTGGCTGGCTATGGATGGAATGTAGTTTGTGTACTGTTATAGTACTGCTTTTTGCTGTGAACTCTACTATGGAATCTGTTCATGATTTCATTTTGTATTATTATTGGCTTTTTTCCCATCTTCAAGTGAAATTTTCATTTATTGATTGAGTAAAGCCCGTGAGGTTGGACCTTAGATGGGGAAGAGAAGCAGCTTTGGATTGGTTTTATATTTCGAGTCCTATGAATAAGGGATGGGAAGTCCTTATTGGGTGATAAGTTTGGTTGAATTCCAAAAGGCTTGGAATTATAACATCTCATAAGAATTGCTCCAGTACTTGATATAATTTTGTTAATCATTCCAATATTTGTTCTATTGAATTTCCAATAGATTTTTAAATATATAAATTTATCTTAAATTTGTGTATATATATATTTAAACAGATTAAATTGAAAATAATTTCTATCAAGTTTTGTTATATGCAATTGAAAAATAATTATGAGACGGAGTATGTATTGAATAAAAAAAATTGGAATACATGAGGAAAAGGTTGGTTCATATTGGAATTTTGCCTCAATTTAAATGGTCTATAGTAGTTTACAATGTCTAGTTAAAATTATTTTCCATTTAATTTATTTGAAAAATAGTGTGAACTAAAAAATATACTCCCTCCGTCCGGATTTTAAGTTCCCAGTCTACGCTTTTTTCCGTCCGGAAATAAAGTTCCCAGTCTACGTTTTTATCAACACTCTTCCAAAATTACCTTTTTTTTCTTTTCCTCCATTTCTTCTAAATCACCCCTACCCTTTTCATTTCTCTCACACGGTTCAACCACTCCTCCCCCATCTTTTCTATTTTCTTCTCTATTATTCTTTCTCTCTCTTCCCCCTCCCCTTCTTTTTCTTTCTCCTGGTTTGTTTTGTTCTTCACTTCTTCTCCTTCGTTTCTTCCTCTCTTTTTTCATATCTCTCTCTGTCTCTTTCTCCTTCTCCTTCGTTTTCTTCTTCTTCTTCTCATCTTCAACCTCCTTCTATTTCTTTCGTCTTCCCTCAAATATCGCCTTTGTCCCTCTTTTCTCTTCTTCTTCTAGATCTGTGTTAGATCTGTAGGGCTAGCTGAAATTGTGAAGCAGACAATGATCGTGGGAGCTAGATCCAATAGATTTGTACTAGATCTTTTTCTTCTCGTGGGGCGGCGGTGGGCTGGGCAGAGATGGTGGTGGGCGGCGGTGGGTTGGGCAGACATGGTTGTGGGCGGCGGTGGGTTGGGCAGACATGGTGGTGGGCGGCTGTGGGCTGGGCATTGACTGTGATGCGCTGCAGTGGGCTGGGGCAGGGATGGAGAATTGGTGATATCTGTAAGGGTATTTTAGACATTTCATTGTTAGAGTCAACACTCACTAAAAATGAGCAAAAGTCAAACTGGGAACTTAAAATCCGGACGGAGGAAGTAATTTATATATTTTTTTTAATTACACCAAAGTTCTAGAAACAATAACTGCCATTATTACATTATTTAATCAAATGAATAACGAAAATAATAAAAAAAATGTGACTAAATTTGGTCATATAAATAATGAACATAAGATGGTTATAAATCCACATCTTATTTGGCTTGAGCTAATCAATTTATGAAAAATGAACAACTTTGCTATACAAAAACAAACTTCTCTCTATTGATACTCATAAATTAACCTTCCTCCTTAGCAACACCTAAGCGCCCGTTTGGTGAGTAGAGCAAGATGATAAGATATACTTTGTGTGTCTAAAATTAAATTGCATGTTTACTAGTTATATGATCAAACTACATTCATTTTCTCTATTTTTATTGATCATTTTATAAAATAATATAATCATATCATCTCTTGTTTTGTAAATCTTTTGATTTAATTTGTTAATAAGTAAATTATATTGGGTTGGAGGGAGTACGATGTAGTAAAAAAATCTATTAGATTTCGCCCGCTGCAATAGATGAAGGTTGGGGGAGATAAAAAAATTACCCCTTGATTATCATGAACCAATGTGAAAGATATCAAAACACCAAATTCGGCATTCACTTAGCAATTTACTCCGTAGCATATATCAAGTCCAAATCTTGTTTAGATTTCACCAAACACACAAAAGTGTTCTAACATCAAGAAATATCATATCTCATAGTATCTTTTAAGCTAGCCAAACAGACCATAAACATATTGTGCAAGCCCAAATACACACTCTTTGCAGTAATGGAATGTTGAAGTCCAAATTTTTTTCAAGTTCTTGAAGTCAAGGAAATGACAAAACAAACACCATACTGCAATAACCATTCTCCAGCATGCAAAACAGAGAGAGCATCATAGATGACAAAAGAGGTCAACAGTAATGTCGTACATTAAAAAAGTCAAGGGGGTCCCTTCAAACTAGCCGTCACAGGTTACATAGCCCCAGTATACAAGCAGTTGAAACAAGATCGACAACAATTCTCAAAACCAGACATAACATTTGTACCTGCAAATATTAACTACCTAGAAGGCTAGAATACGCGGCTTAGAGTAGTTTGAAGCACCAGAGAGAATAACATGGACTGAAATACGCTGCATTGTTGCAGTCTAAGTGACCAAAACATCATTTTCCCCTGAAAAAAGAAGAGAAGAAAAAAAGTCAGTTCAGCCAGTTCTAGCAATTGCTATTTGAGAACAGACAAATGTGTTGAAATAAGGTAAAGTCTCACGCACGTGTTCATCATCAATGTGATATTGTCCCCTTTCAGAAGGATGCGACCTGACAATATAATCTTTAAAACATAAGAGAATGCAACACAAAAACATTGAAAGAATCCAATGACGTAAGAAGATGATTCATGGTGTACCGACCCAATGGCTTTCTGGTCTTCTTCTTTACACTGACTTCTTCAGCATCATCCAGTACCAAGTTCATATACTCATCAAACCCCTAAGCAGAAGAGAAAGAAACCAAACACATTCACTTCGACTATTTACCACAGATATATATACTTAATAATAACAAAGCAATTAGCAGTAGCTTACTATATCTTTAAATTTAAACATTTAACTTTAGTCAAAACTTCGTATTTCACAATGATTATCAGGTTTCTATGAGGAATTAAAAAACAGATGATCCATAATTCCAAAACCACAGTGCTTTAACAGTAATGCAGCACTGTCTCTACAGAGAAAATAATTCTCCAGAAAAGATATTCAGCCCCTTTTTATTTTACCAAACAATTCCCTTCACAATGCATGGGAAGGGAAGGAATCTCCTGCTTAACAAAATGTGGTGTTAAATGAGATGGGTTCTCAATACTTGGTGGCTTCAATATATCTTGTCTCTGAACTTCCCACTTTGCAAAATATGACTACCCTCATAACATGGTTGCCTAAGTATTGCAGGATTGAGCTATAGAGATAAACAATCTGGCAAGCAATATAATTGCTAAGTTTAGCTACACTAGTACCATAGGTTCATCCATTTAAAAATAAAAGCTTACAATAATACGCCCTTCAATCCTCAGATCCTTCTGCTCAAAAAGCCAAATCTGAATTCGAGCTTTCTGCATTCAATTCCAAACTGCGATTACTACGATAATTAGCGTAAAGGGACGTATTTACACAGGACATCGAAAAGAACTTACACTTTGAAGAAACCTGAATATCAGATTCTGCAAGAATCAGAAAGAAAAGAACGGAGGCCTCAATCAGCGACAAGTCCAGGTTAAAAATATAAATAAATTACAATACCAGAAAGAAAAAAAAAGAGAAATCAGTAAATTACAATGGGCTGGGTCATGATCCTCTGAACTTTCGTGCTCGCCATGGATGCAATTGCTAGGTTTCCTGCCGAGGTCTCTCGCTCCTTTTACAACTTCCCTGGATCGCAAAACCCTAGAGAGCGAAGTGACTGAGATTAGAACTTATTTGTTACAGTAATTGAGGAGAATAGACTGAAGCATAAAAGGGACGGGTCATGGAGACGGGTTGAAGAATCTGGGCTGATTTGGTGGGCCTGGACATGCGGAATATTGTTTATTCTCCTCCAGGCCTATAAACAAAATCCAATTGGAGATGGCGCGAGCCAGACGCAAGGGGTGAGGGCGGGCATGTGGAGCACTGCCGGGGGTGATTTTTTTTCATTTTCATTTTCAACTTCAACTTCAAATTATTATTTTATTATTTTCAGCTGCATAAGTTCACCAATTTTTTGAATTATCAAATTTTCCCCCTCTTTCAAACTTTTTTAATGAAGCATTTCGCATTATATAACATTGTCGTTAATATTTGATACAGTATCAATACGAGCTAAATAACATATCATACTGTATGTGCTCACCCCCAGTGGCCACATGAGATAACATCATAGTTTTAAAAATTGGACCGGATCGGGGGTTCCTTTGAAATGCTTCATGCATTGAACCTGTTCAAACCGATGTGAAGCACTAAGAACCGGTCGATTCAAATGGTCAAAAAAAAATTTGCAAAAAAAAGGCCAAAAACCATAATCCAAGTCTAGGATTTGTAACCTTAGACCTCTTATACTTGATACAAATTACCCACCAACTAAATAAAAGTAGTTTTTGTTACATATTTGTTTCTTTTTTGTTGTTAAAACTAGGATTCTTTACATTTAAAAATACAATTGATCGATATTAATATGGAGCACTTGTTGCAAAAAATAAAAACTTCCCTATTTTATTAAACTGTAATGTATTTCCCAATATGTAAATTTTATTTTAAATATAAATGCAATAAAGAATAAAATAAATTAATTATAACTTGAATCAAACATCATAAATTTTCATATACAAAGGAACATAGTATAATTTTTATTATATACAAAATAAAAAATAGTTAAACCACTAGTTCGACTACTTGAGCCACTGATTTGACCAGTGAACTAGTATCTCGATTGATTCGATCACCGATTTGGTTTTTAAAACTATAGATAGCATTGCAAATTTGCAATTCTAACTATGGATGGACAAAAAACTAAACTATCATGATACCATACTGTACTCTAATGGCATTGAACCATTTATAGCATTTTCAAACAGGATTAACTTTTTTAATCATGAATCGAAACCAAACCGACCAAATGGGAGGAGACCGTGATACAAATATTTAAAATTAATTATCACGGAGTGAAACATCCAAAGCTATATACGGAGTATGTATCTCAAATAATTATGGAGTATTTGTCCATTTCATCTTACCATATAGAGTATTTTGTTTTTTATTATTCATTTTTAAATTCTTTCATTATTATTATTATTATTGTTATTGTTATTATATTTATTACTACTATTGACATTATTTTTTATAGTTATTAATAGCCGGATATTATATGACCCATTATCTTTTATTTTTTAAGTTTATGATCCCTTTCAATTCGAAATCAGTATTTCTATTTAACAAACTTATGCTATTTTATACAAATTTATATATGGAATTCGATATTCTTTGAATAATCTATGTACATTTTTTCGACACGTTTTGAGCACTGGTATAGAATTGTATTGTTTTGTTTCAAATAAAGAATGATATCGAATAATTTTGAAGTTTATTTTGTACCAATACTGAATCATTATCAGTAATAAATCCAATTAATATCACGGAGAGTCACAGACGTCCATGAGTTGTAACTTTTGAGTGCTTTCTCCAGCTCGCGTGCTACAAGGAAAGAGGGGTCAATGGCGAGTCTAAGCTCATGCCGCCAAAGCATATATATACCTGCGAGTTAAGTGCACCGTTTACCCCCGAATTCTTTGAAAATTGCATGGTTTATCCGAACATTAAAAAGTGCACCAAATACCCCTGAATTCTTCAGAAATTGCACGGTTTACCCCTGAACAATAAAAATTGCACCAAATACCCCTAAACTCTTCGAAAATTGTAAGGTTTACTCCTGAACATTTAAATAAAGATGACAATTTTGGGTAAAGATATTTTGGAAAATTCACAAGGGTCAGATGAATGATATTCACAATTCTTGTGTGTGGAAGCAACACCCTCTCTATCTAATAGTTTACGACCAACGATGCAACGGTTCCGGGACGGAAAATATTGGCACCGGAACCGATACCGAGTGGGGCGGTGCCGGTTCCTGGTACCGGGTGACGAAACGGACGACGAGGACGGTTGCAAGTAGCGCCGGTACCGGCGCCGGTAACGGTACCGAACCCGTACCGTGTCTGGCCCTAATAAGACAATATATGCGGACCACATCACGTGGATTATTACAGAACCAGAAGGTCTGGCTGCTCTAATTAATGTCCACTCTCACCCTCTTCCTCCTCCACTTCCATCCCCCCAACCGACCATGCGACGCCGCTGCCGCCGCAGCCATACCCACATTCCACTTTCGACTATTATGGTCCTCAACCTTTGAATCCAATCTTTCCCCCAAAAAGTTTTCTCTTTTTGGATTTTCTCTTCTTAATTAACAGCTGAATCCTTCCTGCAATCTGCAAGAGTTGAATACTCTTTCCCTGAAAAGTTTGCTCTTTTTTCCCCTCACTCTTCTTTACAGTGGGAGCTGACATGAAGATTTCTTTGAAAAACACAGTCTTGTTGCTGTTCATATACTGCGCTGCATCGATCTGTGCTGCTTTTGCTTTGAATTCCGACGGTAAAACCCTTCTCTCGCTCGCCAAGCACTGGATCTCTATCCCTCCCGCCATTAACAGGAGCTGGAATGCTTCAGACCTCACTCCTTGTTCATGGCTGGGCTTGAAATGTGACAGCAGAAATCTTGTGGACACTCTAGACCTCTCTTCCCATGGAATCTCAGGCGAATTAGGACCTGAAATCTCACATTTGAAGCATCTGAGGTTCCTTGACCTGGGTGACAATGATTTTTCAGGCCCAATCCCTTTCCAGCTAGCCAATTGCAGTCTTCTTCAATACATAGAACTATCCAACAATGGATTTGCAGGTAATATCCCCGGTACCCTTGGAGCTTTGGGTAATTTAGGGTACCTAAGCTTGTTCTCTAATTCTCTGATAGGCCTGTTCCCGGATTCTTTACTTTCCATTCCACACTTGGAGACTCTTTATGTGCATGACAATAGACTAAACGGCTCCATTCCCTCTGGTATTGGGAACATGACTGAACTTAAAGTTCTTTGGCTTAGTGGCAATCGATTCTCAGGATCGATTCCATCCTCACTGGGAAACATTACTACACTTAGCGAACTGTATTTGAATGATAACAATCTTGTGGGGACTTTGCCTGTGAGTTTGAACAAACTTGAGCACATTGTTTACTTTGATGTGCGCAATAACAGTTTAGAAGGAAGCATTGGTTTGGACTTTGTTAGTTGCAAACAGATAGAAACTATCTCATTGTCAAATAACCGTTTCACAGGAGGACTCATGCCCGGATTGGGAAATTGCAGTAACTTAAGGGAATTCGGTGCCTTTTCTTGTGCGCTGACCGGTCCTATACCTTCTTTCTTCGGGCAGCTCACTAACTTGGAAACTCTTTACCTTTATGGAAACCATTTTTCAGGAAGAATACCACCTGAGATAGGAATGTGTAGTTCCTTGATTAATTTGCAGCTCCATAAAAATCAACTGGAGGGTGAAATCCCAGTGGAATTAGGGAAGCTAAGCAAGCTGCAAGTTCTCTATTTGTACACCAATAATTTGTCTGGTGAGGTTCCAATTGGCGTTTGGAATATTCAAACCCTTAAAAGTATCCAGTTGTACCAAAACAATCTTTCGGGTGAACTGCCCGGTGAATTGACCGAACTCAGGCATTTAGAGAGTATATCTTTATTTGAAAATCACTTCAGGGGAGTTATTCCTCAACGTTTAGGGACGAAAAGCAGTTTAAAGGTTCTTGATTTCACCAATAACATGTTCGCCGGTCACATTCCACCAAACTTATGCTTCCACAAGAAACTGAAGAGACTGATATTGGGTCACAACTATCTGGAAGGCAGTGTCCCTTCTGATTTGGGGAACTGTCCCACTTTGGAAAGGCTAATCCTTAAACAGAATAACCTCACAGGTTTGCTCCCAGACTTTGTCAAGCATCAAAACCTTCTGTATTTCGACCTCAGTGGCAATAACATCATTGGACCAATACCTCCAACCCTTGGAAACCAAAAGAACATTACTGTCATTAACTTGTCTTCAAATAATCTCTCTGGGATTATACCACCTGAGATGGGGAGCATCGTGAAGCTCCAACTTTTGAACTTTTCCCACAATTCCCTTAACAGTGTAATCCCATCTGAGCTGTCAAAGTGCCATGAACTGTCACAAATTGATTTGAGTCACAATTTGTTGAATGGCTCTATTCCTTTCACTTTAGGGAGCTTGTCAGAACTGTCCAAATTGAATCTGGGTGAGAACAGATTATCAGGAGGTATTCCAACCTCACTGTTTCAATCCAAAAGTCTCTTAAATTTGCAACTAGGTGGAAATTCGCTAATAGGACACATTCCTCCGGTGGGACAAGCGCCGTTGCTAAGGACATTAAATCTTAGCAGTAACAAACTAAGCGGTCAACTCCCCCGGGATCTTGGAAAACTAACAAGCCTGGAGGAATTGGATTTGTCTAATAACAATCTGTCCGGAAACTTGAAAGTTCTTTCGCCAATCCAATCATTGACTTTCATCAACATTTCTCACAACATGTTTTCTGGTGCCATACCAACTTCGCTGATAAGGTTCTTAAACACGTCTCCCACTTCATTTTTGGGGAACGTTGGCCTTTGTATCGACTGCCTGGAGCATGGCTTAACTAGAAAGGGTACCCTCAGTAATTTGGAAATGGCGACGATAGTTCTTGGGACATTGTTATTTGTGATGTGTCTAACCATTGTGCCCGCCTTGGTTTTTCTATCCCACAAAAATTCTAAACAAGATATTCCAGTTTATGCTCAAGAGGGTGATTCTTCCTTGCTGATTAAAGTATTGGAAACCACAGAGAATCTGAACGATAAGTATATAATTGGGAAGGGAGCACACGGAACGATATACAAGGCTACAGTGGGTCCCGACAGAGTGTACGCCGTGAAGAAGCTTTTGTTTACTGGCATACAAAACGGAAGTGTGAGCATGGTTCGGGAAATTCAAACGATTGGGAAAGTCAAGCACCGGAATCTTATCAAGCTAGAAGACTTCTGGCTGAGAAAGGAGTACGGGTTGATTCTATACGCTTACATGGAAAATGGTAGTCTTCATGATGTGCTCCATGAGAGAAGTCCACCCCAGACATTAGAGTGGGGAAAACGTTATAAGATAGCAGTAGGAATTGCTCAAGGACTTGCATATCTTCATTTTGACTGCGATCCTCCCATTGTGCATCGAGATATCAAGCCCATGAATATACTGTTGGATTCTGATCTTGAGCCTCATATTTCAGATTTTGGCATTGCCAAGCTTCTGGATCAGTCCACTGCTTCAGTACCATCCAAAACCATTCAAGGGACACTCGGCTATATGGCTCCAGGTAATCTTTTTTTATTAACCATTATCAAAAATGTCACACATTGAGATAATAGTGCAAAACACATCAACAAAATGAGAAATTTCTAACACAGTTGTTTTGTTGTTTACAGAAAATGCATTCACAACTGTGAAGAGCAGAGAAGCGGACGTCTACAGCTACGGGGTTGTTCTATTGGAATTAATAACTCGTAAGAAGGCCTTGGATCCTTGCTTCCATGGAGAAACAGACATTGTTGGTTGGGTCAGATCTGTTTGGAGTGAAAGGGAAGATATTCGGGAGATAGTTGATCAGAGACTGAGGGATGAACTGATAGATTCGAGTGCCATGGAACAAGTGACTGAAGTGCTTTTGCTGGGATTGAGGTGTGCAGAGAAGGACAGGAAGAGAAGACCAACAATGAGAGATGTAGTGAAGCTACTAACTCGCTCCTACTCTGCTCGGTCTAAGGCTATGCTTGACTCAAGTCACCCAACCCATCCCTAACGACTAGTCGACTACTTGATGGATTAGAAGGTATTGTCTTCACTAGTAGCTATTAGTTTGATCTATTTCAGGTTGCTGAAAATGATGTATGGATCTTAAAAGACATGCTTTGATGTGCAATAGAGATTTTTAGTAAATGGTCTAAGTCTAAGACCAGTTAGTATTGATTTTGCTATGTCATTGTCATGCTAGTCCGATTGATTGAAGGTTGCGTAAGTGTTTGATGATATAGCATTCTTGAGGTATAATCATCCGACATCATGCAGAGCGTATGATAAAATGAAGAAGATGAAGTTGGGTTATTTTTGGATTTGATGAAAGTGAAGTAGGTAGTAATTGAATAAGCTGTTGATGGTAAAAATGTATTCTCATTTCAAAGAAATAAAAGGTGAATGCCGAAAAAGAAAATTTGGTTTTGAGACAACCAAAAAAAAACGAAAAACTGATTTTGGGACGGAGGGAGTATCTTTTAATGTAACCCAGTCTCAATATTTTTTTGACTCATTTAGATATTTGGTTAGTGCACTCTCGTACTCCAGTTTTGCAAAAGATTTCTGCATTAGCAAATGCTTTTTTGTGAAAAAAAGGACAGACATTTAGGGAGTTTCAGAAGCCAAATGAATGCTAAGGTGTGGTTTCTTCCTCTCCAGTGACAGAGTGCCTGCAGAACTTTATCCACAAACCAGCACGAAAGTCAAATGAATGCAAAATGCTAGTTTCTGTAACTAGCATTCTTCTCAGATGATGAGTGAAATATACAGGCAATTGTAACCCGCAAAAAGGACCAGATAACAATCACATTTATATCTTTCTTTAAAAGTTACACCCTTGTTTGAATGTGCTACAAAACGACACATATGCACAGAGTACTTTCTTGCAACATCAGTTTATGTTCGCCGACGAATATTAATGGCTCTTGATGCCATTGTTCTCAAATTTTCCCTGGCCAATGCAAGCGAGTTCCTCCTGTGTTGTTGCTGTTGTTGGTCTCCATTGTTGGAACCTATTCCCATAAACTCCTCTCTTTGCAATCTCAATGCCAATGCAGCATCATCTTCCTCCTCTTCCACCTGACCTCTTCTTGGCCTTGCAACACTGATAAAATCACTTCCTCTCCTTGATGACACCACACCATTAAGCCCAAAATTCCTTCTTTGTGCACCACCACCGCGGGGGTTCATTCTTTCTGGGCTATTTATTAGGACCGGGACTCTTCTGTTTCTACTAATATGATGATGATGGTGATGATTCTTTTCTGCTGGAGTCTGTTCCCGGGCATCTTTGGCAATGGCGGCTGCCTTCTTCCTTGCTTTAACTTCTTCTGGAAATAGCAACTGAATTGTGTTCCAGAGAACAGTATTCACAGTGCAAGATCTTGCATTGCTGTTGTTGTTAAGGTCAATTAACAACATGAATTTGGATTGAAGATTATGATATTCATAAATTTAGTTCTTTAAAAAAGTACCTGATAAGCTGCCTGCACTTTGGGCATTTCTTCCCACATTTATCAGCAGCAGATCGCAAACACTTTTTACAAAAACTGCATACAATTGGAAACAAGTTCATATAAAAGAAACTAAGTTTCAAGTAAAAATGACAACTTTATAATTTCAGATCATCAGTCATACCTGTGTCCACAAGGAGTGGTACTCGGTTCGAAACAAATCTCCAAACAAATCTGCAAAATTCACATGTTAAGATTGTAGAAATCCATCCATTATGGCCAATTTATGGGTTCTAAAAGACCATTTGAAAACTATATAGGATTGGCCGACTACTTACAGCACAAGAAAGTTCTTCACGAAGCTTCTCGATGCAGGGGATTGCTGGTGGAGGCTCTGCTGAACGAATTCCGGACGAAGATGAAGATGATGGGAGATCACTGAATTTCTTTGCCTTACTAGGTTCACCAATTTCATTATTACCTCCAGAAAGCTCCGAATCCATGGCTAATTTCTGGCATTCGCCTCCGTCCAGGTTAAGAACGGCGACAGGCATAGGAGAGGAGGTCTGAGCCTTGACCCTTTTCCTCCTTGAATTTGCCGGCGGCGGTGTGCCGGAATCTTTGACGAGGACACTGCGTCTGCGCTGCTTAGGGTTCCGATCGGGAGTCTCTTCCACCACAAGGGACGCGATCAGAAGCGCCTCTTCGTCCCAGCCGGCCATCTCCGCCACTGACCGGAACCCCGGGCTGAACAAAGGGTTTGCATTTTCAGATTTCTTGACGTCCGGGCTCTTCTTTGACTCCTCATCCATCGCCATTGTTGTCTCTCTGATCTCTGAACTCTCGATTAAAGATTTTAGGGTTTTGAATTTTGAAACAACGGTTTTTTTTCTGGAAGGGAATCTTTGAGGTTTGTACACGTCAATTCAACGGCTATTTTTTGGTGGGGCCAATTTAGACATTTGCACAATTTTTCTTTCTTTTTCTTTAGGCTATGTTTGGTAAAGTGGAGAAAAGAAGGAAATGGAGAGAAGTGGTGACATAAATTAAACTTCCATAGGTTTGTTTGGTTGAATGAAAATAGAGTGTTTTTGTAGATTTGCATTATCTTGGACAATGTTTTCTTTAAAAAAATTCAATAATTTGCTTAATAATATGCAAACATTTAAAAATGTACAAGAATCATTATTTGGTATATTTTTTATATATAAAAGATTTATTATTATTAAAAATACTAAAAATGTAAATATTACTAAAAGTGTTAAATTATTTTCAATTTAGTTAATTAAGTAAATATTATTTTTAAGTAATTATTATAAAAATTTGATGTACGAAAAATACTTCAGGCTGGGGAAAAAGGTTTTTATATTAGAGTCCCCAGAGTACATGTTAAGACTAGCCCAAACATTTTTAATTTACATATAACTCAAAACAAGATATGCTTTTTCATAATTTGTAGGCAAAAATTTAAAAATTTGACCAAAAAATAAAAAGAAGATTTTATGAACGCAAACTAAAAAGGCATATCATAAAGATAAATGCATTAATCATATGCTTAATGGTATAACAAACATTAAAGATAAAGTCATTCTTCTATCCGTACATTTGTATGCTCGCATACATTAGTCATTGGTGTCTTACGCTTAATACAGTTTGATGTTGTCTCACGAGAGCCTCACTCCATGTCATAACCTGTTGAATATGGAGTTTCTTATTCATCCAATGGCTGTGAGTTAAAGCAATAGGCTAGAAAATTTAAGAATTGCACTAACAATCCTTGAATATTTAATATTGCATCAATAGTCCCCGAACATAATTTTTTCCAATTATACCCTTCTATTCTGTTAGATGTTAACTCCCTTCACGCGTGGCTCTAGCACGCCAGACATGTTCAACTGCACAAGGCTCCAAAAATTGAGGACTCATTTTTTTAAAAAAGAAAGAAAACTTTTGTGTATATAGCTATCAATCACAACTCAAATCTTAAATTATTGTTATTATTGATAGACCTGGCAATCGGGTCGATCGGTTCAGTTCCGGTTCGAGTTTTTTCGGTTCGGGTCTCTTCCGGATATATGTTATAATCCGTTCGAGTCGGTTCGGGTCGGGTCAGTTTGGTTCTGGAGTTATTTCGGTTTGATTGGTTTTCAGTTCGGTTTCAGTTCCAGTTCGGGTTTGTATCGGATCGGGTTTATATCGGTTCGGGTTTGTATCGATTCGGGTTTGTATCGATTCGAGTTTATATCAATTCGGATTTGTATCGATTTAGGTTTGTATCACATAATAAATTTAGTCAATTTATGATATACTTCATAGTTATTTTATTATTTAACACGGACACACATAAAAAATAACACTTACATAATTGAATATTAATAAATTTGATCAATTTCGGGTCTAATCGGTATCGGGTCTAACCGGTTCCGAGTTTAATCAGTTTTAGATTTAATCGGTTTGGGTTTAATCAATTCGGGTTAAGTCAGATTCGGATCTAAATCGGGTCTGAATACATTCGGTTCGGTTCGGATCATTTCGGGTGTTCGGTTTTATTTTGGTTCTTCAGTTTTCGGGTCAATTCGGGGTCGGTTTCAGATTATTCTGTTCGGGTTATCGGGTCCGGGTCAGTTTTGCCAGGTCTAATTATTGAGAGCAAATCTTAAATTATTATTAATATCTTTGATAACAAAGTGTAACTAGTTAAATGTAAACGAACCATGACATTAACCTCATCTATAGAAAAGCATATCAGGCTCCGAGACAATATGCACCGGCCCTGCCCCTCTTGTCAAAGACGACCAAGGGTCAACTACTCCAGAAAACACAAAAATGGAGATGAATAAAAGTCTCTCTTTGAATGGGTCAAACGTCAAATTACTGCAAATGACTTGTTCTCAAACTAGCTATGTAGAATTTCCCAAGAACCCAGAGCTCATTAAATACATGAAGAATCTCTGGCTCTTGTGGTGTCAGCTTTCTGGGCACTGTAAAATGAATCTTTCATGCCTTTCCCAAATGGAGATTCCGAAAATAGTCTTTTTTATTCTCTTCGCAACAACAATAATGTTTGGAGGATCTTTCATTGCATTCTCCAAGAAAGCTGGAGCTGTCAGGGTTCATGTTGGTGTCATTCTTGACGGGGTCACCATATCTGGGAAGATGATGAACGTGTGTACCACGCTGGCTCTATCCGATTTCCACGCCAACCGGAACCGTGTCACCCAGGTTGTCCCTCACTACAGAAACTCCAAATCCGATGATGTCACGGCTGCTTCTGCTGGTAACATAAATGAGTTCCTGAAAGAGTTTCAAGCTTTATTGTTTGCTGAGCCATAAAAAGTTTGAATCTTGACATGATTTATGATGCCCATAATGTTTGCAGCCATAGACCTGCTGAAGAATGTTGAGGTTCAGGCAATCTTAGGCCCTCAGGGGTCCACACAAGCTGATTTCATAGCAGACATAGGCAAGAGAGTGAAAGTCCCTATTATTTCTCCAGCCAGAAGTTCAGCTCTTTCTTCCAGCCAAAACCCATACTTCATCAGAGCAGCGTACTGCTCCTGTGCGCAGTCCAAGGCAATCGCTGCAATTGTAGAGGCCTTTGGTTGGAGGGAGGTTGTGATCATCTATGAAAACAGCAACCTTGGTGGTGGAATTCTTCCTCATTTGACTGATGCGCTGATGGATATCAGTGTTTCAGTAGCAGATCGAAGAATCCTTTCGCCACGGGCAAATGATGACCAGATCATGTTGGAGCTAGCAAAGATAAAGAAGAAGAGGACGCGTGTCTTCATAGTTCACTTGCATCCGGCTTTTGCTCCTCATTTTTTTGTCAAGGTGAAAGAAGCTGGAATGATGAGCAGTGGATATGTATGGATAATCACAGATGAATTCACCACTCTTTCTGTTTCCATGAATCCTTCGGTTCTTGACTCGTTGTGTGGGGTTATAGGGGTGAAACCCTATGTCCCAAGTTCAGTCGAGCTGAAGAACTTCACCAAGAGATGGAAATCAAAGGAGTTTCGCCAAGAGAATCCAGACATGGATGGAGTGGAACTCAATGTATTTGGGCTATGGGCATATGACAGTGCCATGGCACTAGCAACAGCACTTGAGAAAGTAGGGAACTCAAGTCTGCAATTCGACAGGACGTTTAACCAGAAGAATCTGACAGATTTGGAGGCACTAGGGACTTCCCAAATGGGGCCTACGATACTCGAATCAATAAGGAACATCAAATTCAGAGGGGTGAGTGGCTACTTCCAAATTGTTGATGGAGAAATGCAACCATCTGCTTTTGAGATAGTGAATGTGGTAGGTGGTGGAGTTAAAGGCATAGGGTTCTGGACAGAAAAATATGGGATTTCCAAAAAACTAAACCCAAACGTCACACTTCCTTACTCTGCTAAACAACAAGATCTCGGGGCGATCATATGGCCTGGTGACTCTACAGTTGTTCCCAAAGGCTGGGAGATTCCCACAGGCAAACGAAAGCTCAAGGTTGGAGTTCCTGTAAAACAAGGGTTTGAGCAATTTGTGAAGGTCACAATTGATCCTCAAACAAAAAAAGTAGTAAACGCAACCGGTTTTTGCATAGAAGTCTTTGAAGAAGTGATGAAATCCATGCCTTATTATGTACCTTTCGAATACGAAGCTTTCCATATCCCCCGAGGTGAAAGTCGTCCAAACTATGATGACTTAGTTGAGCAGGTCAATTTAGAGGTAACACTGAATCTTTCATACTAGCATAACATTTTATTGTTCCAATGTCAGCCTCATGTTTAATGCCCTTCTTACTTTTGTTGGTGTTTTGACAGAGATATGATGCAGTGGTAGGTGACATCACCATTTTAGCGAATCGGTCCAAACTTGTGGATTTCACCTTACCATTTATAGAGTCTGGGGTCACTACTGTCGTCCCAGTCAAACATGCCGACAAGAAGAAGGCGTGGATTTTCTTGAAACCTCTAAGGAAAGAACTTTGGGTGACGATTGCGATGTCCTTTGTCTTCATTGGCATCACAATTTGGGTACTCGAACACCAAGTCAACAAAGAGTTCCAAGGTCCGCGCTACAAGCAAGTTGGGATGATCTTCTGGTTCTCCTTCTCAACTCTNGAACCGGTCCAAACTTGTGGATTTCACCTTGCCATTTATAGAGTCTGGGGTCACTACTGTCGTCCCAGTCAAACATGCCGACAAGAAGAAGGCGTGGATTTTCTTGAAACCTCTAAGGAAAGAACTTTGGGTGACGATTGCGATGTCCTTTGTCTTCATTGGCATCACAATTTGGGTACTCGAACACCAAGTCAACAAAGAGTTCCAAGGTCCGCGCTACAAGCAAGTTGGGATGATCTTCTGGTTCTCCTTCTCAACTCTTGTCTTTGCACACAGTAAGTCCAAAACCAAGTTCGATACTGCATACATAGTATCACACCACACATTTCTTCTTCTTTGTCAAACAGTGTCATTTTGTGTTCCTCAAAGATTGTTTACTCTATTGCTCTACTTCCAATGGGGGTAAAGTCTTAATAACTCACCCACTAGACCCTACTTTTATGGGATTTTACTGTGATGTTTGTTGTTGCAGAGGAGAGGGTGATAAGCAATTTATCAAGATTCGTGATCATAGTATGGGTGTTTGTTGTTCTGGTTCTGACCTCTAGCTACACGGCAAGCTTAACGTCTATGTTAACAGTACAACAGTTGCAGCCCACTGTCACAGATCTCAAAGATCTGATCAAGAACAGGGAGTATGTTGGATTCCAGGACGGTTCGTACGTTTCTGGTTTGTTGGATGGCATGAGGTTTGATAGAACAAAGATTAGGAATTATACCACTTTAGAAGAGTATGACAAAGCACTTACAAGAGGAAGTAAGGATGAGGGAGTTGCTGCTATTGTGGATGAGCTACCCTTTCTCAGGATCTTCCTTTCAAAGTACTGTGGGAAGTACACTATTGTTGGTCCGACCTACAAGAATGCTGGTTTTGGATTTGTAAGTCCTCTACTTTCTCCAAAGGCTCTGTTTGGCAACCACTTTTGGTTTATTCAGCTAATTTTTCCACTTAGAAACAACTTACGCAGAATAAGGGCATGTTCTTTTCAACTTTATATTCCAATTCTCCAAAGTCCAGTTAAAAATAAGGCAAAAAGAATACGTAGCTTTTGACTTACTTATTTGGCTGAAATCTAACGGAGATGAGATTATTCACTGGGGGTTTTCTCATTGCAGGCATTTGCGAAGGGGTCCCCTTTGGTGCGTGACGTCTCAAGAGCAGTATTACATGTGAAAGAGAGCTGCGCCATGAGGATAATAACTGAGAAATGGCTTGGGAAGGGAATGGAATGCTCACAGCAAGATGGAACATCAGCTGACTCTGATAGATTGGCACTCGACAGCTTCATGGGCCTTTTCGTCATTGCTGGTGCATCTGCCTTGTCAGCTCTTCTCATTTATTTCTGCTCCTTCCTGAATCAGAACAAGGATATCTTGAAATCTGACCTTTCAATCCGACAAAAGTTTACTGCATTAGCAAAAGCTTTCTGTGTGGAAAGGGTGACACCATCAAGGGTGTCCCAAATGCTGCCAGAGGAAGGAAATGCAGAGGCAGCGCCTGAATTTTCTCCACAATGTCCAGAAGCCAGAACTTCATATTCTCTGGGTCAAGATATTGTCAACCGTGAAGATGGATTTCCTACAACAGAACCAGGAAGTCCAGAAAATGAAACTTTTTCCATAACTGAGGAGGGTGCAGAAAGATGATGCACCAAACTGTAGTTTAAGTATACTTTCTAAGATTGTTTGTAGAGGTAGCTGAACAGAAACACCAGGAAGAGATTCAAATCTGTCAAATTTTTCATTTCTAATTGTACACCAAGTGTTTGTGTGCCGTGCCCTTTTAATATCGCGGTATTTTAAATTGTCAACACTCATGTGCTGACAAGCTATTTCAGAATTCAGACACGGACCACATTATTTGTAATGACTTTATTGCATTTCTCAGCTTCTTGAAAGAAATTTGATGCATCAGTTTTGTCCAGACATGTGGATTTCACATTAGCATGCATTTACAGGGGTTGTGTCAGAACAGTAGTCCTATGATCAAGCAAGATGAGAGCAAGAACACATGAATGAATGGAGCTTTTATGTCACTATGAAAAGCACTGCTAATCTATAAGCAATGAATATGTTCATCTACATTTCACAATGGTCTAAAGATTATACTACATCAATAACTCCCATGAGATCGCACAGAGGATATCGACTGTGCTGAGACAGAAGCTGTTGGGCTGTTTAAATCTCGTTCCCCGTTGGCAACTCTTGGCTTTCCACTCAGCCTATCCATAGCATCTTGGCAAATTTCATTGAACCAGTCATCTTCTGGGAGTACACTGTCAATATTGTTGATTGTTACTAAAAGATGCAAATACTATAAAAGAACGGAAACAAGAAACTAAACTTAGAATAGAATTAAGTTTCGTACAAGTATAGATTAAGCATCATATGCATTAATTAAGCTAATAGAGTGAATGTGTGTGGCTTTTTGTTGAGTATATTGTTTGTATACCTATTTGGATCCAACCCTGTTGAAGAAAATGCAGACAATGCTTTGGCTGTGATCTCATTGACGATGCGGTTCAAATTCCTAGATAAGTAGCGTCCTTGTGAAGCAAAGCACTTGACAAATGTCATATCCAAATAAAACTGCAAAGAACAGAAAGAAGAGTAAATTTATATATGTATTTGTACACGCACTTCTGTCTTTAGAAGCAACATGCAAAAACATAGATATGTCATTATGCAGGAATAGATTATATAAACCTGCTGAAGCCCAATAGGACCTAAAGGTTTTGGTCCATCCTCAATATCATCCCAAAAACTCTGGTCTTGGGAAAGCCACAAGATTACAGTTTCTGTGAGTCTCATCAATAACAATGTTGCAAACCTTTCTCGTCCCACAAACATATCTGCAGCTATGGCAGCTACCCTGTTTAGCTTAACATAGAGCCCCTGATATAGTGCCAAAACTTAATTAAATGAAATCACAAAAGTTAAATGAGAAATCTACCACTCAAGAGCACTCAAGTGAAAAAACTAAAACATGAGTTTTAAAAATAAAAAATGGAATGAGAATATTCGTTAGTATTCTAGTAAAACAAATAACGTCAAAATTAACTAATGTTAATGAGAGGAATAGGGAAAACATGTACTTGGAATATTTGAGACGGGAACCATTCTATCTCATCTGCATTACTATCCAGGTTTATGTACATTTCTGCAGTAAGATAGCTGTCACCTTCCTCAGTAAAAATGAGATCCAGAGCATGCTGTTGACAAAAACTATCTTTTAATCTATCAACAGCGCTCACAAGACGCTTTTTCCATTCCCTTTGCTCTGGATAACGGCTTTGTCTATCAGTCCTTCGTTGAGGTTCATCCTTGTTATTGGCCTGATTGAAGGGATAAAGCTTCATAGATGCACGAGGTAAAAGCTCATCTGCTAATAAGGAGGCATTAGCAAGCAAAGCAATCTGCTGGGCTTCAGTCTCAGCAATTCGAACAATTTTATTCATTGAACCATCGATGCCGGTTTCCTCTTCTATAGAGCCAGGTAATGCTTTTATGAGTGTGTTGATGTAAGAGTTGAAAACCTCAAACAAGCCATCCATTGCTTTTCCGCCCAACTGCATGCTTAGCAAGGGTCCCACATCCTCAAAGAAATCCTGCACAAACAATTAAAAGATGTCATTTGAATCAATAAGACCGAAAATAGACCGGTCGGAAAAGTTCCAGTGTAGCTATATGCTAATACATATTGTATAAGAGGCATGATGAACTTCCCATCTCTATTCACCAAATGAGGTAAGTTAGTGAGCATCTTTGTGCCCTAGAGCTTATGTGGATTGGAGTCTTGCACCCTGGGTGTTATATTTTGTTTACTCCCCCCCCCCCCCATAAAAAATAGTTTTGTCCCGTGAACTTGTCCCAAAAAAGAGTCCAGTCTTAAAAGTTAACTTCAAGTTTTATGCAAAATTCATGTAAAGCCAAACGGAAAGCAGTTTTATTCAATTACACCAAATAATCTTGGAAATAAGTGGCATAAGTAACTTTTCAAAACCTGTAAAAGGTTGTGCCTTGATTGAGTTACTAAAAATAAAAAGTTGTACTCAAACAACTCTTTTTCTGGGACATGAGTTTTTTTTGTGATCAGAAAATACAAAGAAAGAACTTCTACCTGAACCATCAAATGAAACCGATGTGCACTACTTGAAAGCTTATGTTGATATGCAGCAGTTTGGCGCATGGAACTTGGAGGATTTGTAAGTTCCCAATCATCAGCTGCTGCCAGAGCAGCAGTGCTCTCCTCAATTCGTTTCAGATTAGCTTCCAATGCTAGCTCAACACTTGGCCTAAATAACTTCAACAGCACCGGGCAAAGTGCAAGCCCCCGAGCTTCCAACAATGTGCAATGTCCAAAAGCTATTTGAACACATTCTGCAGCGGCCCTAAGGCCCCCAGCAGCTGCAGATGATGAGAGTGCATGCCTCTTGACAAGGAGAGCAAAGTCCTCTGTTTGCTTGCTGGCCCACACTACAAGCTCCGATGTATAAGCTGGCTCATTCCCAAAAATAGCTAACGAATCACTGGCTGCTTGGGAAATGGCAGAGAATACCAATTGTGAGAGTGCCGCAGTATATGCTCCACCATATGTTGTGCTTGAGGGACGAAAACTTTGCATATTGTATTGGTACCTCTGATGATGAGCGTTGAGGAGTAAACTATGAGCACGAGGACCATCACCGAGTCTCTTGAGAGCTGAAATAGCAGCACGAAGCTCTGTACCACGAGTTGAAGTTTGGGAGGCAATGTCAGCAAGCTGGTCGGCTAATTTTTTCCTACGTTCCGTAATGGCAGTTTGCAGAAACAATAAGACTCTGGGACTTTCACATCAGAAAAGAAAACGAAGTGTTCGATAAACAAGGGGAAAAAGTTCCGAACTGTTCCGGAGCAGATGAGAGGAGAGTCGATTATTATGTAGTTCCAACAGTCCTTTGAGACAATTGGTAGAGAGATCTAGACTTCCAAGAGAACAAAATAGTAACCTTCACAGCAAACACCGTAATAGTCCTGATCGTAGTCTATAAGAATTAACATGGACTCCTTCAGCTAAATAATTGATTAAAGTAGACTGAGTAGATAGCAGCTTTCTCATTGATGAAAGTTCACCCTCGAGATCTGAAATCTCTTTTGATGTGCTGCAAATGCAGAAGAGACAAAAAAATGGAAGCTTTAGCGCCTATTAGAAATGAGTACGTTAAATAAAAGGGAGAGCTGATCATTATACATCCAGGAACTCATTCCTTAGTTTGTGTAACGAAATATCTTCTCCCTGGTTCTTGTGAAAATTCTTTTGTCCAAATTATAAGGAACATTTTGGTTGACTAAATCTAAACTCTAATTCCGGAAGAGCAGAACAGGGGTAAACAAAAATACAGATAAAAACTTACCGAATGAAAGCTGTATAGTTAGCATAAACACTTCTGCGCATTTCCTCCGCAGAAGCTTTTTTCAGATCCATCAGTGAGGAGCATAACTGCCTAATCTCCTGCGAACACATACATTATAAGCAAATATGGAGTATATGCTTCAGTATTCTTGTGAAAAAATAATGATAATACTCCGTAATAATAATAATACTGTTCAGATAAGCATGGATAAATGATAACAGACTAGTTGTGGGAACGAATTGTAGAAATTGAATATTGTCTCAAAAAATCTCTCTATTTCCAACATTTCACGTCATTGATAAATCATAGTTATTGCAATAAAATTTTCACACACGCACACACAGACACACGCACACGCACACACATATGTATGTGTGAGCTGCATGGAGACAGCCTTGTGCTGAACCACTGATGAGCATATATATCTTTAAGTTGTTTTTGACAAAAGCGAACCTCTTAAATTAAATGTGAAATAAAGTCAGGGGGTGTATCAAACCACTCCCCTAATCTATGGGTACAATGAGAAGCCCTCACAAGTAGATGCTTTAAGTTATACTGTACTTAATTACTTAAGCTTCTATATTCAAAACAAAATGATACATTCTACAGGAGGAGTAATTGCCGTACACAGCGCTAGAAACACAGAGTAATCAATGTTTCAGCAAAGCCCAATAACCAAGGAAATCAATTAAGCAAGTTTCCTACGATTGTAATTTGTATTATTAACTCAAATATTTTACACATGCACTAGTTTCTTTTTCACATAATAGTTGTGATCTCTTTAAATGGGACAGCAAGATGGCTTGGTTAGACAAGTTGAGATTGAAACAAAATCCATAAGGAAGTTTCCCTTCCGCTGACTCTCTGTCTTTCCATATTTCTCATTCACGGTGTGTCAATGCATCATAAGGAGACACCAAACGCAGAAATCACCCTAAAATTCAGGTCAATATTTTTGTATTAATAATATAGGTTTCTGAGAGTATGACTCTATACGATCTGTATTTCATGATGAATGGCAACATCTTGCACAATTTGCTCCAAATGCTCTTTTTATTTGGTCCTGTCATTCGTAGAGCAATGGGAAAAAAGGCTAGAGGGAGAAGATCATCAGCTTCAAATTAAAGTATGCATTTACTCACACAATAGCATGACCTCCCAAAACATTAGTGAAAATAGATTGTTGTTTAACTAGAGAAATCATTATGCACATTAGGTACATGGCTATATTAAGTACCAATTTCCTAATTGTCCTAGCTTTTTCAAAAGGGATCAAATGAAGTCTTGGAGAAGAATTAAACAAAACACATTTCAACTAATCTATAATTCGATCCATTTCAACATTCAAACACAAACTGCAGCTAAATTATACGTAGTAAACATTCACGGAGTACAATTATTGATGGGAAGTGAGTAAAAATTCACACACACACAAACTAGAAAATGTGCCCAAAACATTTAACGATAAGGTGCAAAAGAAATGACCTTTTCATTCATAGAATGGCACTTGGATTGGACAAAGCCGTCGGCGTCAAAACTGTCGGATTTAAAGACAGTAAGCTTCTCCTCCAGCTTAACGCCGGCGTCCCTGCCGCCTCCTTTCGCCGGCGTCGAGGCCGCATGCGTTCTGGACCTAGACGACTTCAGCGTTGCCATAATGCCCCCCGATTAATTCCGGTCGATGATCACCTAATTTTCCGGAACGGGGGTGGCATAAACTTCTAGAGAACAAATCCACAGATCTGCGTTTGCGGAGGTGAAAGGCGGCGAGAGGAGGCGCCGTGAATTATTGAAGTATGAGATACGGAAGCGCGCAGGGAGAGGGAGGAGGAGAACGTGGTGCAAAAACAAATTGGGCCTTTCTGAGAAGCTCTCATGAAACTGCCGAATTTCCCAACTGTGCAAAGCTGAGGGGAGATGATGATGATGGCTGAGTCTTTAAAAGAAAGAAAGAATGAATGAACTGTAATTTTGAAAAAGAAAAAAAATGTGTGCCATTTAAATTATTCCGTAGTAAATTACACCCACCATAATAGAATTTTTTTTGTAAATCACATCCATCCTAGAATACTTTCAGTTATTTGGCCAGTTTGGAAATAACATTTTCAATTAGCGTTAGCATTTTGGATAAAATTTTAACAGTGCAGATTAACTTCGAAAACATTAAAGCTAAAGGCTGCCCGTAAATAACATTTTCAAAACGCTAACGCTAATCTTTAACGCTTTTTCCAAACAGACTCATTAATTTCTTATCGTGGGTTAAAAGATTAAAAAAATTAGACACCGCTAATGTACCGTCTATTCCCAAAAAAGAAACTCACAGTTCAATTTTTGATCAAAATGTGTAATATTTTTATCACAAGCTAAATATAGTTTTAAATACAGAGTAATTAATACTACCTCCGTCAGAGAGTATTTGTCTACTTTCATTTTTACACAACATCCAATACACTTCTTTAATCTATTTTATCTTGTAATTTGTATATTAAAAAATTATAAAAATTATATATTAATAATCTATATGTTAAGACAAATCAAACAAGATCACACATGACTATATTTAGACTTACACATTGAGAAAATTTGATGAGTCAAAGTGCTTAGATGAATAGTTCCAAAAGTCAAAACTGGACGAATACTCCAGGACGGAGGGAGTATTATACTCCCTCCGTTTCATTAAACACTTCCTCTTTCGGTTTTTTTGTTTTCCACAAAACACTTCCATTCCACACTTTTTCCCCAAAATACCCCCCAGCCCTAAAAGACTACCCATCCCACCCATACCCAGCCCTTTACTGACACACGTCGTCTCTCTCTCTTCCCTAAACCCTATCCTCACCTACGCCATCTCTGCCGATCAAATTTTCCATGGCCTCATCCCCTCCTTCTCCAGATCTAGACTGGGATATGCCTTCTTTTCGCCTTCTAAGTGAAAGCGATGAAGATGTGCAACCTCCTAAGCGCAAGAGGGTATGTTTTCCAGGCTACAACCCTGATGCATCTGATTCTTCTGACACTGATCCGTCCTGGAACTACCGGAAGAAATACCTTGGGGTGACCATCTTCCGGACGGCGTTGAGTGGAATTTAGATCTGGAAGAAGGGAATCAGGGGATTCAGAGGTTGATTCATTCACCACACAAGAGATTGGAGGAATGACCTCTGATACAGAGATTTTCTTTGCCAAACCCTTTGGAAGTCCAATGAAGCTCATGCGATTTGAACAGAGTAAAGTGCTTCAATCCTCTGTTCTTTATGAATATTGTATTGCCTCTGTTTCTGTAAACCCTACATGTTCTGATTTTGGGGAAAAATTACGAAGGGTTAAAGCCTTTGTTGTTTATGCAGTGTTGTCTTCTTAAAGTAAAATTTCTTGATTCTTGACTTCATTGCATATTTTTTGGGCAAACTAATAATGCAAACCCTAGTCTTTCTGAATTATGAGAGAATTGCTTCCCTGTAATGCCACCCCTATAGGTTTGGAGGCTTACTGTGCTCAATTAGGAATATGTCTTTGCCACCCCTATGATGTTGAGTGCCTAAATGCTTATGATTGAACTTCTAAATGAATTTCTGAGGCAGCCCAACCATGGTATGAGTCCCTAGACATGCATGCCCCTTTATATGCCTATGATTGAACTTCTAAATGAATTTCTGAGGCAGCCCAACCATTGTATGAGTCCCTAGACATGCATGCTCCTTTATATGCCTATGATTGAACTTCTAAATGAATTTCTGAGGTAGCCCAACCATGGTATGAGTCCCTAGACATGTCTGCCCCTTTATATGCCTATGATTAAACTTCTAAATGAATTTCTGAGGCAGCCCAACCATAGTATGAGTCCCTAGACATGCATGCCCCTTTATATGCCTATGATTGCAGTACAAAGTTGAGTTTTGAGGCATTTTATCTGCCTATGATTGATATTCAGTCCCTGCTTAATATTTTACATTGAGGATCTGGTACCACATTATTACACAAGCCTGCACACTATGACTAAACACTACCAAAAAGCAAAAAAAAGTGTGTTGTTGTGTGTACAAGTACAAACCAAAAAAAGAGTTACACAAAAGTACTCTCCTTTGGCCCTTAAGTGTTGCTTTCTGAGAACTGGACAGCATCTTCATAGACTTGAGCATCCACATGTATGTTCTCAGGCAGCATTCCTTCCCTGGCCAACCTTTCTTTGCCCATATGTGGTATTTTATAGTCATTTCCCCCTTTCTGCTTAAGGACCTCACCCATTACCTCCTGATAGGTAAGGAAAACATTATTTAAGGTCTGGGCTGTGAGTTGGTCATAAGACATCGTCACATTGGTGATCAACTCCCTCATTGACCTTGGTGCAGTCTTGTCTGACAAAGCATCTATTGACCTAAAGAAACCAAGGTCAAGGACATTTAAGTCTGGACTGTTTGGGGGTTGAAACTGTAGTTGAATGTCCCAATCACCTTCCTTTGAAGCACTCACAAATTCAGGATCATTAATATTTATATGTGGTTTAGCATTATCCTGTTGTATGATAACGTGCTTGCTTGTCCCTGGCCACTTGGCCCTTATTGCTGGCAGCAACTGCTGAATAATCATGGATCTCATTACATCCCTTGTTATTTTTGGTACTGCTTTGATTTCCATGGTACCAGCTGGCCTATTTTTGCTAGCCCTTTTAGCAGCCTCTTCAAAAGTGAATGGAAAAATGCCAATTTTTCCATCCCATATAACTTCACCATCCACCCCAAACCTTAGCCTACCCACAGCTCCCAGGAACATTATTTTGGGAATGTGTGTTTTAGATTGAGTGGTTCTGTATGGGTCATCTTCACCAGGCAGTGTGTAGAATGTTGCTTTGGGCTTGCTCAAATTAAACCACTTTTCATCAATGTGAATGCAATCATAACAGTCATGAAATGTCTTTTTATCCTTTTCTCCTTCAGCCACCTGTGTTGTTGTAGTAGACACATTCAAGCAATGACTTACTGCACGTAGGGTCTGGCGTTGGTGAAAAGGAATCTGGCTAAGCTTGGAAAAGTCCTTAGTCAGAGATCTTTTCCCTGTATTTCCTTGCCACCTACAGGCAACATCAATAGCAAGGCCTGTGTCCAATTGAGCTTTAGCAATTCTTCATAGGTCTCTAACCGAACGATTTGAAATCTTGAAGTCATTAGCTACTGACTTAATACAACCGTGCTAAAGTTTGCCGTCTTTGTATTTTTGTAGTATCGCATCGATAACTTTCTTCCTTCTTTCATTCATTGTGTGTACACCAGAAATGCAGTTTCGGTTTTCTGTTTCAGGACTGTTAAAAGATGCTGCAAAGGGTACCTCAACCAGTGATGGCAAGACAGCATCTTCAAAATTAGATTGTGTGTGTGGAAAAGGATGAGGCAGCCATAAATGCAAAGGGAAGAAAGTGAACATAATGCTAACTCATTATGGAGGAAGAGTGAGAAGGTTTAATGTATGGAAGATGGTGTTGTTGCTGTATTTATTGAACTAAATTTAGAAGTTCTTTGGAGGGAATTTTAAAAATTTCCCAAAAAAACAAATCTGTAATTCCCCCCAAAAGGAAGCCAGTCGTGCAGTCCTTAGTATGTGAGCATTAAATGCTTTAACTATTTGCAATAGTAAATGATGATTGCCTTTTATACATTAATCAATTTTTTTGGCTTTGGGTTTGGGTTCCCACGTGCAACCCTAGGGGTATTATTGGAAAGTCTTTTCCAAATTAACCCTCCCTTATTTTGGCCAAAAGTCAAAACCAGAGGTGTTTAACGGAACGGAGGGAGTAAAAGATTGATATATATAAAATATAATTTTTTTAAAAAACTTATTTTTATTAAATTTACATTGTAACTAAATATAATTTTTTTCATAATTTATGGGTGAAGTATAACATAATTTAACGAAAAAATTAAACTGTGGTGATCTTTTGGATACAAACAAAATAATCTCATCTAACAATAAATGCGGCTTGAGTTAATATTTAGGCTTGTATTAAATTCAAGTAACACATTATATAAAAATCAATATCGTATTATAACTCGGTAATAGTATGTTGAGTATTATAAGCTGTAAAGATTGATTTTGTCCAATATCTTAAAATGGTTGAATTCATGGTATCAAAAAATCATTTAACAAGAAAGTTTGGGGGCCCTGTGCGGGTGTCCACCTTGCACATCCTCCGGACAGTCCCTAACCACTATATATATATATACATACATACATACATACATACATACATACATACATACATACATACATACATACATACATACATACATACATACATACATACATACATACATACATACATACATACACACACATACACCCTTATATTATAAGGGGCTAAAGAGTTACCGTCAAGTTTTTTGGCCCATTTTCCGTATTCCTTCTGTTTATTTAGTGTTGTGAGTGCACCTACTTCATTTTCCTTTCCTGTTATTCCTCTCACAGTCTTACCCGGGCTCTCTTTTTCACTCTTGGCATTCAATTCTTCACCGCAGCCCACGTAACCCACGCCCCCAAGTTTTTCAAGCTCGTCTTCTGATCTAGATGCTTAATTGGTATTTCTCAGTATCTGAATTGCAATTCACTGGATCCTACAATTTCTGGTAAAATTCCTTTTTTTCTTCGCATCCTTATTTCAATTTTATTCTAAAATTTTCTTCTTTGCTCTATTCACTTCACGTTTTCAAAGAGAATTACTGATTTTTTATTGATTTGCTTGTTCATTTGAAGTTACTTTGAATTTTGTTATTTCAAATATTAAAAAGAACTTGCCTACTACAAGACCACATGCTAACCTCACCACAAATATTGAGAGGGTGAGGTTTTGTTAGAGCTAGACACTGGAAAGAACAAAAACTAAATGCGGTAGCAATGACAGAAATTTATAAGATGAATTAGGTATAATTGGAATATTTTGGACCTATTTAGGACCATTTCTAATTAATTAATGTGTTAATTAATGTGTTATCACGCAATTTTTGGAGAACAACATCGTTAAGAACATAGTTTAAAATAGCTCGTGTTTGGAAGCTTGCATTTTATTTTGAGTTACTTTTCAATGTCTCTTATTCCTTTTTTAAATTTTCATTAGATTATGTATTTTATGTTTAAAAAAGAAATAAGAGTCATTTTATCACCATTTGGTTTTTGTTTATTCTGTGTTGCCCTTGGAATGTAACTCAAACCTATTGCATGTTAATTTGAACATGCAATGATGCAAATAACAAATGATGTTTCAATCCAGCATCAATAATTGGCTTATGGATATCATTTCAATATAAGAGTTTAAAAGAATGTGCTTTGTTCAATACTTAAATTCAGTTTGGGCTGGATTCAAGTTTCAATTCTTATTAGTTACATGTATTTTCAATTCCCTCACGTCCCTTTAAATTGTTTAGGTTTTTTAAGTTTTATATTTGCTCCCAATCATTAGGAAAAAACCTTTGAGTGTAATCAATCAATAACAACTTTTTTTATTTTTAAATTAGGTACCTTTGATTCAAAATGATGTCACCTAATTATCAAGCCAACGATGATAAAATGTTCCCCCTCCTATGCCTTCGTTTGTTAGCTACTCTAACAAAAATACCTAATTCAATAAAAACATCCGCAAGCCTTGTCTCTCCGACTTTAAAAACAAATATTGCATTTGAAATCAAGGTTCCAAATGACAAAAAAGAAGAAACTGTACTGGTCCCTTTACCTTCTTCTTGCTGTTCTGTACAAAATCTAGCTTAGATGTTTAGGCTTTAAGGGTGAATCACCATGTAAAATACTCCTTTTTGCGCTTTTTGGATGTACAAAACTAATGTACATGGGCACCTACGCACAGAGTGCGTCCTTTGCTAGTGTGTGTGTGTGTGTGTGTGTGTGTATATATATATATATATATATAGGACTAGAGTGTATCTTTATCGTCGCTTCGGGATCAGATTGTCCCAGATCGTTTCACGTGGACTCCGACCCATTTCACGTAGACTCTCACTCTTTATCAATTGTGTAGTCACGATTTTATCCTAATATACAATATTCTGGAGTATTAATTATGAAACGAGCCAAATATATTGGTCCTAACTCGCTACACGCATCTAAACCGGTCCCAATATATTCATTTCTGTATATTAATTGTAAGCGTGTTAAAGACCCTCAATAAACACTTCCTTCATCCCAAAATGTTAAACTTCTACAAAAAAAAATGACTATACACTTGAAGCAATATTAATGTTCTCGTACAAACTCTGAAAATGACCTCTGAGAGTATTCATTTTTTTTCTTTTTGAATTAAACACTTTATCCATCATAAAATAAAGTTTACGCTTTTCTTTTTGGGTCATTTTTTAATAAAAAGTAACACTTCCTTACATTCATATAAAGAATGTGACATTCTAAGTCACTAGAACAAGTTTCACTAACACAAAATGAAAAATGTCAACTCAATTTCTGGTCATGTTTAGAAGTGCATAAAATCAAACACAAGATTTATCAATTCCATTCGAAAGCTCGGAGCCAAAACAAGAAAGGTAATTACTACAGAAAACAAAGGGTGGGGATTTCCAAGGTTTTTAAAACAACACACACCCAAAGCCCTTGCTGTAGTGTTTGATACCGTTTAGTCTACACAAGAAGAACCGCATTGATACAGCCATCATTTTCGGGATTATTCGTCACTTGAGCATACTTTCCTGCATCACCCCATGAATTGGAAATGAATACTTGCATATAAATCAGGATAAACAAAACCCATATTTCTCAGCAAACATGAAATCAAAGGAAAATTTGTCAGCTCCATCCAAAATTTGCCACCCCCTTAATAAATACAGTAGAAAAGAGCAATCTTACCCCAGACAACCTTTCCAGCAGGGGTTACAAGACCAAGTTCACTGACATTCACCTGAAATTCACAGAAGGCTCAATGACCGAAGAACACTAATAGCCATAGTTTTCAGAACCGGACCGGAGACCAAACCGGTCAAGGTACTGGTTCACTGGTTCACTGGTCGGACCAGTGGTTCAAGTGGTCGGACCAGTGGTTCACGCATATTTGAAAATTCAATATATATATATATATATGTATATATATATGTGTGTGTGTGTATATATATATATATAGTTATTTATTTAAACAAATAAAAAATTATAAAATAAGAGCTTATATTTTTTATTTTATAATTTACAAAATATTTTTAAAATATTTAAATGAGTTAATAGTTTTATGATATGAAGTTCATATTAGAATCCATTGCATCAATATTTTAGAGTTTGAATCATAGTTTCAACATTATATTTTTAGAATTTTTAATCATAAAAAAAGTCTTTTGAGAATATGTATATTTGTTTATTTTTAAGAATGTAATATATAAAAAATAATGTCTTCATGCAACAAAAGGGATGGTAGCTAAATGGTAGATAGGCAAGCTAGCGGGCAGTAGGTTGTGTGTTCGAAACCCACTACTAACAATTTTTGAAACATTTGTGCAAAAAAAAAATTGTCATCAGTTGAACCGGACCGGTTCTAGGCGGTTTGTACCGGTTCGGTGCACTTGCCGTTCTTTGGGGCTGGACCGGACCGGTTTGACCTCTGGTTTGCCGGTTCCCGGTCCGAACCGGCCGGTCCGGTCCGGTTTTTAAAACTATGCTAATAGCAATAGCAGGGCATATGGAAACATCAAAGATTTATCATACTAGTAGAAGTTATACCTCGATGATGGTTCCTCTGGTTATAACACCAAGAGAGGTATACATTGGACCGTTCGGGTTTTTCTTCACGCTCACGATCTCAAGATTGAAGGTACACTTCAGTTCGGGGTGTGTCACATGAGCTTTAGTGAAGCGCATACCTGAGGGGCGGATAAAGCGTTCATATTTTGGGGGTTTTCTTGTAAAACTAGGGCCTACAAAAGTGGCTTTTGTGATCATCCTCTTCCATTGTTTGGCTGCATGAAGGAATGAAATGAGAAAAAACTTTCTAGACCAAAACAAAACTAACACCAACAACACAACTAAGCAATCAAGTGTGTCTGTATTAGGGTTTTGCAAACAATTGCCCTTTGGGGAATGGTTATGCAGTCCAAATATGGAAAATTATCATTAAATAAGCATATCAAATGCATTTCATCATATTCAAATGAATGTTTAATGATATTTTTTTCATATTTGGAATGTTCAACCATTGCCCTTAGAACAATAGTTAGCAAAACTGATATACATAGTGTATATCAAGTCACCCACAGGGTCACACTTGTGAGTTGCCACAAAAAAAGTGAAAAACAAAGATAATAAAAAACATGCAAAACAAAGTGTAGTGGTATGTAAGCATTGTACGCACTTACTCTTTCTTTTGCCTGTTCTAATCACTCTAAACATCTCATCTTCAGCCACGGGCCTTACCTGGAGAGTAGAAAGTACCCATTAAACTAATTGCACATTTTAACACTTCAATTCACAAAAGTGTCTCAAAAACCTATTATAATGGGCGCAAGAGCATGCGGGCACATAGCCTTTATGTGGTTGGGGAGAAATAGGAAGGAGAGAAATGTAGGCATGTTCTTGTTTAGTTATTCGAGAAACATATGGGAGATGAGATTATTGATCATACCCTTGTTTTAGTTCTAAAATATTGGAAAGAAATGCAACCCTTTATTTCTACACATTTGATCTCTATTTCCCTCCGTTCAAACAGCACACAAAGTCTATCCTATTTCTCTAATATTTCTCTCTTCTCCATCCCTTAGTCCCTTACTTACCAAATTCTTGCTTTTCTATTTCATCCCCAAAAAAATTAAACGCCTTAACACATGCATACAAACATTGTTCATTCATACATAAATATACAACACACGCACACACACAAAGAGATGAGAGTAAGAAGATTTAAACACATTAATGGTGAAGAGATTAAGAAAAGCATTCAAAACATTGGTGATTAAATAAAAAAAGAGGCAGGTTGTAAATTTCGTACGTAAGTTTATTTCAACGGGTAAAGAATATGTCGATAAAAAATGAGAGTACGAGGGGGATCACGTCCTAACCAATGTATCACGACCACTAGAGTCAGCTTTTGCAGTTATAACACAACCCTTACATGAGAAGGGATCTCAAACCAATCAAGATAAGAAATCAGCACATAAATTGTGGTTGTGGTATAATATGAATTTGCATTACCTTAGGTAAAGGCACATCCCATTTCCCAGCTTTCTCTTTCCTCTTTTGCTTTATACTATTGCTGAGAGCCTATAATGACCAAAAAATAGTTAATAGCAATTATTTACTACCAATGAAGCAGACGGAGAAGTCCACAGTTGTGGGTCTATGCTAAACATGCCTTAGCTCTTGTTGTAGTTTCACGGTCCATAAGATATGATGGAATAGCCCCTTCATGTACTTCATCATCAACCTTTTTCCTTGTTGCTGACTCTTCATGCATCGCAAGTCTGTTGTCGTCAAATCATATCAAAACATAAGCTTGGGAGACCCATACGAGTTGAGCATTAAAATCCAAATTCCATTATTTTTCAATGTTTGCAGTAATTGATAAGCAAAGTAAATGAAACACAGCCGATGCTATATTGCAACAAAAAGAATTTCTAACAAAACCATATTGCAAGAACTTAATTAATCCCATTAAATCTAGAAGTAGCTAGCTTACGTTTTCTTCATCAAGGCCTTATTGCGATAGTTCTCCTTGGAGATCATCTTGCCCTTAATACCCAGAGTCTGTTATCAGGAACGTTAACATTGAGTTCAAAAATAACAAAAAACAAAACAACAAAAGCATATGTGCAAGCAAAGAGGTGACGAAACAGCAACAGAACATGACCTTCTGGGCAATCTGAGAATGCTTGTGAACCTCGCGGGCCTTCTTCTTGCGCAGTCTCTCGAAGTGATCATGGCGGTAGCCATTTCTCTTCCTGTGCAGATCTATATGATCTCCCTGCGGCTGTTAAAGAGCAATTTCAAGCAGTATAATCAGATTGGTAATCCCCATTAACACAGATATAGAACCGGTACGAAGATAATCGGAGACGAACCATGTTTGATCACAGCCTGAAACCTAGATATCGGAGAGTAAAACCCCTTACTCGTTTGGAATCAGACGGCGGAGGTTTTGTAACAGAGCCGATGCCGCCGCCTCTGTGCGTTAAACCTTCTTCTGCAAAAAAAAATGCAGATTTACAATTGGAAGAATTGGGCTTTGGTCCAAAGGTAATATATGGGCTCAAGGGATAGCGGGCCATAGTTGTAGTCTCATCTCCAATGGGCTCAAGGGATAGCGGGCCATAGTTGTAGTCCCATTTTTTGTTTTACATTTATTTATTTTTAATTTTATACTCCGTATTATTTTCAATAATATAGAGCATAAAAATAATACCCCAGAATACTTAAATTTATTATTCCGTAATAATTATATTGAGAGAAAATATGAAGTTAAAAATATATTTTGCATAGCTTCGTTAAAAAAATATTATCATCACCATGATAACATGCGCAACATAAAATTAATTTATTCTTTGAAATTAAATTCTTTGCCAATGCAATAGATTTGCATTTCAAATTAATTAGATTTGCACTCGAGCCATCTCCACTAGAATGCCCAAAGAAGATGCTAGGAAGAGAGTGTTAGCCAAAGTGCACAATTCTATGAGGGGGTTGGGTGAATAGAGTTAAAATCTAGAATAAGTGTTTTTTCAATTTTATATGTGATAAACCAAAAATAAAGACTGATAAAAGTAAAGAGTATTGGGGAAGAACAATATCGCAAAATATACTGGTTCAATATCCGTGGCTAATCTTGTCCTTTGAGAGACTTTCTCAAAAGTTCTATTAACTTTTCAGCTTCAATAGGTGCTTGAAAAGTATTTTACAACTTGAGAACTTGAATCACACAAATTCATTATTGAAGAAAAGAAATAGATTTATGTTTTTTTCAAAAAAATTATACTCCCTCCGTCCCATTTTAAATTGTCTGTTTGCTTTTTTTCTCCGTCCCAAAATAAGTTGTCTATTAGTTATTTTCGTAAACTTTTAAAAATAAAATACCTAAACTACCCCTAAAATAAGTCACTCTTCTTCACCTTATCTTTTCATTCATCATCACCCTTCTAAAAAGTAATGACAATTTCAAAAAATCAACTCTGTTTTTTATTTTTCTTAAATATGCCCAAAAATCAAAACAGGCGATTTAAATTGGGACGGAGGGAGTAACTAAACAATGGACTAAAGTGTACCAACTTTTATTTATTATATCGATTATTTATTATGAACAACTTGGTGCATAATACTGAAATCGTGCCGAATCATTCGAATAACGGATAATAATGGTGTGATATGAGTTTTTTTAAATATTAAAGAGGGTAGATGTTTTTTTTTTTGGAAAAAAGGTAGATGTTATTTGAAATGCAAGCTTTGATAATTTTACCGGATTAATTCGGTTCCAATTAACACGGCGTCTGTGAGTTGAAGGCAACTGAAATGACTGCCGCGACACTTTCGCCGCCAGTCAGCTGCGGCGGCGGCAAGGGAGTCGCTGGGTGTCTCACTCACCACTCATTCATACGCTCCCCGCTCCTTTCCCGTCAAATCAATTTCCCAAACCAGCAGCCACCGACGAATTCATTCCAATTAGGGTTACCTCATCCTCGCCGCGGTTCATCATCCATACACTGTGCCTCTTGGAAGGCTGGAAAGACGACGCCGTCTCCGTTTTCCGGCGGCGCATTTCAATCGAACTGGGATAAGAAACCATACGAAGCATGCCGGAGTGGGAAAATAGCATATTTAGATGAGCTGGACATTGCGACATTTCTCGACCCTCCCAAAGAGCTTATTCCTCTGGATTCTTCTTCCTATAATCCTGCTTCCTACCTCTGGTAAATCTATATATGTTTGTAGATGTCTTAAGACAGCTTAGTTAGGGCATGAGGAAGTATATGTTTTTAGGATGGGAAAATGAAAAACATTGCTGATTAGTAACTGCTGAGATTGTATAAGATCTTTGTTATACTTGGAATGCTGTTTGTCTTGTTCTCATGGTTTAAGTATAACTCGGACGATCAGGAAAAAAATTGGAGATATTCCAGAGGAGCGGCGACATAGATTGCTCCAATTGCTAAACCCAAGGTGTGTGGTTTATGCATCGTTTCAGCCTCTTTGATGATAGAACTTAGAGTTATATGCATAAATAGTCCCTGTGGTCTTTCGTAAGTGGGTAAATAGTCCTCAAACTTTTAAAAGTTGCCAAATAGTCCCTGTGGTCAAAGAACCATTGTATAATCAGTCCCCCTATAAGAGAATTCGTAAAATGTAAACAACATACGCGCATTATGCAAAGATGTAAATTATGTAACAGTAAAAAAAGCTAATTTGAAGTTTTAGTTGTGATGTGTAAGTTTGAATCGTAGTACAATATTTTCTATCTTATAGTTTAACACTCACAACGACTTCTTCGTCTCTTTTAGAGTGATATTCTTGAATCATAGTATAATGTTCTATGTGAGCTCAAGATTATTTGATTTTTCATGTAGCCTTTATTCTATGGTAATGCCGTGTGATATGAGAGCTAGAAAAAGACCATTCTTCCTTGCATTTAACCACGTAGACGAGGGTAATTTCATCAAATCAATTTTTTTGGGTACATTCTTCACATTTTCACACAGTATGCATGTGTTCTGCATCTTTATGTTTTCTTTAAAGGAGGGATTAATTATGCATCAATTCGTTGACCACATGGACTATTTTACAACTTTTAAAAGTATAGGGACTATTTACCTACTTATGAAAGACCACAAGGACTATTTGTGCACATAACTCTAAAACTTAATTGTAAAGAATTGGCCCATTCCACTTTTTGACGGGGTTCTTTGAAATAGTTTCTCCACTCCATGGGTAGAGGTAAGGTCTGGTTACACCTTCCTCCGGACCTTACTTTCGGTGAGATTTTTCAGGGTCGTTTGGTTTAGTATACTTATTTGTAAACTGTAATGCATTCCTGCTCCTATGTAATTTCATTTTAATTAGTAAAAATTGATATAAATACTCCCAGAAATTTGAAATTTAACAATAATACTCCCAAATTCAATAAAAGACTCTGGTGCTCCCAATTAAACTATAAGTTTACATTACTACTCCCACTATCTCTAATCAGCTTTTCTTATGCTTACATGTAAGTAATTATGCTTAGTTGACATCTTAGTTGTTGTTTTTTGTTTTAATAAGAGGAAAAAATTATATAAATACTCATAGAAATTCAAAATTTTACAATAATTCTCCCAAAATCAAATAAAGACTCCAATTCTCCTAAAAGTATATTCTCGTTGCACGTTACTATATTTGACTGAAATTATTTTTAAAATATTTTATATGAAAAATGGTGTGAAATTAAAAAATAAAAATTACATATTAAAAACTAATATAGTAATATGTAAAAATAATTTTTTAGTAATATTAAAGATTAAATAATTGAGCTTAATTAGCATCTTAAGTAGTTTTTTATATTTTAATAAAAAATATCCCTCTGTCCAAAAATTATCTTCTCATTCACTATCAAGAGTATTAACAAGATCAAATTTTATTTACTTTTCTTATCTATTTTAATTATGTATTTGATAAAATAATATAATTATATCATTACTAGTTTTATAGATCTTATAATGTAGTTTCTAGATATATAATTTTATTTTTTGATTTCACACCACTTTTATTAAACATCATAACACGTAAAAGGAAGATATTTTTTAGAGTACTGGAATCTTTATTTGGTTTTGAGAGATTATTGTAAAATTTTGAATTTCAGAGAGTATTTATACAATTTTTTTCTCCTATTAAAACAAAAAGAACAACTAAGATGTCAACTAAGCATAATTACTTACATTTAAGCATCAGAAAAGCTGATTAGGAATAGTGGGAGTAACAATGTAAACTTATAGTTTAATTGGGAGCACCAGAGTCTTTTATTAAATTTGGGAGTATTATTGTAAAATTTCAAATTTCTGGGAATATTTATATCAATTTTTCCTTTTAATTATGGAAAATGAACACTAGTCCATCCATTGTAAAAGGGTGTCATTATGTAGTGTTGGGTATTATGCAATTGGTACAATATCAAGATAGAAAAGTGTAAAACATGAACAATGAGTCATCTAAGGTTAGCAGTTTGTGAAGGTGTGCCATGTTTTATTTGAATACATGTATGGGTAGTTTTGAAAGCAATGTACTGATAGATGATATATTTAAAATGCAAAATGGCAATTTTTTTGGACAGAAAAGTTTAAAGTTAACATCCTTTTCGGAACCAAGGGACTTTCCAATCTCCTTGGTATTGTCTTGTCTATGTTGATTGTCAAGTTGTCTTAAACAAGTCAAATGCACTTATCCATTGTTCTTTTTGTGTTTTTTAGTTTATCCCTTGTTCCTTGGATAAGAGATCAGAATGTAAATGCTTCACATTGGCTTTTGTTTTATCTGTTGAGGAAAAACATACTTTCATGCTTTTCAATCTTAAATTTAGAATATTTGAACATTTCATGTTTTGCAAGTGGAAAGTTTAGTAATTGTTCCATCTATGTCAGAAGAGGTATAGGCAAACTTTTTCAATGAAACATAACAAGAAATTGCACATACTATAGCAGCGTGGCTTCTCAATTCTAAAAGTTCTTACAGGCTAATATCGAGAGCTTGGGAGATAGCTGGGATGAGGTATGATGACCCCAAGTTGGCAAAGAAAAGTGCATCTTGCTTGCTCTCCGATAATCATGGATCGACCTCACTTGAATTTTGGAAATGCCGAACAAGTGGAGGTTGGTTTTTGCTCTTTCACTTATTTAGCAATCATCCAACCCAGCTAGCATGGGAATATGTTGAGTTCCTTGATCGAAGTACAAAGCTACTCAATTGAGTATGCTTGTTTATGAAAGATGTTTTGATACATTCAATTTTTTTATACAGGGCCACTACTCATTGCCTGGATAAATTCCTTCAAAAAGGTTTTCACTCTGATATGTTGTTGCATCTGGACGTATTTTCTGCATGTTTCAATTTATTTCCCATTTTCTAGTATCTACCACTCTGCTTCTCATTGATGATAATTCGTTGGCACAAATTTATGCTGATTTCTTTGTCCATGTTTTTTTTCTAGGCTGTCTTTTGTAGTGGGGATGGGAAGATATATGGAAGATTCATTGGTATGCTCACTTACACTATTATTGAGGCAGTATATAATATATACACATTGGCTTATGAAGCAAAAATATCATTTAATAATTTTCTCTCGCTCATAGTTCACCTTTTCCTACTACTACATACTCTGTATATTCTTTTCTCATTCTCTAACAATTGAAAATGTTTTTGACAACAAACAAACTAAATATCAGGTGGATCTATCATGACTGGAATTTCAAATTCTTATCCACTATATTTTACGGTTCGAGAGTCCAATGAAGTGATGTCAACAGAGCAGCCTTGTGATTTGGCCTATGAGTTTGGAAATGGACTCTTCGATATACCCGATTTGCCACAAGGTTTTCCGAAGCCAGCCAGACATCCTTGGCCATTCAATGATCAGGTTGTTGTATATGTTCGTCACGTGGGCCCGGGAGTAACCGTGGGGCAAGCATGGCAAGAGGGCAAAGCACTGGAACAAGTGCCTAAGAAGCTATACGGCGAGATCTTGATGGTGAGAGATTGTTTGCCAGAAAGAAGCAGCTCTATGATCACCATGAGATGAGCCGGGCTATCTCCCATTGTTTGCCCATGTGCCACCCCACAAATGGCTGAGGAAGCTCTCTCTTGTATCACAATCCTATAAACATTTCATTCACTACAAATATAAACTTTGTGCTGTTTTCTATGCAAATGGTGGTATCCAGCAGGGTTCCTTTTCACCCTGAGGTCTCAAAAGTCTGGCAAAGGGATTGAATCTCAAATCAGTTTCAGATCATTCTCTAACAGAAGCTTCATTCAGCAGGGAAAATCATTTTGAAGATGAACACTACTCGAGAGGTATGTGACTTGTAACATTCAAAATATTGGATTTGATCTGTCAAGAATACAAACAAGGCTTTCAGTAGAGGAGTTTGTAGAAGTCCTGTTACATGTCGTTGGCGTGATGCTTATAATGTGGTTTCTATAAAGCACAAGTAAAATGGATTCAAACGCAAGTTTGATCTCATCTACTGCATTTCACAGTGCTTGGTGAAAGGCTGTGTGCGAGGGAATGAAGAATGGCTGTATCTGCTCGTTCCGTTCCTAAGAGAAGTTTTTGTTGAACTATTTGTGTTAACTACATTTGTTAAAATAATGTAGTCTAGTCAGTTTTTGATTTAGTTTTTTAATTATATGAATTTCATTTTAATTGAATTTTACATCCATGTTATTAAATTAAAAATAATTTCAGCCAAACTTTGTTAACTTCATCATGGTCTCTTTTTAAGACATTCGGAGTACTGAATATTGATTTATCTCCAATCATTCTGATCCGCTATTTCTGGGTTGAGATCGGTATATTGTAACAACCATACTAAATTTGAAATATTCGATATGATACTAGTACGATACAAATAAAATCTTTGTCATTTACCCTATCATGCTTGTTTTGTTACATAAATCAAAACTATGGACCATCTTTGCTACTCTCCCTACTCATTTTCTTTTATTGTATGGGTAGAGTTTTCAATTGAATAATGTTGTTGTGTCTCCATAGCCGACTAAAAGTTTCTCCACACATTACGGGGTTCTCTATATGAGTGCTTATTGACTTATTGTTGATAAACAATTTTTAAGTTATAAGTTTTTTATAAGTCAAATATTTTTTCGTGAAAGCAAATGACTTAAATGATATATAAACCGTCTGTAGATATTCATAAATGGTTAAATGTAGTTTTGTAAATAATCTGTCCAAAATGGAGAAATAAAAAATGATTTAAAATTCAGTAGCTAAGACTTATTTATTTTTTTTAAAATTATAAGCATGCAAAAATATGTTATCAACTTACTTATAAATTAAAAATTGATTATAAGTAATTTTGATTAGTTTATAAGTATAGAGAAATACCAACTATATAAACACTTCAACTCAACCATATTCTCTATTTTATTGTTCTCCAGTCACTGAACTCAAACATTTCCTTTTATCCTTTTCTTTTCTTTATCTTCTTTTCCTCAATCTCTTCTTTGCTGGGGTCGTGTATTTGTCATGATATCAGTGTGAATATTTGTAACAATTAAATTTAGAAATATCATATTTTAAAAGTAATGTACACATATTATTTAAATGTTATCCATCAACTATATAAAAAGATATCTTATGGCACACATCCAATTAATATTGTCAAAACTCAAATATATGTATTCAACATGATAATGCAGAGCAATCTAAAGGTGATATGAGTTTGAAATGAGACAATTATCAACTCCCAAAGTTCTTGGTGATGCTATTCGACCATCCCAACTTTTTGCAATACTATTGAGCCTCCTACCATTTTATTTTTAAAAATTCTCCTATCATTGCTTAATGCATTTTTATTCTTAAAATAATCCTCCCAAAATATATTAAAATATTTTATTCCCAAACAAATATATATAAGTAAAAATATAACCCATTTTTTACTAATGCGTTTGTTTGATAAATAAATAAAAAAAATAAATTTTTGAAATTTCAAAAAGGGTTATTATTTGAATAAAATACATTAAAAATAAGAGGTGAATTTGTGAAAATAAAACAATGAGAGGGGATGAAACGAAAGACTCCAATTTACTGCAATAAAGTCATCTCTTCCCCTTCCACCGGATCCTCCCCGCCTGAAATTTCGAGTCAACTCGAGATGCTTCCGCAAAGTCGAGCTCTGACCGCCCATCTCCCACCGTCGCCTCTCCCGACTGCCCATGTCTACAGAAGAGCTTCTCTCATCTTCCCCAAATCCGCCAAAACGAACCACCATTACTCGTTAAAGAATCGGAATCTTTGTCTCAGAGATTCATATCGACATCTGAAATGCTCCGTCTCCGTTGCTTCATCGGAGCCCACCCAATCTGAATTTAGTAGCGACGGAAAGCCATTCCCAGCTGAAGTTTCTAGAACAATCATGGAATTGGCATCCGTAGGCACTCTGTCCACTCTGACCCAAGACGGCTGGCCTCTGGGTATTGGAGCTCGCTTTGCTGTTGACTATGAAGGCACTCCGATCCTCTGCTTGAATGATTCCATCTCTAAGGAATTTGTTAATAGCAAGTCCAGCTTTCACGTCCAGGTTTTTGATCCCTTCGTTTCTCAGTTTCAGCTGTAAAGTTTGAATCTTTATGGTGTTCTTGGGGATGATTTGAAATTCTCAATCTTTGATGTATTCCATTGCTTTATTAACAGCTAGAACAGTGTGGGCTGAGGAGTCCACAGTGCACAGTTCAAGGTAGTCTTGAAAAGCCAGAAGACCCCAATGTTTTGAAGGTACTCTTTCTTTTTATTTTGCTTAATAGATTAGGACACATTTTACAGAATATGACCACAATTGGATCAATGTGTGGATTTATTAATCCAAAATAGTGATGTGTACATTTGCATCCAATCAATGTGGGTGAGTAACGTATCTAGTGAAATGCTAGATATGGATTGATACTCAAGCATGTGTGAAATGCCACTCATTTATTGAAATTCACAGTAATCGATTTTTTGTTTGGATTAATTCGTATTTCAATGCAAAACTAAGGTATCAAGAAGGGTTCCTTTTTGGGTGTTTGCATGTAGTAGTTTTGACCTTGAGATTAAAAGGTTAGAGAATCTCATTTCATTTTTATAACCCTTTTTGTACAGAAGCTTCAATCAGTATGGAAAAAGCGTTTTGGTGATGAAGTAGACACACACAGCTTGTATGTTGTTTCTGTTGAGCGATTGTTCCTAATTGAAGATTTTGGGGAGGTATGTGACTCATTGTTGTTGTTCAAAGTCAGATTTTTATGTTTTCTTTTATGGGAAGAATCCATTTATTAGTTACTTTCAGGATGGTGTATGGGTCAACTCTTCAGAATATAAGCTGGCAACCCCTGATCCACTCAGAGAATTGGCAGAAAGAATGATCAGTGAGATAAATTTTCACAATATGGAAGACGTTATTCGCTTTTGTAATGTCTATGTGGATTTGGATTTCCGGGTATGTAAACAATCGTTATAGCAAATGATATATATTCAAATTGTTCAATGTGGTTTGTGTATTACCTCTCTAAGTTTTTTTTTCCCTACTGGTTCTCTCATAGGTATCAGATGCAAGGTTGCTATGGGTTGACAGATTAGGGTTTGACGTCCGTTTCTGGTCCCCCAAGAAGGATATTTTTGAAGTTAGAATCCCTTTTCCCAGAGAAGTGGCCGATGCAAAGGGTGCTAAATCTTCTTTCAATTGTATGTCTCAACTGGCTTGGGAGGTGGAGAAGAATTATCAAGCACCACAATTTGAGAAGGCAAAGAAACTTAAAAAGATAATGTTCAAAGGGAGATCTGAAAAAGCTGGCATCTCTTAGACATTTCAAGTTTTGCATCCATCCTTTGTCTACAATTCAGTCTTGCTTCACAAGCTATGAAGAAATGTTTCGGTTTTCATGATCATTGTAGCTCTTTTGATCTGTTCTTCAACCTCCATGTGTAGAACAACGTTTTGAAATGAATTGGTTTTGCCATGTTGTGGCTTTGTAATGTTAGTCAAGATGACAATTAGTCATTGTCTCAATTCTTTATGATTTTTTTTTTGCTTGAATGTCTTATAATTAATTTGTTTAACTACTTGACTAGTAAAGACAAGGTTTTGGGCTTTTGGCTAAGGGAAATGTACTGATTGATGAATACATGAAGAACTTTTGGAGTTCACTATTATATATACATATATTATACGGAGTATATAAGTATGGGTGCGCGCACACACACTTTTGGTGTTCCCTTCCCCACCATAATAAGTTGTTATATAACCTTACATGATCATGCAGCTGTGGGAGTTGAAGAGATTGGATTAGCAACCACACTATTGACCTTGCTGATAAGTTCTGTGCATTTGGTTAAATTGGCTGCACCAAACTCCTCTAACTCTGGTTGAAATAGACATCTGATCATTCTCTCCACTCTTTCTGGTGTGTACCTTATATCTACATATTTTTCAATGTAGGGAGGAAGAACAGCCTGAAGAACAGCTTCACAGATTCTCCATCTCAACCCTTTGTCACATAGTACAACCCCAGATTGGATCTTACAAATCCTCTCAAAGGCGTCACCGAAATCTTCTTCATCTTTTAGCTTCTCCCAGCTCTCCTTCAGATAAATTGCGATGTAATGCTCCATGTTTTCCTCATGCCTTGTTATCCACTGATCTCCCATGATGTTGCCGAGTTTTGAATCTCTTGTATATTCGCTGAGGTACCGGTTGGCATTGATCAGGAAGAGGGAGGAGAGGGTGGGGTCCGCGTACCCTCTTGCCTGTGCTTCCAGATTCTTCTCCAATGCAGTCATTATGTTGTGAATCTCGTTTGTGATGAGATTCTCGTTGAATTCTTTGTGGGCCCACCCTTGATGAATCTTGAGAACTTGGAGTAAAGTCAACCAGTAGTCGTCTTCCAGTAACAGGTTGCAGAAACCAGTGACGAAAATGGCCAGTCTTGGAACACCACAGTTACCTGGTGGTGGAGATGGAAGCTGTTGAAGTTCAACTTGAAGGGGAAGTTCCCAGAAAATTTCACAAACCCCATTCACAACTCTCTTGATCAAATCCCTTGTCTGGTTCTGTATGTCCCTGCAAGCTTTCCCTTTGAAAAGTCTGTTAAAATCCAGTCTTAGCTTTTCAAGAACTGCAAAAATTTCCAAAAGCTTCAGAAGCTTGATTGCTTCCTTCTTTCCCTTTGCCACCATCTTCGCGAACTCAAAGAAAGATTGAATCCCAGACTGGGAAACGATCCGCGCAAAGATTTCTGAGTAATTTTTCTGAAAAATCTCCCTGCAGAGATTGTGTTCAATCTCAAACACATATTTCACTGTGAATTCCAAATGCATTCCCCACTGATCTATCATCATGTTTTCTACACTTTGAAGGCTTTCAAGCTCATTTAATGGCGTTTCCAGGTAATCCAAGCCCAGTTCTTGCAGAGCTTCTCTGGCAAATGAACTCCGGATTTCAACATAAACAGAAACACAATTTTCGCGACGATTATTCGCAGCTAACCTCTCAACAATGGCATGAACTTTGTCAATCATGTTAGTATCACCCATCAAGAGAGTGGCAAGCTCACCTTCCAGTTTGTCCAAAGCTGAAACCAGACTTCCTCCTTTTGACCAAAACCTTTCCTCCATGGACTGCACTTCTCCAAGCGTCTCCAGAAATTTCTTGACATTCCCAAGATACCCTTCATCTGCAACGGGATTATCATGGTCCTCCTCAAGAAGAGATTCCACTTGTTCCAACCACGGGATTGCCAATCTACAGTAACCGGTGAGGAATCTCAGCGACTCTCCACTGCGCTTGACGGTGTCTAGGTAATCCCGCAAGCCAGAAGAAGGGTCAGAGGACAAAAGGGTATTTTCCAAACCAGAGACGAGCTGAAACATTTTCAGAATAGAATCAGAGAGATGAATTGTATGGGCAAGAGGGTCTTTGATCTTGTTATAAAGACTGCATTTTTTTGATATTTTACTGATGCATGATTCTAACAATGCCAGTCTCTGGTTTGTCTTCTTCAACCTCTCCTTGGCATTGCCCAAATCCGCAGATAATTCTTTCGAAACTTCCAAACAGCACCTTAGAGTGTCTCTGGCAGCTCTAAGCTTCTCCATTTCCTCCATCTCTCAATATATTCATATCAAAATCAAAATCCTGAATATGTTATAATGTTTTTCTCTCTTTCTTTCTTCTTCTTGAGATTTTCTTGTTTTACCAAATACAAAATGAGTTTGCAGCAAGTGTACCAGCTCAAGAACCAAACTTTGCTGCTAAAAAAAGAAAATGGTTCCTTAAATCGAAGACAAAGAAAAGAAAGAAAACTGCTGGGCAGGTTGATGATCCGGTATTTGCGGTCCCAGGTTATCTTAACCGTTGGTGGCGAACGGCTGAGATTGAACAGACGGGTTTGATGTTTGTCCCAAAACCGCTACAAGCTCGCAGGATCATGCGAATTTCCCAACATGGGAAACTGCATGTCGATGAGACCAAAATTATGTTGTAATCTTAAATAGTTAAATGAACAAACAATTAATCTTAAAGATATAAATTTTGTTCTATAAAGGGTAATGTATTCTTTAGAAATCAAGCCGTTGAGTGCTTAGGAAGATGCAATCATAAATGTGAATAAATAAATTATTGGTTGTTAAAGGAAGATCCAATTCTACAACTCCTATATATCACATCAGATAACATGTGTAAAATGTATAGGTGCATTGTAATACTCTAATCCGTCCAGGTTTGCAGTCCCTTTCGGATTAAAGTATAAATTTGGTAATCGTAAAATTTAAAATATTTTAAACACTTTAATTTAACACAAAATAATATTCATAACAGAAACAATATGGAGTTTTCAATGTTGTGGAAGCTTTACAAATCATAACCACAAATTAAAATTAATTTATGTCTTTTGAAATAACAGTTCAAAACAATCGCATCCACCCCGACAATCTCGCCCCCGTCTGCTGCGAGGATCACATCACATCATTCTTTCTATTTTGTTTGATTAACCTGACACTTAAACTATAATTAGTTTCGGACAAGTATAACCTGATTCTTAAACTGTAATTAGTTTAAGGCAGAAAATCGAACAACGAACTACTCACTGTCTGGTTGGATGGTACGCCCAAATGAGTAGGTACTCAAGTTTGGTTTATGGATCTCGTACGTACGTTTTAAGTCACGCCACCGGACATCATACCGCAAGGCCTAACTAGATTGGTCATATGGGGTCTATCTTACGTGCCCCCTCCTACTCTACTCATCCATCACCATATTTATAGAAAAGAGTATACGACCCTCCCCTGTTCACCCGTGGACAAAATGGGAAGGCAACAGGAAGGTCACTATGCATACTAAACAATTGTTGAATCAATGACTTAAGTATGACTACATGCCAAGATACTATTCAATCAATGACTTGTGGAGAATATCCACTAGCCAATTAGCCGTGCAAGATGAAGCATACTTTTTATTGTTTGCCCTGTGACGGATAAGCAGCGGGGTGACTTTTGATGTTGATCGTAATACTCTAGAGGGAAGATGATCGTTGGCCAGCGGTATAGTCTAATCGGTCACCTTCTGTCAAGAATGACCGGTCAACTTTTTGCTCTCAAACCCGTCTCTACAGTCTCATGAATTATTTCCCGCAGAAGTTAGGATCACTTTGGTCATGTCTCGAAGTGTGATCGGTCACTTCTCGAGGAGAATATGACTTGTCAAATAATGATCAGCTTCTTTTTACGTGTTCGTCATTTCCTGGAGTAGACATAATATGACCGGTCAACATCTGACATGTCACTTCCGGGTAGTTCGGGCGGAGTATGAGTTATACCCATCAATAATTAATTGATGTGTTTGTTTTGGTTGTCTTTAGATTTTAGTTGATGTGTTTTGACTTATAAGAAAACTAATTTAGAGATAATCATTTTACTTGCTAAGAATTGAATAGCTTGATTAGAACAATGATCCATATATTATTAGGTTCTAAACTCTTTTGTTTCAAGTTATAGTTTTCTTATAAAAAAAGCTATAATTTTTGTATTCTATAATTTTAATTATTTTCGCCAATTTGATAATAATTATTAATTTTTTTGAATGATATTAATTCTATTACTCCGTACAATATAATATCTGTTGCTAGATGTTGATAGATTTTTTCAACTTAGATAAATTTTCACATGAATTTTGGGGAACAAACCTCCTATCAATCAAGCAAGGGAAGAAGGTCTTTTGTACTCAGTAGTAATTATTAAGTTTAGAACAATGTATAGATATATAAAAAATAATATATATGCTCCATCCGTTTGAAAATATTTTTCGCATTTGACTTTTCTTAATCAAAGTTTGTAAGCTTTGTCTCTACTACATAAAAAAATACTTTCTATTATGATATAAATTTAATATGAATATATTCTTAGTGAAAAAACATAATTTTCAAATATAAATTTTTTATAAAATATATAGATAATAATCTTGTGGATTAGAAACTATTTATGAGAAGATGGAAAGGTACGGCTCCGGTTCATTGGCTTTATTTATACCCAAACCCTCAGTCGGTCGCCGCCGTCCGCCGATAGTCACCTCTTCGGCAAGAATCAATCTCTTCACACAGGTGATTTGAGTCCTTTTTCTATATGCACGTAACCGTATTTCTTTTCAAGACTTAAGTGGCTTTGGTTACATGATTTCATTTTTCTCAGATTTCAAGTGCTTCGATGTGCGGTCTTACAATGGTCTACCTGCGCGTGTGTCTATTCACATCCATGTACAGATGCAGGGTTTTTTTCTTTATTGAGATCTGGATTTAATTCAATCTTGATGATGCATTCAAATGATCGATGCAATTAATTTAATCTTGATGATTACCTTTTTCTTTGCGGTTTTAGGGTTTGACAAACGGTCCAGTAATTTCTGGTTTATTTGCAACCTGCTGAACAAGGTGAGTTTTGCTTATCCAGAATGCAAAGATTAACCCATTAATTCCTGGTCTCTGCGCCATAGTAATCTCTGCACTTTCTATATCTCTCTGTATATTTTCGAAATGATATATGGATCTTTTTTTTNATTGTCTATCATTTCTACAGGGAAGGCTTGTTCTATGTGGCGAGGTACTATGCGAAAAGAGCAGGTGTGGTTCCAACTGAGCTCCTCAAGCAATTTGAACTGGGCAAATGTATGCTGAAGCTTTTGAAGGCAATGGATGTTGACACTGCACTGAATTGGGTCTCGGCAAACAGGGTACGGTACGACAATGGCGCTAAGTTGGAGTTGGGACTTCACAAGTTGAAATATGCAGGCCTGTTTGCGGGATCAGAAAATCTCGGGGACCCAACATTAGTAGGGTATGCCAAAACTCATTTTGGTGCTTGGGCTAAACTTAACCCGGACAAGTGTGAAAAGGTGTGTTGGGAAGCGTCAAGAGCTAGAATGGCATGCCGCAACGGGGGTTGGATCATATCCCTATGGACAGGTTGGTTGGTGATGTTTGGAAAATGTTCTGTCAAGTCACGCCGGTAACAAGCTCCTTGGACCCTCTGGAAGTGGCCATTGCTGGTGGGGAGGATGCAGTGTTGACTCTAAGAAGGTTTTTTGACCAGGCGGCGGCAGGAGAGGGACTGACTACTGGACAGGAATTTGAGGGAGAATATGAATCTGCCGGACCGATTAGTGGCGCCCAGATAATATGATATGTCCCCTGTGCGCTGCCCGCTCTGCCGCAAGCAATGTAAAACACCGCTCCTGTTGAAATCCATGGGTGTAGTCTGCAATGGGTGCTTCCCCAAATATTGTAATGACTTCTGGGACACCATCTGAGGAAGAAAGAAAGAATGAAAGAAACAACAGCAAGCAGCAGCAACACAAACTTGATGCATACTTGCAGGTTCGTAGGTAGGCACCAGACTACTTCCAATAAGTTCGTATAATTAAGCTCACATTTGTCAAACAAACCCATATATATGTGAGCTGAGCTTTTGGAATAAAATTTCATAAATTACATGCACAATTTTAAAGCTTTTGTTTGCTCAGATTTAGTTTAATCATTGGATCGCTAGTTAGTATCTTTTTATTCATATTTTTTTGAATGAATTGGGGGAAGGGGGGAGGAGGAGGACGACGACGACAACTATTGGGCCCCGACGACCGGTCGGGACATACTTGGGCTCAAATCACCCGAATGGGCGGGCCTGTCGCCAGTCATTTCAGGCTTACCTATTTTCAATGATATCCGTACGAAACGTTAAATGCAGAGGCGGCGTCTAACACGCGTGCACATCGCCGGCGGGAACGTCCCAGCATGCGAACCAGTAACAGGCCGCCACCTAAAGAATCAATGGAGGGAATGGATAACGGATCGCACCAAAGACGTTCTAGCATGTACTCCCTTTGTCCAAAAGTGTTTAGATGAACAGTTCCAAAAGTAAAAAATGGATGAATACTCCGGGACGGAGGGAGTATAAATGATCTTTAAAAGCATTTACACTATGTTTGGTTCAAGGAATTTGAAAGGGAAAAGAAAAGAAAATGAAGTGGAAAACTGTTTTTTTTGTTTGGTTAGAGGGGAAAAGAAAAGAAAAGTGGAAGGAAAAGAAAATGAGAAACAAAATGTACCAAGTGGAGAGAAAACCAAATTCCTTCCATTTTGGTGAGGAAAATGAGAGAAAACCATTTTCTTTTCTTTTCCTTCCAAATTCCTTGAACCAAACATAGTGTTAGTGACATGTCATTCAAAGTTGAGAGTCCACTTAATTGGTTTCAAATTAGTTTCTTTGTCAAGAAGACAAATAGAGCTGACATTCGGTCTTCGTGATATATTATTATAATGCATAATAGGGGACCCAAAGCTATCTCATGTATTTATATGATAGGATGCACCGTGTGAGTACTAACCATTAAAAAAAATTTCAAATTTATTGTCAGTCCCGCCCTCCCTAAAAAAGAAAATAGAAAAGTTTGAATGGGAATTAGATCTGCCAAAAAAATGACCCGATCCATTTTTTACTCGAAACCTGACTTGAAAATACTTGTTTTTGAAAAAGATTTTGTTGACCCGGCACTAAATCTTGGATTTTCAATCCCGATAACAATTTTCCATCCTACGGCGGGCAAATGACGAGACGCGGGTGAACACTGGTTACCTTCTCTCTCTAAGAATGAGGAATGAAGAACACATGGTTGATAATTACTAGTATATACGTAGTATACTTGATGAACGATGGGCCGAAGAAATAAATCGGTCCGGCTTGATGATGTGTATTGATATGGCAGCTTGGGAAAACAAAACGCCAGCACACGCGTCGCTTCAGGATACCAATGTTACCATCCCTCTGAGATCCTTTCGCGCGTGGAGCCACGGGCCAAGGGGTCATGCAACTTTGTACTCTCGCGCGTCCACCTCCAATTGTCAGGACCGAACCCCACCCCCTAAGTAAGCTCAATTGGGTCCCAAAGCTCGTCTCGGTAAGGTGGACTCCACTCGAGCCAGCGAGCTCAGCTCGGTCATACCGAGCTGAGAAGCTCTGCTCAGTCCAGAGAAGATCTATACTCAAGTCTACCATACCACGTAAACGCACTGAAAGAGGTTTGGACATCTCACATACCTCCAATTGCCAAAGACACAGACTAAACAAAGGAGAATCTCATGGGAAGCCAAATAACACGAGAGGCGACAACAAGAACTATACGACAAACAAGTGTCAATCACGGTTACCACCATTATAATAGAAAGGAGGCTATAAATAGCATTAGGCCATGACACTGTAACGGACCTGAAATCAAGCGAATATATTCCTGCTTTGCACTACCTTTCCTCTGTTTATTCTCTTGCTTACTACTCACCCGACTCCACGGTCGGACTACTCAGTGGTTTATTACCATCAATAAGGTCAACATATTTCAGATCATGTTTAAGTGTTCAACATATTAAAATTTTTTAATTATTGCGTGGGAGATAAATCATTAGATTTTTTATATTTTTAAATTGATTTTTTTGAATAAAAAAATCATTGGACCACTATTTTTTTTAAAAATACTTTTTATTAATATATTTAAATGAATTTTAAAATAATTGAATCATAGAACCATTGTGTCTGGATAACCATATATAGTTGAGTTTGAGCCTTTACATGTTTGTGAATGTTCTCGACCTGAAACATAGCCGTACGTACAAGAAAAGCAAAAAATACAATTACACAAACAATGACAAAAAATCATAAAGATGAACACTTAAGCCCCCATAGAAATATTACGTTGCCCCCAATTTGTGTTCTTCCGTAAAAAGCAAGAAAAAAAAACTTTAGGTCAAATAGGCTAAAGAGCCTCTGCATGCTCTTCTAGTCTTCTGCACTTCTAGTTTGAATTCATAAATCGTAATTGAACACAAATCAAATGTATGTACCCATTAGCTTAAACAATAATTTCGGAGTACATAATATTCATACTAACTACTAAGAGTACATTTGAATATGTATGAAGATTCATTAAATCAGTTTTCAACTTAATTGTGTTCAAAAGGTCACAATTAGTTCGGTGCATCACATGCGCGCAGTATGTGTGTAAATGAACACAAATTTACCTGAACCGATCTCTATATATCTCCATTTATCGGGCAGGAGATTACAAAAAAAAAAACTCGGTTTGAATTAGATTGATTTAATAGAGAGAAGTATGAATAATGTGAAGTGCATATTACTTGTAATTCCTTCAATCGTCTAGCACTCCGATGCTTTGGAGTGGATACCTGCGTGCAATGTAGCCTATCGATCAGAGCAACAATGTTTTGATCTGCACGCTTAATAGATCCGCAAGGGCTCCACGTACATCCTTCTGAATTCATTTATATATATGCATCCAGCACATGATTAAATAGAAGAAATGAGTTGAAGAATAAACTGAGTCCTAGCGCTTATTACAACACACACACACAACTCAGTCCTAAAATACTTATACTCCTTTTCCTCCCTAAAAGAAAATCATATTTGACTTTTCACAGTCTGCATTGCAAGAGTATGATTTAAATGTAAATATCTATATCTATACAAATAGATACTATGAAAATATGATATTTCAAACAACACTCGATACTTTATTTATCAAATGATATTTAAGTTTACGCTATAACCCAACATATTTTTTTCTACTTGTTATGGTCAAACTTTGGAACTTTTGACCAAGAAAGCTCAAACACAAAGTTCAATTGGAGGCGGAGGGAGTATATAATAATAATATATGGAGTAGTACCTACCTGGTCACAGCACATCAGTTGTGTAATCAGAGGATAAAACTCTTTGAGATGACTCCTGAAAACTCGGGTGTTCATATGGGACATGCCTTTCAGCACCTGCGGCATGACCAAGCTAATGTTTAGCGTAGTTTGCAAAAAAAAAAAAAGAAGAAAAAGAAATCACCCTAAATAAGAGAAAAACATAGAGAAAGTACAAAAATAGGAGTTCCATGTTTTTATTCCTTAAATAAGAGTTCGCATTGTGGTAATGTGACATTGTACATGAGCATTTTATTATACTTTTTGGTAATGTACATGGTCATATATGATTGATAATGTAAATACATTTTAACTCTTATTTCGGGAATAAAAACATGAAACTCTTATTTTGGTATATTTTCAATGCTTTACTCCTACTTTAGTCTTTTTCCCAAAAAAAATCTTATATGAAGAAAGTTAAAAGCTGGCACAAGGACTGACTGGTACATAACTAAAAATGGCAGTGAATTATGTCAAAGTGTATTGCATACCATGACAGTGATGGGAGAACGCAATTCAAGAACTTGATGAACATCTGTGCTAGGCACATCCCCTGTGCTGGATTGGAACTCAGACGCCTCCCTCAGAATTTTTCCACAAAATAACACTAGCTTCTGTTCTGCGACTCCTTGGAGCTTATCTTCTTCAACTTCCATCGTTGACGTTTCATCGCTCCTCGCCAAAAGATCTGCATCCTGAGATTTACAGGTCTCCTGTGTTTCATCTTTTACAGCATTTATTTCTGCAGTTGCCTTATGTAACACGTCAAGATATATGGAAGTTCCTACTAACTCCTGGCGGATGATATTCAAGGGAGGCCTGCCCAAGAAAAAATAGAGAACGTAAATCATCGTGCCCGGTCCTTTTAGGGTGCATTTGGGACCCTAGAAATGCTATAGAAAGAAAATAGAGAGGAAAGTTGAAGGGAATTTTGGAAGAAAATAAAATTCGAGGGACAAAAAATTTGATTCAAACTCTAGATATTCACTGTTTATAATTGTAAACTAATTTTATTTATATGTTTGTACTCCGTATCATATATAGATTAATATTTAAAAATAAAACTAAAACATAAAAAAACTATTGATCACAACTCATTTTCCTTGGTATTTTCCAAGTTAAACAGAAACATATACTCCCTTTGTCCCAAATTAATTTTTTAGGAAGTTTAAGAAAAAAAGTGAAATTGTGTGGTTGAGTTTTATGTAGAGAGATAAAGAATGTGAACTATTCAATGCTTTCCTTAGGATGAGAGTTTACTTTGGGACAAACAAAAAAGGGAAAGTGGGAAGTGGGATACAGTATAAACCATTTTCCCCCTTTCTCTACCACTTCCCGTGCTCCAAACAAAGCTCTAAGGTATTTTGGTAAGAAAAAATTTCAGAGCATGAACCCAACCTGTTGGCATCGAGTTGTTGTGTGCGTAATCTGAGACTTGAATATGAATTATATGATGCTGCAAACTCTACCAGAGATAATAAAATGTCCATTAGAAAGGTTTTCTGTGCTGTCTTCAACTTGTTCCAATACTTCTTCTGAATATTTGGGAAGGGACACAAAGATAAAATGATCAAATCAGAATAGTGATTACCAAAAATAAGAAAGTACCGGAGTAAAAATTACAAAAACAAGAAAGTAAAAATTATAATTCCACACACACACACTCGCACACTGACAAGCGTAAAGATTGAAAACAGACCTGAATATTATCAATGGCACCAAGAAGCAGCAGTTGTGTAATGCATTTGTTCCTAACTGTTGCTAACACTGAACTTTCACTCTCTTCTCTTGCATCAGGCTTCAGATTTTCAGAAATCTATACATCAATACATAGGTAAAAGCCATTAAAACATGAAAAAACATTAAAAAGAGTCTCTTTTACTCTTTTATGATAGTCGTGTTTTATTTGGAGTAAAAAAATGACAAGTGCAATGTTTTCACGGGTCTGTCAATATTATCACTCTCCCAACATATACTCTTCTGATAGACTATTTAGTGAATATTTTCCTTTTCCTTGCTTGCCAATCAAAACTTTCATGCAACGGGCAAAGAAAATGGGCTATTCATGATACAATGTTAAGATGGATTCAAACAATAAATGAGATATCCAGGGAAAATATGCCATGATGATGTGAGCAATGACATCGTCATGACATAATCACTACAAAAGCTAATCTATACCAAAAAAATAAAGCTCCTGTTCTACAGTTACATTTGGGAAAGCGAAAATGATGAATTCGTAATGATAATGCTTAAAGCAGGACAAAGTAGACTGCTGTTGTATTGAAATGGTAAAACCCCTATGATGATGATGAGGGCAAATATATACTGTGTCAATACCTTGGGCGGAGATGCCAATGCTCCACTCTTGCTTTTGGATTTAGAGGTAAAACTTCTGATAAATAGATTTTCCATCACATTTCCCATAATTTTCTGACCAATTGTTTGACTATGTTGAAAACCTTCAGACAAAGTAGGTTCCAAAGCTCTTCCCGAAGGTGAAGGCATTCCTATAAGCGCGAAAAAACGTCTTCAAGATATTTGATATGCTCATGTTGATAAGAGTCAAAATAATGGAGAACAAATTGCCCTCGCAAAGTTCATTAAATTTAAAAGCCATAACAATAGATCAATAATAGAACTTATACAGTTAGTATTAACCTTCACTTTCTTCCTCCTCAATAGGCTTCCTCCCCTGACTCTCTTCCTGCATGCCTAATGCATTTTGAACCTTTGCAGAGTCATCAGTACCAGTACTCTCTGACATGATTCCAGGTGTACTCCAGTAGTCAATAACATAATAAATATCATGGTGATGATTATTCAATAACTCAGTATTACCGATTATAAATAAAACTCAGTATTACCAGAAATATTGGTATCACTATGAGCTGGAGAGGAACTCGAATCTAGAGTTGGCATGGTCTGGTCATTGGCCTTTCTGAACTCAAAATCATTGAGCAGCTCAAGAGGTTGTGTTGTGTATGAAGCATCACTGGGTTCAATTTATATATTCATATAATTCATAATTGTTTTAAACATGACCAAACACAATGAGAGTACATGAAGTCACCAGCAAGAAAATATATTTTCACACCTTATGCTTTGCAACAAAGTATCCCAGTCACTGAGACCAAATTGATATCCGCCTACTTCAATCAGGTGCACTAATGCACCCAAAGAGACCGAAGCCACTTGCTGATCAGCCTTTTTGGCACAATCTAACAGCAAACTGAGAAGTGTAGGGAGCATAAAAGAAACAACCTATGCAAAACAAAGAAAGATGTTCATGAATGTGAAAAGTACAAATGATACCATCCATAAAACACTCAAGGAAGTGAATCTCATAAATTTGGCAAGCACCAAACACATATTCCATTTTAACTCGCAAGGTTTTGTTTGTTACAGAAGGTTGTAAAGAAACTAGGTTTTCAGTTTTTCATTCACTTCTTAAATCTTCACCTTCACAATCGGTTGCAAAGAAACATCACCTCTTGAGGAATATTTTAGAATGAAGTAGACCAAATTTAATGTCGTATGAAAGCCTGGTCCAATTGTGGTTTGTGCAGCGCTAAATAAATCAATTGTTTAAGCCAATCAATTTGGGGTCAGTTTGGGCCCACAACAATTTTCACCTAAGGAAATCCTTTGAGGAATGTTAGGCCCGGCTTAACAAGTTTCTATGAAGTAAGAATTAAGAAATTTCTAAGGAAAATGGAGATGTCATAGTTTCTCTATAACTTAGTTTGTAAAAGCAAAGATTTACTCATTGTAAAAAAATTTCTCAAGAATAAATTTATAAAATTATAAGGATATAACAACAAACTTGAAATGTGCAAAGTTGGCATTACAGCATAAATGCTGATTTTCTGGCATAAACATCTATGTAGACCACATCACACCCCCATTACCTTGTAAAATGTGCAGAAAAGGTTGCAAAGCAGTTGGAGTGAGTGAATGCTATTTTCACGAACCCTTTCATACCTACAAAGGTCTGGGTTCTCTTCTCCGTCATGCTTTGCGTGATAAAAAATGGGAAATAACACGTGGTGGAAAATTCTCTCCCAAAACAAAGACGAGAACTTGCTGCCCCTCTCATTCAACAGATCAAACAAAACCTCAAGTGCACAGTTTTTAACCTCGGGCCGTGGATCAGAGGTTAGAGCAGAGAGACCAGCTAGTATTGGGAACCAATAATCCTCTCTGACATGATAACTTCCAACTGCATTATTACCAAATGATTCCAAAGCACCACCTGCTATGAAGCCCTGCAGAATAAATTAAACAAAAAAAAAGTCTTAGAATTGAAGATATTTGTGCAAAACCAGTGAGCAAACCCCAGAGATACAAAAAAGAGCTTGATGCGGCAAAGCTTGTGCTACTTTCCAAACCAAATGTGCCACTATTATATTTGCTAGTGAGAGGTGAGACACACTGCATTTTCTACATTTTTCACTGATAGAATCCAGTGATTGAGTCGAATACGCTCAACTGGGTTATAATATGCATGGGCTTTATAAACCCATGTATATCTTTAATGTTCGATGCGGGATTCTTACCATAACCATTTATCTATTCCCACAAAAAGTAATCATAATAGTTCATCAACTAGTTAAGTTTAATTTGTGACAAACAACATATCCACCCTAATCACAATAGTATTTTCTCGATTTATTTCCCAAAACACAGTTACGCCTATAGGATCACCATTCCTTGATCCTAACCATGTTGGGTTCAATATGATATTAAGTGTTAGTAAATTCTTTAGACATAGTTAATACCAAACATTATTGGAAAAAAGCATACAGAAGTTCCTTCCCGTCTCAACCTTCTTAAAAAGGAATGACAATATGAAATTCCAAAATTGTCGTCATCAAGGGTTTCGTTTCCGCTGGCATAGAAAAGATGATGACACAATGGTGATTTGAAATAGTCTCTAACTCTCTATAGTACTTTCTCATTACAGAATTGATATTGTGAAACCAGCATGCATCTCGTGGTACATGACCATAATCACCGTATAAATTAAATCACCATTTAAGATATTACTTTTTAAAACTTAATTTTTTTCAAGAAAAAAAATTGGTCTGCTTTGGTTAATGGAAACCAACATTAAGTCGTATCTGTTAGATTAAATCTAACAATCACCCCCCTAATCGTTGTTTGTTCACACCAATCTTCACAATAATGTTGGTTCATCATCATCTTCAATCAAATTTGCAATGTCTTCCTTTTGATCCCATTTTGGACATTCGTTCAAAAAATGTCCTAACTCATTGCACTTGAAACACTTAATGAGACTCTTATCCCGCTGAAACCGACCACCATCCTGACCTTTCTCGGACCCCCGACCTCTGCCTCGGCCACGTCCAAAGTTGGATGGTGGTCGGTTTCAGCGGGATAAGAGTCACATTAAGTGTTTCAAGTGCAATGAGTTAGGACATTTTTTGAACGAATGTCCAAAATGGGATCAAAAAGAAGACATTGCAAATTTGATTGAAGATGATGATGAACCAACATTATTGTGAAGTTTGGTGTGAACAAACAACGATTAGGGGGGTGATTGTTAGATTTAATCGTATTGTTTAATTCCTGGCCATAAGTTAGTTAGTTTAGATTTAAATTTTAAAAATAAAAGGGAAAGTTTTGGGTAGTTATTTCTGGAAGTTATAGGTAGTTATTTTTAGAAGTTGTATTAGTTAGTAATAGATGTGTTGATTAGTACCAATAGTTGTGTTGGTTGCTGTCTATAAATACTCCAGGAACATAGAATTCCTGTATGTAGTTCACAATAAAAAAATCAGAATTTTATTCTGCATTTGATTTGTTCTTCCTATTATTTTTTCTAACAGTATCAAAACTATATAAAACAATTTGAGCCTGAACTGTTTTTTAATAACACAACCAGGCCTTGTGGACCTTGTGGTGTGGCAGCAAGACATGTTTTAAAATACAGTAAAAATGTGGAAATCACCAAAACAACGCAATGCCATATGATAAAAAATACAGGAAAAGAACCTCAGCCAGGCGATCCTCACAAATACGAATGAGTGCAATTGCTTTCAGGCTTATTCTGTGAGAGCACATACTTTTGGCAAACCCAACTAAGCAACTGACACAATCCACAAAACAGTTTCCAACAATCCGATCAAAGTGTTCCACGATAACTGCACACGATTTCACTTTCACGCTTACTGAAACCAAACACTTAAAAGCAAACATAGAATTTAACTTCACTGCCGCACTTACTGAACACAGAAAAATTCTCCATCGCTCTCAAAAAAGAGTAATATTTCAAAAGTGTTTTTGTCCCAAAAAAGAGTCATACGTCATAAATAGAACCAATTTTTCATCTTCTTAGCCAAAAAGTTAGAAACATGTTAATACATAAACTTGAGCTAAAACATTTTTTATATTTTAAAGTTGTTTTTCCTGACTTCTAAGAGGTGTACATTGCCAAATATTAAATGTTATACCTTTATAAAACAAGACACTTCGCTTTGTGAAGAAGGGTGTAAAAATCAACATAAAATAGAGAGCCTAATAAAAGAGCAGCGTACCTAAAGAATGTATCCTTAGTTCTTACCTTGTTCTACGTTTTCAAATGCGATTTCGACAATTGGTTCTATCGCGTCCTCCGCAGCAGCTGTGAAAATCATAAATACACTTTTCCAACCAGATTTTATACTTGCAGCCTTAGACTTTATTATCTGCGAATGCAACACAATAAGTCAAGTTAAAATGGAAGACTAATGTTGAGCTACCTGAGAAAAAAGTATGCATACTTGCACTACGCAATCAACGGTATGTTTCCTCATGGATTCACTTTTGCTGTCGCGCATAAGAGTCACAAACGGATGCAAAATATCATTCTGGAATTTGAAACTATTTTCTGTGCGCTCCAAACACTTTATGCCAAGCTGCTTGAGAGAATCCATTGCATACACATTTACTCTTTCATCAGGATGATTTCCAGCAAAAATTAAATGATTTGCCAGCACAATCCATATTCTTGCCCAAACCTAAGCAATGCAAATTTATCTTATGGCGATCAATTCCATTTACAAACAATAAACTGAAAATATTGGGCATAGACTTTGTTTCTTCTTCAAATAAATAGATCCAAATATGTTTGCACCTTGCAACAGAGATTTGTAATAGAATAAGCAAAAACACAAAATAATCTGTGGAATATTGAGATATTAGGAGTGTGGCAAGTGGCACTAGTAAGCCGCAACCTGCTAGATAGCAGAGGTAAAGTTCGGAATGAAGGGAAGGCACTAATATGCTTGATAAGTGATAACATCATAAACCCACTTGGTTAATAACTTAATACGTCTGTGCGTTGTGAAAAAAAATGCTTTCTAACATGACCCTCCAATGAGTTGAGAAATTACCATTCTTATACGAGCCATGTGGCAGTAGCTGATGTTAACGAGTTTTTCCAAGCTAAATAAGCGTGCTGGTTGCTCTCTTAGTTCTTCAACGGAAACATCACATAAAGCAGTGACAAATTCCACTGCTAAATCACTGGGCAACTTAGCACTATTCATGAACACCCGCTCAGCAGGTTGTCCAGCCAGATCCCTCAGTGAAAGAATGAGAAAATCTCGAGATATTTGATTAGATCCTTGCATCATATTTGCAGCCAGAGAAGAAGATGATACAACATATTCAAGACGAGAAACAGTCTCAAGCACTGCATACCATGTATCCTGAAGTGCATTGGTATCAGAATCACATAAAACCAGCAGTGTCTGCAATGCTTCCATGTTCTTACTTCTCATATCCCTTGGTGAATGTAACATATTAAATCTGCAAAAAAAATCACAAAATTATAGTTTTACCTCACTGCAAAGAAAACTCCACAGAATTGCTTTCCAGGAATACCATAAAATGTGCAAATAACAAAATCATAGTCCTGATTCAGTAAATTTGTAAGCTGTGAATTCAATGAATATTCCACAAAAGGGGGGGGGGGAATAGATAACATGAATAGAAATTAGATTTCTTTATTCAAGCCAAAATTNGCAAAAAAATTCACAAAACTATAGTTTTACCTCACTGCAAAGAAAACTCCACAGAATTGCTTTCCAGGAATACCATAAAATGTGCAAATAACAAAATCATAGTCCTGATTCAGTAAATTTGTAAGCTGTGAATTCAATGAATATTCCACAAAAGGGGGGGGGGGAATAGATAACATGAATAGAAATTAGATTTATTTATTCAAGCCAAAATTATAAATGAAATGAATTACTTGATCAAAGATGTCAAGAAGGCACAACGCATGGTGTCCAAACCAAGAACATGGGTTGTGTGGATTCCAGCTTTAAATCCCTCCATACAAAGAGTGATCCTTGTATGATTCTCTCCCTCCTCCATAGTAACTGCAAGAGTAGCAAGCAGAGGCCATCCTACAGCTTCAACCATAGGGCACACTAGCGCAATATTGTACGAAGTACAAAGCTCTCTTCTTATCCCACCTTGATTCTTAATAATAGATTGTTTGTGTGCATTGATGGCCTTGCTTTTGGCCTTTGAGTCCATCAAATACTTTTTTCTTGGTGGAGATAGATTAAGAATATTGATCACTTGCCCTCTCTCTTCCATTTTGATCTCTTCAACAACAATGGAATCATAGATCTCCTCCAAGAGTTCCTTGAGAGCACAATCATCATCGTCTTGCATGACAATCATGCGTACGAAGTCATCCTTTGACATTTTTTGCCAGACCATTGGGCTATGGGCGTCGATATTCAACAGTATTACCGCATATGCAAGAGCATAAGCTGTATCGGCATGCTTGAATATATCAGTATTGGCCGCACAGTAACTGTAGAAGGAAAGAACAAGAATGTCAACTTTATCCAAACTACTAAACATTTTACATTCGACTGTTCATCAGATTAATTGATAAAGAGGGAAAAGATGAGCCAAGTGCGCCAAATATATTTGAAGCGAGTTATACTCTTCATATCTACGTGATGCCTAAGGTGAGATACACCTACTTTGTACACCATTTTTGCATATGGAGGCTTTTCAATACTAGTAGAGTTTTAGTGAAGTGAAAAGAGATGCACACATGTTTAATAGTTTGAAATGCTATTTCACAAACATAATATGCACTCATTTTTTAAAAAAACTGGCAGAGAGATTCGAGATGCCAAGATGACCATTTTACTAAATTCAAGATGTTAGTATTGGACTATGCTCAAAAAATAAAACTTGTCATATTAGTGATAAACTTTACATTCAAACACAATAGTCTGGCAAATTGATCCTTATGTGGAAGAACTAATACATAAGACACATAGAGTCTTTATATTAAATCAATAGTTTGTCATGTCTTTCCATATGAACGCCTTCACCCATGAAAGAATTTACCATGTAAAAGTGTTACGGAGTACTTGAAAGTAATAGAAAGTTTTTGGTACAAGAGTTTAATTAATGTTGTTATTAAAACAAGCCAAAAAGCAAAAAAATTCCCGGTTTCCCCTATTTCGTATAAGTCAGTAATGGGGAATTTAAATCTTTTTTTTGCATCTATTTCGTAGCTTTCTAATCTGCATCACACCTCTCCTTCTGTGAGACATGATACACATAAATAACATTGCCAAACATGTAAAAGTAAATCGTGAACTGAAATTTCATATAAAATAGTTAAACTCACAGAGTCACATGTAATAATGGGTTCGGAGAGGATAAGCAAGGTAACATACCATTCTGCAAACTTTTCCATTAGGCAGTCTATCTTCCGAGAATCTCCAGGAAGTTGCAGTCCTCTAAAAAGTTCCCTAATTGCTTTATCAAACTTCACTCCAGAAAAATTCATAGATTCAACATATGCATGCATGACAGCAAGTGGAAACTCCTCATGCAGACTCAAGTACTCACCAATCATGGCCTGGAGCAAAATGCACTTCATAATTCCATATTGTACCAATATATTAGACAAAGAGATGGAGCATTTTGACCTTATCCAAATTGGGAGTATTCCTGAGAAATTGAGCAACTGAAGCAGGTGATCTCTCCACCAACCTACTTGATATCAGATATTCTATCCCCTTACTGGATTGCCTATTAAACTGCCACATGTTGAATATTCAGTTTATCATATTCCAACCCAAGGAATCACTAAGAGATAAAAATGACACCAAGAAAACTGGTGATATCCACATTTTGTATGCAAGCACTTACTTCAGAGACTGCAACTTCTATAGGTGATTCATGTGCCTTCATCTTCTCAAAGTCACATGGTAAAGTTTCCTTACATGTAACATCATCATGTTTTCCACTTAAACCTTCTTCAAAAGATTGCTTCCCCTGATTAACTATTAATGGTCCTGGCTGACAGTTCTCCCATTCAACAAGTGACCTTAACACAGTCACAAGACACTACAGATGCCAAAACCCAGGAGAAATTAAAAAAAATATCACGAGAATCAAATATATCACTACCATTAGATAACAAAAAAGGTCATGCCATACACACCTGAAGGGATAACATCTTGGTTGCGCTTATGAGGGACGAAGCAGCTGAGTTCATATCTGCATTTTGTGCCCCTTGAACAATTCTGGATAATGTTGTGACCTATGTGAGAAAAACAAAGGGGAGTTGCTTAAAATATAATAAGGTAAAATTTTACGTCAAAGAAAATACATAATATAATACCATGTGTTCAAACAAGTTAGGTGCTTTGAGCTCACAATCATAGTTCACATATAGGTCAACAAGTATCTGTGAGTCCTTGCAGACTTTTTCCAGCATCCTGCAAGGTCATATTAAATAACCCCACTAAAAGAATACAGGTAAACTTAAGACCCTGTGAGAAACACAACTTGCCAACATACATTCTTCTTCTCCCAAACGAGAAAAACAGTGCCTAAACTTTGAGCGACATTATAATGAATAGTACAAGATCTACCATGAATCAATTTTATTACTACCTTGATAACTTTCTTGTTTCATTCTTCTTTTTCCAATGCGTGTGTAAAAGTTAGGAAGCTCAATGAAAAAAGCTAAAAACAAAGCTATCTCTATAACTTAGCGGATTATACCTGAGAACATCTGTTTTTAAGTTCAAGTCTTGCTCACCTAATGTTCGCAAGACAATCAAGGGAAATAGAACCCCAATTTCACCCTGGAACATTAAAAAAATCAGATACTTATGGACCCATGTAATAGAAAGACTTACAGAAATGCACAAAATTAACATTCTGAAAATTGATTATACCTTAAGGCTTTGCCTGTATCGTAATAAAAGTATGGAGAAAATTCTTGTTGCATACTGTCAAAACAATGAAGTTTATTGAAGAGATATGGCATTAGTGCATTCTGGAATAGAATGAATGGTAAAAGAAGGCTAAAACTTGACCTGAAATATGGAAAGAGACTGTGACACTGACGCTTGCAACAATGTGTAGGAGATGTGAGCTTTGACAGAGTCAAGCAATAGTGTGAATGAGCCGGTGGCTTCTTCCAGCAGACCCTTCAAGTTCCATGATTTAAATAATGTTAGAAGAATTCCCACTACAGATGAAGGAAAAGGTAAACCCCACGATAAATGTATAGGCCAGTGCCTTTGTTTTCAACTATGCTCAAATAATTTGGAAGAATGCCACCTTTATGGACTTTCATCTGAGACATTAATATAAAGCTGAGGCCTGAGGGTGTGTGTGTGTAATGTACTAAATCCATTTTATAAACAAGAAAGAAAAGCAATAGGTTCAAGGAAAAGTTCAAGGGACAGAATAGGGAAAGAGTATAGAGTTTTCATTCTTAAAATCAGAAAGCATCATCTTGTTAAAAAAGAGTGAATGTAATTAATTTAATCTCTAAGACCCTTTAATAAGATTTTTTTAATGTTCTAAACCATTTTTCTAGATGAAAAGTGATTTCTGGTACTCATAAAAGTGCCTCAAATACTAACAAAAAAAAACAAAAACAAAAAAAAACAAAGAAACAAATACTAAGTATAAAGCTCAAGGCTGCCAGAATATCATGTACAGGAAAGCTAAGTTGAGGTTAAAAAAACACTATATTCAAACCCATTGTTTCACTTATTCCAAACATTTTGAAGGTGGTAGAGTGCTAATTAATTAAAAACAGTAGTTCAACAACTCATTTAGCTCTAAATACAGATCCACCTGCAAAAGCTCTAGTGACAGAATGCATGTTTCAGTTTTAGGTTCGCCATTCTTCTCTTTCGTAGCCATCTGCAAATACAGCCTACTTAGAAAAAGGCCCATGATTGCAGTGGTTAAAAACAGAAGTCACCTTGGTTGTAATCATACACATACACACCTTGCAAAGGGAGTGGAAAAGAATCAAAGCATCATGTAGTCCAATGTTTGTGCTTCCTAAATCTCTCCCTCTGGTTATAGTAGCAAATTGTTAAAATACCAATAAAATATGCAAATAAAACCATCCACAGTTACACGCTTCAAAAGATTAATTATACAATAACATTATTTGTACTATAACACGCTTAGCTTTGACGCTGAATCCATACCCTGTGTGTTTTCCCCCTTCTTCGAGTTGCACGGCCTTCTCAAAAATATCCTCTAAACCCTAAGTGGCACAAGAAACTACAGTATAATTTCCACACACCCCATAGAAAGTTTGCAATTGAAGAACAACACAGCTATAATTTTGAAAATATGAAATTCTTCTAATACGGAAAGAACCTTAATATCAACCCCATCCACAAGACTATAAAGTTCCTCGAGAGAAGCAACAAATGCATCTTTGGTTTGGTTAGCAGAACATTTATCTCTCAACATGCTTTCTTGTTTGTTATGATCATCAGATGACATATCCTCAATCTTTAACTTGGGAACATTTGATGTAGCATCCATTTTCTGAGTAACAAAATTAGATGAAGTAGAGATCTGTAATGTCAGCAAGGCAGAAAATCTGAACTACTAAGTCCAACCTCCTGTTCCGGTTCATAGAAGTGACAAGAAGTTTCTGTAAACCACAAACTACTTACATATTTACATGCCAGGCCATCAGCTTCCATGCGCTTAAAGACCATACTTAGCATTTGGGTTAACATGGATTTCGAGGTGGCTTGGTTTATTGGGGATTTGCTGAACATTTAGACTAGATGCTGTCAGCTTGAATTGAAGTCAAATCCATATCTACCATCCTGTAAAAAAAACTAAATACCTCTTCAGAGCTATACTGTAACATGCTCTGATCACGCCCAGCAGTGGTTCCCCATGAACTGCATAAAATGAACACCATAACGTTTTTTAGAAATGTGGCAAGCTTTTGAATGTCAATCAAGGAAAAGCATGTGTTCCATCATTTGTAGCAAAATGGATAACACTGATGCAATATTACATTAAGTGGATTTATTTCAATGGACACAAAGACCTAAGAATAGTTGCATACCTCTAAACTTGGTTGATGCCACTGCAGTAAGAAGTACCTTTAATACTTGAAGAGTAGTACTGCAAATCATTTTTAGTAAAATTACATCTAAAAAACCAATCAGTGTGTCAGTGAAAATTGCCTACAATAAAGATGCACATACCCATCCGGTAACACATTATCAACACAACTGCAGACCAACCCCAAGATGTCTGAAAAGGGTGGCCCGTTTCCCAAACCATCAAAACCAAGATCTCCATCTAAATGATCGTATGCAATGAGTTTCTGCGCTTGAATGGTCGAGTGCATAAGTTTACAATCTTTTTTCACTAACATTTCACTAGTATTGTATATGAGGCACTACTATTAGAAACTCTATGACACACTGCCCAAAAATTGCAGTTCATGGACAAATGTTCCTGTTTTGTTCTGCATTACTCATGATCCATCCCTTACGGATTGGAGGTTTTTGAAAATTCCTTTAAGTGAAACTAATTTCTTTTCCATTAAGAACTTTCCAAATGCATCAATCAATGTTTCTTTGATATAAAGAAAAAGTTCTCCATGATATCCAATAGACAACTCCATGGTGTCATAATTCATTACATCAGCTTTTCATTGGAATAAACAAAGTTCCCTATTTAAAAGAATTGCTCTCTAGATATGCTAGGAATCATCAAAAGCAAGAAATAAAAAATGGGTACAAACACCTACATGAAGACAATCCAAACCAAGCTCCACAATTTTTACATTTTTTGTCTCAAAAGCAAGTCGAAGAGGATTTAGAACAAGTTCTGCCTCAGAAACACTTAATGTATCGCCTGCATGTGCTAAAGCAGTCAGGATAGTCTTGCTAGGAGAAGTTGGGATTGAGTGAACTGTTCCCTCTGATCCAGCATTCGTTTCACGCAAACTACTGAAAAAAAAAGGTATTTCCAAAAAAATCATGCAACAAATTTTTAAATCCCTTGAATTAAAGGAACATGGAAAGAAGATAGGCCGGAAAACAGCGTCAGATAGTATATTACATTATTACTTCTGCAATGCTTATATACTGAACACGTAAGCATATATATATATATATATATATATATATATATATATATATATATATATATATATAAAATCAAACGCTCTTAAACCATTTCATACCTCTGCTCTGAACCTTTGGATGCCACCAAATTACTCTCATCATGTATGGTTTGCTGACTCGATGCCTTCAGGACAACTGGTGTTAAAAGAGCAAAGGTATTATTAAAATACACTAACCTTAAGAGGCACATAGACTTGAGCTTCAAGACCATGTATTACAAGGCATTTGATTTTCTTTTTTAGTTTTTGTCAATGTGCCCCAAAAGTTTTTGTCAACTCCCAAAAAGTCTCGTATTAACGGAGTTGGACCCCAAAAGTTTCAAGGTATTAGCACACAGGGGCTATAATTTTCTTTCCTTTCATTTTGTTGTTTTTAACATCTTGCTTATCAGGAACACTCTCTCTTTGACTCTTTCACTCTCCTAATTTATTTTGCTTGTTTGATTCTTCTTGGTCCAAGTTCCCAAACTTTGACCAAACTTTACACATAAAGTATATTTAGTTATAACGTGAATTTTATATGATTAGACTCATTTTAAAATGTAGTTTTAAAATATTATATTTTTATAATACTCAGTATCTATATATGTTAAAATGTAGTTATTAACTCTCACATTGCCAAAGATCATGTAGTCCAGCGGCATCATCATGGTGACTCTCTCAAATGAGAGGTCACAACCTCACAGAGTCACAGGTTTGAATCACATTAGGGGCAGTAAGCCAGTAACTCTAGAATGTATGTACACCTAACAATGCCAAAGCCTTTCCACCACTGGACTTTATTAGGATGGCAGATAACATTCATCAGCTTCAACTTCCAATAAAAGCAGAAATTATATTACACTCGGCTCGGAAATGCTACCGTCTAACTTCCACTAGAACAATTGAATAAAAAATTGCAGAGTATTGATAATAATCCTAAGTCCCTAAGCCACCGAGTTGGAAAAAAATGAAAACAGTGATGAAGAATAATACATTTCCAGCAAAAAACCAGTTACTAACCTAAACACTTGTGGATTGCGGTCTGTAGAGAAGAATACTTCTTACTGGAACACTCCTTTAGCATTGACTCGAGTGACCGAGTGAGAAAAGCTCCTGCGCCGCCGCCAGACATCCTTTCCCTCCTCAATTGTATATCTTCTCCGATGCGATCGCCATCGATGAACTGATCGGAATGAAACAGAATCGGTCGGACAGATAAAATTCAAAACAATATGCGCGAATGAAATGTCATTTGGAATGATGATGGATGGGGGAGATAGAACGGGGAGATTCGACGGAAATGCTTTACCTCTTGATGGGCGAACCTTTTCTCCGATTGATGTGCATGAATTTTGGGATCTGGAGCTGAATGCATGCACTGGGGAATGTGATCGGAGACAGTTGACTGTTAACATTTACTATTCCTTATTTTAATTGTTTTGGTCAAACTTTTTCATGATTTGACACCTATGAAAAATGTATATTTAGTTAATACTTGTAAATTTACTAAAATTGATTTCATATTAAAATATTGTTTTAAAATCTCAAATTTTTATAATATTTAATTATTTTACACTATATTTAATTTATGATCAAAGTATATCATAGTTTGATCAAAAAATCAAATTGTAATATTTTTTTAAAAATGGAGAGAGTTATTTAAAAGGGAGAAATACGAAAATAACACTTTAATACTCAAAATATCATGACTATTAGTTTTGGAGATAAATTCCCTTTTTTGTCATTAAATAAACATCTAATACTAAATTCTCCTTACTAGGTTAAAAAAAGCTTTACGGGCCAAACGCTATAACGCAGCAGCAAAGATGCACTGGACGAGATCCCTCTAAGCAAAAGATTAGAGAAGATACAGGTATGCTTCGTTTTGGTATTGAATTTGATTCTAAAAAATTTCTCTTACAAAGTTTAGGAAAATTAACACACTGCAGAAAATAAGAACACACTGAGGAAAATAAGAACACACTCAGGAAAATAAAAAAATGCATTGCATTGAACCTACTACAAAAAAAACCCCTGCCAACCCGAAAAAGGACTTATTCTAAACTTTGTAAGAAAATTTTTTTAGAAGCAAATTCAATGTCAAAACGAAGCAAAAACTTATTCTAAACTTTGAATTACGGCTAACATTCACAAAAATTGCCTGTACGAGTTCAACAAAGCCAAATAAATTCAACACGTTAATCAAAAAACACTGTCAAGCTTAAAAATTAAATCACACTGCATAGAACCAAATGAAAACAAAAAACACACTGCAGAAAATAAAAACACACTGAAGAAAGTTTAGAAACCCATTGCAGTGAACCTTCAACAAAACCCCCTGCCACCCCGGGAAAAAAAACTTATTCTAAACTGTGTAAGAGAAATTTTTTTAGAAGCAAATTCAATGCCAAAACGAAGCAAAAACATATTCTAAACTATGAATTACGTCTAACATTTACAAAAAAAACTAAACGAGTTCAACAAAACCCAAAAAAATTCAATACGTTAATCAAAAAACACTGCCAAGCTTAATAAATAAAACACACTGCATAGAAGAAAGGGAACACATTGCAGTGAATATAAAATGCCAAAACGTACTGCAGTGAAAAATTAACGTACTGGAGAAAATTTAAAAACACATTGTAGTGAACTTCAACAAAAACCCCCATGCCAATCGAAAAAAACAACTAATTCTAAACTTTGTAAGAGAATTTTTTTTAGAATCAAATATAATGCCAAAACGAAGCATACCTGTATCTTCTCCAATCTTTTGCTTAGAGGGATCTTGTCCAGTGCATCTTCGCTTGCCATTGAAATCCTGGGTCTCCTTCCGGAAGCTGCTGCGGCTTTGTGTTCGGCAGTGTGACGAGAAAGCGTGCCCGACGATTATCGCGTCGCGTGAGTGGGAAGATCGGCTGCTGCTGCGCTATAGCGTTTGGTCGTAAAGCTTTTTTTAACCTAATAAGGAGAATTTAGTATTAGATGTTTATTTAAGGACAAAAAAGGGAATTTATCTCCAAAACTAATATCACTGCTATTTTGAGTATTAAAGTGCTATTTTTGTATTTCTTCCTTGTAATTGTCATATTTTTTGGACGGAAAAACCATGTGTTGACTTCATTTCTTTTTAAATAAAGTATGGATTTCATTAATATATTAATAAGGAATAAATATGATGTAATAGGCATTAGGTATTAAGAAAAATCCTTTGAGAGGGAAGGGAAAAAAGATAAGGGTTAAGGACCAAAATAGGAGCAAAACATTAACTATATACCAAAATAGGAGTAGAAAAGAAAAATTTCCAAAATAGGAGTTGTTTTTACTCCCAACGGTATGCTGCCAGCCCCTTTCCAAATACTCCGTATAAACTATTGAATTGCTCTGAAATGCACTAGACGCATGAAGGAGCTAACTATTTTTAAAAAATATCCTTCTCTCTCGTTTGCCATAATGCCTTTTTATTAATTTGGGATTTTCTTTTCTCTCCTACTTTCAATCATTTTTTTGCATATTATTGATAATGCAATATGAAAGCTTGGAACAATAAAATTTCATCACTCATTTGAATTATCTCACCGTAATGCTCACGTTGGGATTTAATTTATTTCTTACCCAATTTTAATGTATTACTATATTTAATTGTTGATAAAATAAATGATATTCCAACCATTAAGACCGAACATCACAACTTCTTTCAAGCATCATTGCCAACATTATTATGTCAATTTTACAATGCCACATTTACTGCCATATACAGTGTAAAAAAGATATAATGTCAACTATAACACCACATAATGTCATAAATGACAATGCATAATGCCACCAATGCCCACACAAATGCATAGTAATGCCAAATCCGACCCAATGCCCTGCACGACTTCCGACAACCATCACACGTTTCACAACCACCTTTATGGCGATCGGATATCAACTGCTCATGACGGTGGTGGACCCCGTTTTTCAACACTAAATTGCGATCCCAAGGCATCCAAACAAAATTTAAAGAAAATAAATTCATTTAAAGATTGGGAAAAAATCCGCTCACTCTTGAAATAAAAAGCTTTGAGAAGGAAATAGGGGTGGGGCAGCGGGGTAGCTTTGAGAGGGGTGCGGTGGGACGACGAATCTGAGAGCCTGAGAGGGGTGAGGGTGGCAACGGTGATGGCGCTGCAATTGGGTACGGTGGCGGCAGTGGAGATTGTAATGGAACGAAGAAGCTGAGTCCGCAAAATAGGTGGAATGGAAGATGATTTTTTCCCAAGTTTTGTTTTTTATTGGAGCACCGCTAGAAAAAATGCATAGGCGTGCAACATGCTATGTTTTTATTTAATTTAAATTGAACTCCTATTTTGGGCATTTAAGTTTGGTACTCCTATTTTGGGAATATATTTAATGATTTAAGGAGGTTTGGAGGAGTATAAATTCCAAAACCTCTGGGAAGAATCTAAAAGACAGAGAAGGGGAGATTAGGGTTATGGCGTTAGAAGGGAGCTATAGAGAGAAGGGCGTCGGCTTCGATGAGAAAGATGACACATGGTCGCCGAAAAAGATGCCGAAGAAGGCAATCAGAGTGATACGTCCCGATGATGAATTTGTGGAAAGGGATTTTAGAATGAATCCGGTAGTCATCAATATCTTTTCCGGTCCACCCGATCCCTTGGACATCTCCGGCGCCACTACTATTACCGTTGATAATGAATATATCAAACAAATGGGTGCCTATCCCTCTCTTGTTCGTATTTTTCAGGAGCAATGCCTTGATCGCAGAACCTTGCAGGTATTTCCATTTTCATTGAATTAGTGAATGTATTCCGCGATTGTTTTACCTGATCAGCTCTGGTTGTCTTGCTTCAATTTTGGAATCAATAAGCTATTACTATCGCATCACTCAACTTCATCCTCTCAGAGAATGTTTTATCTTGTAAACCCTTGAAGATTCAATGCTCTACTTTCTAGTAACTAGTACCTTGGATTTGTAACTGCCGCAAGGCCAAAAAAGGGTGAAGAAGAAAGAGGTGTGATCAGGTGGGACAGAAACCCAATTGCAATCTTTGAGAGAAATATCAATCCCAGAATTAGCCTTAAAACATGTACCATTTGTGGCTTTTTTTGGTGCTCCAGACTAGGGTTGTAAACAAAACAAATAATTTTGATTTGATCCGTGATTTGTATTCGCGAAAATGAATAAGAATAAGTATATAAATAAAGCAAAACGAATGCAAATACAAATATGCATATATTCATTTCGTACGATGACGAATATATTCGTATTCAACTACACAAATTAATATTCTAATTCAACTTCTATCTTACTCCCTCCATCCCAGTCTTTTTGTAGCCTTATTATAGTACACTATGTACTTCCAATCTTGCTGGCAAAGCACTCATATCTTCTATGGTTTCCATTTTTTGGGAGAAAAAACCTTTGATGTTGCTTATATCAACGAGAAAATTACTGAAGTAGGAGTAGAACATTTGTTGTTTACACTAATGGAACCAGTTTTCATTGAGAGATGAAATCATTAGGAAAATGTCCGAAATAGCCTTCAATTCTTACCCTATTTCTTTTGTCTCATTGATGCAGCGCCTCTCCCACCTCAGCTTCCTATTTCTTGTTATTTTCCTTTTTCTTGAACTCTTCTTCTTCTTCTTCTTCGATCTTCTCCTTCTTGAAATATTTTTTGTTCGTTTTTCTTCTACTCCTGCTCCTTAATCTCTTTCCTCTTCTTCTCCCCACTGGACTTACCTACGGCGACCCACTCCACCCACCCTCGATGCCGAAATTAACAAGAAGTGTACCTCCAATTTATTGGTCAGATCTTTCTTAATATTTGAAGGTAAATTTTTCTCATTTTTGAAAAAAAATGAGAAAAATAGGTTAAAGTTTGGTTATTTACTTCAAATGAGGTCTGGCTTTTGCTAATTTTTCATTTCTCGTGTGTTTTCCCTACTTGTATAGTTGTATGTGTGCTCTGTCGCAGAGACAGTTATCGTTTGTATCATTGAACTCTACCGACTGTTAATGTGTAAGTCTGTGAGGTTTACCTCTTTATTAATTATTGTTGGGTTCATGTCCTTGATATTGTGTGTTGGCTTTGTTAACGAGCTATGACTTTATTAAGTTTTAGATTTGATCGAATTTGAGTTTAATGTGTTTTAAATTTGTTTTTTTCCGAGTCTAATCGGTCTGAGGTCCTATAGGATATGGGTCTAATCGGTTCCAACTTCCGATTTAATTTGATTCGGATCCTAAATTGGGTGGGAATACATTCCGTTTGGTTTTGGTTTGGTTTGGGTCATTTTGGGTGTTTGGTTATAAATCAGTTCAGTTTTTGGGCCATTCGCTCCCGGGTCATTCGGTTCCGGTGATATGTATCTGATCTCATTTGCCAGGCCTAGCTATGCCTCGGCATGGCCAGGCAGGGTTTTAAACGTTTAATCCTAAGAGTGGTATACGTTGTCGTGCTACTCTCTATGTTGTGTGGTGTTTGCTTTTGCAAGTATAGAGCACTTAGCCATTTGAATTACCCTCATTTCATGATCTCAGAAGCTGTCTGTTGATAGGAAAACATTACCCAAGAGTGAGCTCCTCTATAAAAAAAAGTAATCTTAGTGATAGCCATCGACTAAGAAAAAGTAGCTTCCTACTCGTGTTCTTGAATCTTGGTTATGTCGATTTACGACATTTTTGCCTGCTCTTTATCTGCCAAGAATTTTACATTGTTTGATTCTTTTTAAGGTTTTCAGTTATGGGTATTGCTACTTTTTCTTCGCCAAGATCAAGAGAAGTCGCGAGTCTCTTCTTCAGCTCATTCTGTGTGTGTGTTTTTTTTTGCTAGCTAACTAACTAGTAAGTTGATTAAATTTTAGATGTTTGATCACCCTGGGTACACAAGTGGCTGTTCTTGCAGTGGGCTTTTTCACTGGGACAAGCCACCTGCGGATAAGTTACTGTTCAAAAACAATTCTGAATTTGCCATGAAGAGTTGCTGCAAACTCTGCAAAAAGGTGCTCTGGTTTGTTCTATTATTGAGTCAGATTCTCCATCGTTCTCTCTACTCAATGGTCCTTATATCCAAACGACTCTTCTTGCAGGATCTGAGGTTGGTCAGTGTTGACAAGTTGAGTTTGATCCCAAGCTTTCATCAATTCAATTACTTGACGTTTACAGTGATCGACGAGCTTTCCAATGAACACATAACTTTCCAAGCTGCGATTCTTGAGATGGTAGCCGAGGACCAATTCCTGCTAGGTTTACTTAGAGATGTCTCACATGATCAGGTGGTTGCTGTCATTCAAATCGAAGAAGGTAACTTTGTTGCTTATTGGGTTGATGTATCTTGTTTGTGTGTTTTGTTTTTATTTTGGTTACTTCATTACAATAAATTGATGTGTGAATCCTTGATACTAATTGCAGGATGTGGGGAGCGTGCAGTTTCTTCTTCAGAGAATTGAGAATCCTGGAAGCCAAATATGTAATGTGCCATGGCTGAAGTTTGCTTTCATTAGTTAATCTCTACAAGAATTAAATGTTTTGAACAATGACGTTTGAGCTATGTGCTATTTGTTTGTCTAATAAGCTGCCACTATGCATTATTGAGACAACTATCCGCAACTCAAACGAGGGGACGTCACCCGTATCAAGTTGATGTAATACTCCCTAAAACTAATTACATTACATTTATGATAGTTAATACGGAGTATTATACTATACACTGTATGTTATGTCCCTAAAACTAATTACATTTATGATAGTTAATATTATACTAAAGATATTTATAGCGTTTTGACATAGATGTTAAAGTAAATCGCACATTTTAAAATTTTTAAAATTTTAATTTATAACTAATTACATTTATGATAATTAATATAACTCCGTTCCAGAGTATTTGTCTACTTTCATTTTAATATATCATCCAATACACTTCTTTAATTCATTTTATCTTATAATTTGTATATTAAAAAATTATAGAAATTATATATTACTCCCTCCGTCCCAGAGTATTTGTCCACTTTCATTTTTACACACCATCCAATACACTTCTTTAATTTATTTTATTTTGTAATTTGTATATTAAAAAAATATAGAAATTATATATCAATAATCTATATGTTAAGTCAAATCAAACAAGATCATACATGACTATATTTAAGCTTACACATTGAGAGAATTTGATGAGTCAAAGTGCTTAGATGAACAGTTCTAAAAATCAAAACTGAACGAATATTCCGGAACAGAGGGAGTATTATACTATAGATATTTCGATGATGAATACCAACTAGTATTTAATTTCTTATACATAAATACTCAAATACCAAGTCTTTATCATTTTACAAAGTTATAAATAGAAAATAATAATTTTTGTGAGACGAATCTATAAATTTTTACAAAGTTAGAAATGGAAAATAATAATTTTAAAACAAAAAAATACTAATTTTAAAATGAAACATACTTGTTATTCGACGTAGAATTTTTTAAAATATATACGGAATAAAATTAATGCTCAATGAAATAAATGCGCCCATAAAAATCCATTTTCCTTTTATATATTTGTTTTTCTTTGTTAAAAAGTTAGGATATCTCTCCAATTAGTATTAGTTCAAAGAAAAAAAAATTGAAATGTAATTTCGTTTAGTGTTACAAATCTATCCGTTCTTAGAATAAATTTATTTGTTAGTTTTTGAATATCAGTTCTTTTTTTAAATTTTTGGAAAGGTTGCGTTTCGTGAGCGCTCTCGCATTCATTCTCTGGAATAGGATAGGCGTTGAGCTGGCGGTTCTCGTAACTTGTTGACAATTTCTTAAATACTAGCGTTACCACTTGAGGAGTTGCAAATTGGAAGGATCGATAATATGATTTTGAAAATAACTTATTGCGCTGCTATTATTATTATTATATTAAATTTTTTATTATATGGGAGAAATACAAATATAACACTTTAATAGGCTTATAATACGCAAAATAGCAGTGCTATAAGTTTTTGAGATGAATTCCCAATGTTGCCCTTAATTAAACAAATTTGTATTATACTCAATTAGGTTAAAAAGTAGTAATTGGCCGCCGAGCTTCAAGCGATATTTACCGAAAATTCACGGCATTTGAACGCAGCAGAGCTTCACGACCTTGAACGCGGCAGTGCTTCACGCAAGATTACCGCAAAACACACGGCCTTGAAGGCAGCAGTTTCGAGAAGGGACACGTAGTGCTAGGGTTTCAATGGCAAGCGATGATGCGCTGGACGATATTCCTCTAAGCAAATGAATGGAGAAGATACAAGTATGCTTCGTTTTGGCAGTGAATTTGTTACTTTGGCATAATTGTAAGGTTGGTAGTACTTTGGCATACTAGTTATTTTATCGGCAATACATTTGTTTAATTTGGCAGTGAATTCGTAGCTTTGGCATTAGATTTGGCTTGTTTTTGGTTTCACAATAGTCATGGCGCACGTTTAGGGTTTGTGTTATGTACTGTGTAATTGTTTGGCAAAAAAATAGTGAAGAACCACTGCCAATGAATTCAACAGGGGTGTCTTGACCAATGCTAGAGAAGAACATCATTGCCTAGACCGTGAAGAACCACTGGAATGAATTTTTTGTGGTTTTAGCAAAAAAAAATTCCTTAGGCAGTGTGGTTTTTTGTTTTTAAAGCTTGGCAGTGTGTTTTTTTTGAAACGTAATGGTTTTTTTTGGTTTTTTAAAACCGTTTAGGTTTTTTTGTGAATGTTGGACGTAATTTTTTTTTTGGGTTTTTTTATTTCTTGGCAGTGTGTTTTTGGGGTTTTTTGTTCTCCACTAAAACATAATTATTATTTTTTTGGGTTTTTGTTTCTTGGCTGTGTGTTTTTATGAGTTTTTTTTACCTGAGGCAGTGAGTTTTTTTGGTGAATGTTGGCACTGGGTTTAAGTTGTTGTTGGCAGCGTGTTTTTTGTGAATTGTGGCAGCGAGTTTAAAGAAGAATATGTGGTAGTTAAGTATTATGATTTAGTGTGAGTGATCTTACCTTTGTTGAATATGTAAATAATACCCAATGTTTACTGACTTTGAAATACATATACATATGCAGGTGTAATTTTGGTATGTTTGTGGTAAAATTCGCAGAGTTTCTAATGATGGATTTAGACATACGGGAAGTGCAGTCATGTGACATGGAAGCTTACCGGGTTAAAAGGACAACAGAACATTTAGCTTATAACTATGAAAGAAAGGCAGAATCAAAGAAGCAATAGATTTTTCTCTGTTATGTTGGATAATTTAATCTTCGTATGACAGTTGTTTGGTGTTTTTGTTTAAAATTTTCGGTGTTATTCATGAAAGTTTTTTTAGTAATAATTTATGGGCGTTTAATTTATAAGTGATTTGAGAAGTGGATTAGTGGAGAGTTTTATACAAGTGCTTATCATTGATTTGGTTTTATTTGGAGCATACATTGAAATATGTTGTCACTTTAAAGAGTTTGTATGGATCATACATTGCAACATTTCATAGCACACTGACCAAAATATTTGGAGCATACATTGAAATACATTGCACACATACCACGACCATTTCACACTTCCAAAAACTTTACGCTTACACTGCATATCCACTTTATATGTAATTCAATGAAAAATATATGATAGTGAGATTTTTATATATAGATCACTTTTGACGAAAAGACACTAGCGAAACTAGGTCATAGGACACTGCCAAAAAGTGTTGATAGACGTTGGCATTCCCAATACACTGCCACAATATATACACTGCCACAATATATTTACACTGCCACAATATATACACTGCCATAATGTTAGCCACAATATTTACTTCCAAAAATTCAATGTCTGATATACACTGCCACAATATATGCACTGCCAAAAATTCAATGTCTGAAATACAATGCCACAATATATACACTGCCACAATATATCTACACTGCCACAATTCGGGCAATCACAGATCATACTTCTCATAGTTTCTAAGAAAATATTTTAGTTTGCTTATGAAGAAAATTAAATAAATATACCTTCTGAGAAGAACAAGGATTCTGAGATTTTTGAGCAAATTTGTGCTGATAACGTGTTGTAAAATAAGAGAAAAACTACTCAGAGATTAAGAGAATACATATAATATAATACACTGCCATAATATATACACTGCCACAATATATCTATACTGCCACAATATAAACATTGCCATAATGTTAGCCACAATATGTACTTCCAAAAATTCAATGTCTGAAATACACTGCCACAATATATGCATTGCCAAAAACTTAATGTCTGAAATACAATGCCACAATATATACACTGCCACAATATATCTACACTGCCACAATATAAAGCTTCCATGAGTATCCCATGTCCCATCAACACATAGCAATATCTTCAAATTTGGACCCATCTGTGATGCTCCTTTTAAATAATAAAAGAGAAAAATATTCAATTAAATTAAATAAAGGAATGAACTCAAAGAATAGACGTATAACCTAATATGCGATGAAAATGTTGGATTTAATGGAGGTGGTGAATACAAAAACACATCGTATATACATACATGATGGGCGTTTTAGTCACATTGCGAACTTCAGAATATTAAACAAATACATCGCACAACATACTTCCAACTTCACTTCATTAATGTTCAATGAAGCAGCTTTGTTTTTTTGATAAAATTATGCTAACTACTTAGAAATAATTAAGACATTCAATACGATGAAAATAGGAAATAAATACAAATAAAAATGCAGGACAAAATTTAAACATTTAATCTTCACACTGCTAACACCATAACACCTAATCTAGTGTGTACTTGCATACCATGATGGCATACCCAAATTTTTACAATGAGGGGAAAAGTTCAAATGCATAGGTGCTCTTTTAGAAATATATGTGTTCTTAATTAATAAAAAGATTATAAATTAAGATATATCCCCTGCATCCCATAAAAGAGTCTAGTTGTTGGACATAGTTTGTCTTCCAAAAACAATCATATTAGTCAAAACAATCTAATATTTATGCTTTATAATAGTTTTTTATAACAAAGTGCAAATATATTAACCCAAAGCGTACATAAAAGGGTAATAGGGCCAATAGGCAGTTCTTATAGCAGAAACAACAACATCAAGAGAAAAATAACAACTACACCATGTGAGCCTTACATCCAACTAGTGTAGTCCCTCACTGCCATGTTTGCAATGCCTTTCAAAACATCTAAATTTTTAAAAGGGCCAAATACTTGGTATTTCAAAAATGATTTCACAACACCTAAACATCACACTGCGAACTACAATTCAATAAACGCTGGCAGTGTGAAATCGAAATAAGTGAAAGGCATTACCGCTGCTGTGTTTAGCATAATTTTATTAAAACAACAATTAATGGTGTCAAAGAAAAAGCTGAATATGGTACAAAAAAAGCCGGCGTAGTGGATTCGCCTTCGCCCATTACGTAAAAAGAAAAAACAACAATTAAAACCAAAAAAATACAGGTAAATCGAAGAAGGAAGCATGGGAGAGAACCTGATTTATCCATTGCTTAGAGAGATGTGGTGATGATGATCGCCGCTGCTAATCGGCGAAGGAAT